CTCTACAGACGAGGTTACCTTCTACAAAATCAAGAACCTTCCACAAAAAAATCTGACAATTTTCTACAAAATCAATAGCCTCACATGAGAAAGTATCAAGAAAACATATGTTGGGTTTTTTTTTGTAGCATGAGTTTGTTTACAATTTTCACAAGTCAGTGCAAGATGTCCCAAATGGCCAGCCTTTGATTTTGTAGCATGAGTTCCTTTACTACAGAATCAAAATCTGATGGATCATATTACTACAGAATCAAGAATCTAAATTCCACATTTGATTTCCCTCTACAAAATCAAAAATCCATACATGTTGGGCAAAAAGGGTTTCAGGGGAACTATCCTTTACAGAATCAAATTCATTCCCTCTTACCATCTCTCACCACTATATAATCAAGATCTGAAGATATGACATTGAGGGGCATGCTTTACTAGAAAATCAAAGACCTTAGGGTGTCGCAAGCCTTATCTCTACAAAATCAGTTCCATGACCAAAATGTGAGGTTTTGTGCACTTCCTGCTGAGGGTTGGGGCCCCCCATTTACAGAATCATGGACCTACTAAGATACAGTCCAAACATGTCCAAAATGGATGGCTTTTGCGTGCTTGCTAGCCCAGGTTTTTGATTTTGTAGCAAAGTAGGGGTGCAGGATGGCTCTCCACAATCGAAGGTTTTTGGGGTGCCAACACCCTCGATTCTGTAGAGGAAATTGCAACAAAGATTTTAAAAAAAAATAGTACTTCCAACAACCATCCTACTCGGGGCCATTACCTAAAAGCCACGCCTAGAGATCAGTACTAGACTATGATGTCGATATCTCATTACTCGTAGGTGTAAGGTGCTGCATGTTCATGGGTGTACGTCTCACCTTTGCGAAAGGCAGCCAGTGTGCGATCCGTGATGTCTTCTGTTCGTGCCAGTGCACAGGCGCATGTGAGGGAAGATGATTTATTTAGGATATATCCAGTATCGAATATTCATGCACGAAGTCAATACTTTGCACATTTCTATTTATGGTCAGTGGCTAGCATTGGAACTCACTTATCACATAGCTTGACTTGATAGATTAGCACTGGGTACCCATACTTGTGACTGCATGCCCTCCGTGACAGGACTCCAGAGCAAACTCCAAACGCGCTCCATCCAAGACTGGGAAGCTTGGGCGGGCGAGTAAGTCACGTGGTGATGCCAATTGTCAAAGAGATTTTTGGCGATTCTGCAAATTGCCATTGGAACCTAAGCCATCAACTTTCCAGTCTATGTCAATTTTCTATGTTTGTTATTTTTCGCGTGCTGTTTTTTTTTTGTGGAGCTACTTTAAAAATGCGCGCGCAGGTACGGTTTACGAACATGATTGATCATTCATGGGGAAAAAAAAATTAGACCACTAAGAAAGAAACACAACACTTTCGGGGTTTTGAGACACCCTGCGCACAGGAGCCGCGCTATGTTGAAGTGCCTGTGGTGGATCTAGCAGAAGAGACCTGTGTGACCACTACGAAACTACCAATGCTAGACGTGCATGATGTACTGGCCTACGTCCACGATGTTGCGAAGTTAAGGACGCCAGCTTCCCACATAGAAATGTACTGGAACTGGGGTAGGAGATTTGGGGCCCCCTGGGCAAAGTTGGGTGGATCATCTGTTATTCCGTGTGGCCTGTATGCAGATGAGACGAGATATGGAGGGTCATATTCTGATGACAAAGTTCTTGGGGTATTCCTGAACTTAGTGCTACATCGACCTCGCAGTATCAGATATAGTCGCTTCTGCATCTTTGCTGTGCGGTCAGCGCTTGTGCTAGGGAATCGCACACTATATCCTATCTTCAGAAGGATTGTGTGGGGCTTCCACTTGGCGTTCAGGGGAGTGCGCCCTGACGGCTTGCCTCTTTGCTCTGATGGCTCAACATTTCTGTGCACGGAACTCCGGGGAGATCTAGGTTGGCACAAGTTGATTTGGAACTTCAAGGCTGGGTGGCAAGCCAAAGAAGTTTGTTGGTTTTGCAAAGCAAAGAAAGACAACTACACTGACAAACACTCTTGGATTGACACTGTATATGACGAAACCTGGTCCTGGGTGATGGAGACCTTACCGGACCACCTTTGCCCTCTTCTTGCCCTACCGGGGTTTTGCATCGAAACCCTCCGACTATGCTCAATGCATAATGTCAACCTAGGGTGCCTCCAAGTTTGCAACGGTTCTGCCTTGAGCTTCGATAACATCAATCGCTTTTATCTTCTATTTATAAATGCATGTTTCAAGTTGGCATACCTGGGATGCTAATTGCCAATTTTTCGAATTTGGCAGCCCTTAGCCCCAAGGATCTCTTTAATTCAAGCTGGTCTTTATGGAGATCCTGAAGAAAGCCTCGCTTTGAATTTGCGGCGCACTTTTCGCGACTTTCAGCTGTGGTGTAGAGAAAACAAGGTTCAGTGCTCACAGGTGCCTTGGACCACCGGGATGGTGCCTCGGCTTATTTTGGGCTGGATTTTTTGGTACATGTGCTTGGGTGTATTGTGACATGGTGTTATAGGGGCAGAGGGGTTTCATGCACAGGTGGTGAAAAAAATCGCAACGTGCTCATGAGCCACAAAGCTTTCAATGGGCGCATTATTGTAGAGTACTTGGCAGAGTGTTGTGAGCGGGTCGTTGATCAGAATTTGCCTGGGAACAACCGTGCATTTGGGCAATGGTTGTGCGAGCAAGTACTTCAGGGCAAGAGGGAATGGCCAACGCCATCAAACCCTGAATTTGGTTTGGCTGCAGCATGTTTGTCCTCTACTTGAGCTTAGGGTAAATTTGTGTGTGTGTGCTGGGCATATTTTTTGGTTAATTTTGGGTTGCTTAGCCCATGTATTGTTTGCACTGTCACATACCCCAATTGGGAACTGAGGAAATCGATTGCTCGATGGTTCAACTTGTGTGAAAGGAATGGCCGATACTTGCTACTTGTTTGAAATCACCAGATATATAATTTTTATATAGCTATTTTTAGTACAGTTTTTCCCCACCAACCGTCAACCTTCAGACCCATGTTAATTCATGTACATTCCATTGCAACATACTGAGGACAGCCGAGGCGGCCAAGGACATCGGGGATGCTGGAAAGCAGTTCATCGATTCGCACCTTCTGCTGTCGCTTCTTGAGATGAGGAGCTGGGTCAAGGCGTCAAAACTTCTAACAACATGTACCTGGATGTATACATGATGATGTATGTACTGTGTATTTTTGCGACTGCAACCCTTCAATCAATTATGACCAGAGTTTATAGACTTACAATCGGTTGGACCCTTCCTAGAGGAGACTGCATGGACAAGGTGGTCCACCCAACCCACAACGAGTTGTCAAATGGATTTGCAAACCGAAAATTCACTACTTTGACCACCAACTACTTCTGATGGCACTTCGCCGGCAGAACATTCGCCATACACATTGTTTTACTGATGAAGATGCCATGCGGTGGCTGAAGAACATCAGTAGACGAACCTTTGGAAGTAATTTTGAACGAAAGGTGCTTGCAGCTTCAAGACTACGGCTCAAATTGACCATTTTCAAAGCGCGGAACTTGAATCGTACCGCTGCACGCAGGAGCAAGCGATAAAAAGGATTGCAAAGCAAGTCCCCAAACTAATCTGAAAAACAAAGATCGGTTGCTCTGATTGTGCAACTGCGCTGTGTGCGTGTGGGTGTATGTGTGTGAAGCACGCATACGTGCCCCCAAAATGGGGGAAGGGTGTGCACCTGATGCCTGGGTGTGCAAAGTATCTTACATGGTTTCGCTGACCAACGGGGTTGAACAAAAAGGCCAAGAGATGCCAAGAGGCTGTGTGCGCGAGGGGATGGGCTTTGTGACCATCTTTTAATCCAATTTGGATGTTGTTGAGGGGAGATGCTTAAGAATTACCAAACATCGAGCATATCATATGGGAATTTGCATGTTGTTGAGGGGAGATGTTCAACAATCATCAAACATCGAGCATATCATATGGGAATTCTTTGATGTTGCAGGTGCTGAACTCATTTTGCAAGTTTGCTGGTAAAGACCATGAATAACTTAAGATGGCTTTTAGCCAACGTACTGCTCCAGGCGTGGCTGTTAGCTAACGGCCCCGAGTAGCATGGCTGTTGGATGTACTAGGTATATATATATATTATATTATATTATATTATATTATATTATAATATTATATATTGTATTATATTATATTATATTATATATATAGAAATATATATTAATATTTATATATATATATGTGGTCAATATAGTCTTGCTGGAGAAGCACGAGACACTGGCCAGCTCGTGTTGTGTTGCTTGCCAGGTGTGAACATCTCAATGTGGCTGCAAAAGCAGGCACCTGAACATTTCCAAGGCGTGGCAAGACGGAATTTGCGTGTTGCGATTTCTTCAACAGCTGCTTAGTGGAGTTTATTGCGACGCAATATTATGATGAAATATAATGCAGTGCTCCTTTGATCTTCTTGCTGTTCCTATCTTTTCCTTGGCTCTGGTTGAAACCTTGCATTAGGCGTCTTCGTGAATTTCTCCGCCTGGCCCTGAGCTAGGACAGCGTTGCTATCGAGATCCCCAAAGCAGTTTTGGCAAAGCCGTTGGCATTTTGTCACCTGATGTCACCTGTTATTTTTTGATTCCAGTTCATATAGTTCATCACTTCAGGGCATCATAGGATATCATAGGATATCGTAGGATATCATAGGTCATATGTCTTTCTTTGGGTGACTTCCCTTCGGAATCCATTTCAATGCCAACTTCGCTCTGGCTCGCTGGGATCGCTGCAAAGTCAAGGCCCAGACCCATGTCAACCAGCTATCGCCTCAGCAATTGATGCAACATGATGCAACACAAAACATCACTTCAGTCTAAATGTCATCTGCATTGCTGCATTGGGTCAGTTATGGTCAGTTGCTCAGCGAGCGTTTCCCAGTTCCAACCTACGAAAGTTCCAACCAATGTCAATTGGTTGACCAAAAGTCCAGTTTCAGGTTCCAAGACTTGATCGACAGCAAGCTGGAGAAGAGGAGATCAAGTGTTCAAACACTTCAAGGGCAGGTTGAAACATGTTGAAACATGTTGAAACTTTCTGGTTTGTTTAACATTGTTTTAACATTGTCATCTTATGTCCCTCCCAACATCTCCCAACTACAAGTGACTGGGTGAGGAGAAGAGGAGTTTATGGTCCGCCAGCTGGAAAGAAGATGGTGCTGTTCGTTGACGATCTGTGATCCTGGCAGTCTTAACAGGGAAAATTGGAGAAATTGGAGAAATTGGGATCAGGGTTCCATAGGGTTCCTGAAAATTTCTTAGGAAATCCTTAGGAAATCCTTAGGAAAATTGGGATAGTTGTCCCAAAATTTGATACGTACCTGCTGGGTATAGGGTCACTCCAGCCGGGTCGAGGTCATTTTCCACTGTGAGACCATGGCATCTCCAGTATCCACAGTCGCCCATTCGGTGCCACAGTTCCGATGACATCCGAGCGTGACAGGAATATGCCACAAAAGGAATACTTTGGGGCTCAGCCCCCCATTGAGCTGCCAAGCTCCCAGTTGAGCGCAGCCAGTTTTCCTAAATGGACAATTCATCCGAGATGATCATGAAGAGCTATGGGCAATGACAGCAATGACTCTATGAGTCTATGAGTGACAAAATATCGTCACATAGTGCCCATCTATGAGTTTGACAAAAAACGCTTCCTCTGAAGGCTGCGACAATGGCATGACCACGGGGGCTGGTACAACAGGCCGATCTTCCCTGGATCTTCTGGATCTTGTGACTTGAAGATAGCTACCTTCGCAGAGACGTTTGGACAGGAAAGAGCTCAAGAAGTTCGACATCACAGACCTGGTAGAGCTCCCAAGAATTTCAAGCCTAGCCAATCAAAGTCCCTGCAAGCAGAAAGTCAAACATGTTTACCATGGACAAGTTTGCATGCGCAGTGCAAGAAGAAGCGCGAGTAAAATATGCCAATATGCTTACAAAAGGAACACTTCATGAACTTCAATGAACTTCATTGAACTTCATGAACTTCAATGATTTGACAAGTTTCGATATGTTTCGATATGTTTCGATTTGACAAGTGTTGAATTCTGTGTTGAATTCTGTGTAGCGTTTCGACGTACTTTTTCAAGAATCCAAGGTCATGGCATCTGCAATGGGACCGCCCGGGGGAGGCCGCACCTTCATCACAGAACGCTGGAAGCCTATGGAAGCCGAAGCTGAGATCAGCTGAGTAGATTTCCATAGATTTCCAAAGGCGGATCATTTTAGGGTCACAGGGACATGGTCAATCAGTGAATCTTTTGAAGAGTGGCACCATATTGACAACCAGCTGTTGCAGCCAGTCGCAAGCTCAATGTTTGTGGCTTCTGAGGATTGAAGCGCCACTACAATGCCAGTTCCCAAGCTTTGGATGTGGTAGGTCTTTTTGTGTTTCTCAGTGACTCTTAAGAGATTGCACGGTGTGATCTTTTTCATGACTTGGCACTCTCCGTGCAGTTTTTGGGCGTCAGTGTTCTCTTGAAAGATATGCTTGTGTTCATTCTCCTTAAAGTTGGGTGTTGCCTTCTTGCCTATTACAGTATAACATATCGTGCTTTCCTCGACCTTCAAGGGCCATGAGTTGTGCTTGCCGGCGATGCATTCAGGTGCTTGCCTACTCTGACCTTCAGGACCACCTTAGTCACATCTGACAAGGCATGCTTTCAGATCTTTCAGGCATGGGATTAAGAGGCCAAATCCTCAGCAAGGCACACCCGGAACACCTCACTGCGAAGAACATGTGTAGACTTTGGCTTCTTTGGCTTGGTCTACCAATGTTGTACAGGCAGGTGCAAACGCTGCAGGACGAATCAATACAACAGATTTTCCAGACCATGGCTGGCTATTTTTTCGCTGGGTCAAGCTCTCAAAGTTGGGAGAGTTTTGTGAAGTCTTACATGCTGCTTGCCTTGCAACCGACATTTGCAAGCTGCTGATTTCATGGTTTGCATTTTCTTTTCCTCAGGTTTGATGAGACAATTCAGTCATCGATTCCAACGATGTTAATTGCTCAGCTCAGAAGTCAGACACGCAGACAGGTGAATGAAACATGTTCTTTCATCATCAAATCCACGGAAATCCTCATTGATGCAGGATCCGATGCACAGTTGGAATCTTCAAGCAAGCACTGAAGGTGCAGCCCTGACACGATTTCAGTGCGAACGACTCTGTCAGCAGAACGAAAGAGTAATGTAGTCAGTAGTAGATGCTTCTGCAAGACTTGCATCTCGTTGCTCCCACACTCCAAAAGAAGCGTTGGACCAGACGCACTGCCTCAGACACGCCTTGGTTTTTCCTGATATGATCAGGACCTTTTGCCAACGCCGGCAAAGTGCCACTATCTCTTCAATTTGCGTGACATTTGGCGGGTGCGGGGCCTTTTTTCTCACCCTGGAGATTTGATCGGACAAACATTGAAGTATTTGGCCAAAGAAAAACAAATACACATGAATTCACATGAGATAACGACTTTTGAAGCATCCACCAGGCATGTCCGAATATCTGCCGAATATCTGCAGTGAGGTTTTTTTGGGCCTTTGCACCTTGAGCTCCAAGAAAGCAAATCAGAGAGACGTGGTGGTCAGATGCTGGTGCCATGAAATCCAACGGGTGCGCTGTCTCACTTGGAGCCTGTTTTGAAGTGTTTTGTAATGAAACAGACCTATGGTGACCTATACAGGTTATTTGATGATACTGTCCTATAGGTATACACCTATCTGTTATTTGATTCACCTATTATGACCTATCATCAGTACAGACCTCTACAGATCCTGGTGGTCAGATACTGATGATACTGTCGTCCCGAATCGCCAGGTCTTTGGCGACAGGCTCACTGACAATCAGGACTCAAAATGGATGACGTCGCAGATCAAGAGCATCTTGGATCATGGCTCTGCGGGGACGGCGCAATGCGAGTGATCATGGCTTGGAGATCACAACATGTCACGAGCTGCACCAAGGCCACTTGGAAGGCAGTTTCCAAGTCTACTACGAGTGGAGAGCCTAGTTACCTAGTTGTTGTTTTGTAGACATGTCATGACCAGCTAATTTTCCCAGGACCTTTTGCACATGCTGGGGATGCTGCATTCTTTCGTACCGACACATCGCCCATCATCGCCCCATGGGGCCATGCTGGATGTAGAAATGGCAGCATATGGCAGCGCATGGCAATTATTGGAGCAAGGACCATCTACGTTCGCGAGCGCTTGATCTTCGCGTCTTTCCTGAATCAAGATGCCGGGCCCTTGGAGGGCCTTGGAGGGCCCCAAGCCATGGAGATACAAGAGCCAAATTCAGACATATTCAGACACTGGCTGAGTTGAACAGTTACCCTCTGGTAAACTAACATAACTATGGAGAATCACTATTTTTAATGGGAAAATCCACTATAAATTGCTAGTTTCAATAGCTATGTTAGTTTACCAGAGGGTAAAACATGTTAAAACATGTTAAAACGCAAGGCGGACCAGAAATTCTATGAGGAGGTGATCGATGTCCAGGCCTCTCGAAGTCGTAGGTGGTACTATGTGGTACTACATGGTACTACAATGTACAACCTTTCTATCCAACATCAACTCAATATAGTTCAATATTAAATCAATATGCTTCAAGCCACCTTCAAACGATCAAGTAAATGGATGCAAATGGTCAATATGTAACATGTTCCCATCTTCCAAAGTTGCCATTGCGACTGCACTGTCCCATCATATGGCTTCGGAGGCTATGAAGGAATGTATTGAGGAATACTTGGACGAGTACAACAGCGTGGTGCTCTCAGTGAGCTCCAATCAACTCGAATCGTCTTACAATGTCTTGCAATGTCTTACATTGTCTTACATATCGAGAGTTGTTGGCTTGTTTGCTGCCATGCGTTCATCGCATTGGTATGTTTTGATTACCTTCTTCCTATCAAACAGGTAAATCGCAAAATAATTTCTGTTTATTTGACTGTTATGATGTCTGTTTGAAAGGAGCAACACCACAGTGATCACACTGATCACACGAGGTCAGCACATTGCAAATGCCACTGGTGATGTTTTTGGATGCCTGCGAGCACTGTGCCCGTATTTGCCAAGACCTTGGATCAGTGTTTGGATCTCTTTTGGATCGATTTAGAGCCCGTGTAGAAAAATGTTACCCTTCACTTTACGGAGTATAATTTATAATAATTTATAATGATTTATGATAACATATATATATATCATATGCAACTGTTTCTTCAAGTCCTTTTAAAGCTTTTGCATTCATAGTAAGCTTTTGCGTACATCCAGAGTACTTAGGTCGTGTGTTGAGTCAGCCAAGTGGGAACGTCCTTTTGCTTGGGGCCCACACCTCAGATCCATAAAACAATCGATGTCTGAAATCAAGTTGGACTCTGCTGGATCACTAAACTGGTTGGTGGTTTGGAACATGGCTTTTATTTTCCATAATATATGGGATGTCATCCTTCCCATTGACTTTCATATTTTTCAAGATGGTTGAAACCACCAACCAGTAAAGGTGGCAGCTTTGTAAGCCTCAACCTGGAAAGAACCTACGCACAGCCATGAGGTTGGTGGAAGTGGACGTCAGAGCTTGACGCGTTTGTCAACACACATGAATGAGCCTCTGCAAGATTTGGCTGAGCCTTTGAAAATCTTTGTTGTGAAATGTCAAGTGATGCCAGTTCCGGGGGCAAACTCTACTCTGTGGAACTCATGTGAACTTCCTTAAGAGCTGGAACGTGTTGGAACTGCTTGCACTCTGCAACTCTTTTGTCGGCTTGAGCTTGGGGCTAGGGGAAGCTACCAGCTTGGCCTCAGGAATGCGAGTGCTTCCAGATCGAGGTCGCAAAAGGCCATTGCGCTTGGAAGTTTATGCTTGACATCAGCGACCCTATGTGACTCCGATATCACTGGTCACTGGTCACTGGTGACAGTATTTTATGCTGTCTTATGACTGTCTTATGACTGTCTTATGTCCCGTGCCTTCCAAATTTGGCAAGAATGGCTCATGTATCAATGATATATCAATGATTATCAATGTATCTCATGTGTAGGCTATGGAATGACTGAATTCCGCGACGTCACCGAGCTGCAGAGAGTTGCGACGATGTTTCGAAGCTGTTTTGCATGTCTTAAAGGCTCTTGAGCCCTGCCCGTCATCTTACCCCAAGGATGTGAAGAAGTGCCTGATGAAATGCGGTGTGGAGGACAAGGTTCAGGTCTTCCTCTTTTGTTTCTTGGCCGCGTTTCTCCCAATTGTTGTGCCCCCATGCTGGTCGGTGGAAGTCAACTCTCCGAGCGCACTTGCTTTGAAGTTGCAACTGAGGCGACACCCAAATTGTCAAAGAGGATTTTGTCGAAGCCATCAACAACGTCTTGAACAGCATTCAGCCCAGTGTTTGAGTGAAAAGTCCAAAAAGGCAGCTGAGTGATGTTCGGCTGTTTGGCGCTTTTGCATTTGACATCGATTAACTTTGACATCCAATGACTACGCTCTTTTTGAGGTGGTGATGTGCCCAATCTGTATGCAAACGAGGTTCCATTGCACATATCAAGTTCCATCACGTTGACGAATCTTCTGGCAACACAGATGACGTTACATGATCAAATGATACCAACTTTATCTAAATGTGACAGAATATCAGTGACAAAAGGATAAGAAAAGGATAAGACTGGCAATCTTCCTTGGACGTCCATGGGCTGCGTCATCTGTGACAATTCTGTGACAGCTGCAGGACATGGAGGCAATCTCTGGAGCATGTCGGCAGCTATGCCAGACCCTGAGAACAATGCATGACGTCGTAGATATGTAAGATGGCCTTTGAGTCCATGGATGTCCGCGACAACTTGTGACAACTTGTGACAACTTGATACTAATCGATTTCAAATGAATATAGTTCAGTAGTTCAGTATTAATTCAGTTCAATAGTTGGATGATGTTGGATGTAAAACATGGAAACATCTGTAAACTGATCTTGATATGTTCAGTTTGTGTTTCTGTTCTAGTGTCAGATTGAATTCTGTCAGGCCAAAGCATGGGAATGCAGCCAAACAAAGCGAATCTCTTCAGTGCCTATCTATCGAGGGTGCCCAGCGTGAAGCATTGTGTGAAGATAGCACTGAAGATCACTGACTCTTCTGTTGATGTTCTTGTTGGCACTGTATCATTCTGTATTTTTCTGCTTGCAGGTGAAGAAGAATGTCCATGTTGTCCTGGCATTCTCGCCCGTTGGTGACAGCTTCCGTAATCGTATCAGGCTCAGGTCAGATTGCTCCATAAACTGTTTGTTGGATGGTTCCTGTCTAAGCTTTATTGTGTGACTATGATTGCAGCTTTGACCGTCTTTTGAGTCTTTGGGATGTTTGGGATCTATCAAGGTTTGCGCATGTTCCCCTCCTTAGTGAATTGCTGGGGCCTCAGAAATGTTAGCCTTGACGAGGATTCATCACTGATTTGTTGTTTTCGATGCATTTTTCGATCTGAGTCATGTGGTTTTGTTACCCTCTGGTAAACTAACATAGCTATTGAACATGGCCATTTATAGTGGATTTACCCATTAAAAATGGTGATTTTCCATAGTTATGTTAGTTTACCAGAGGGTATGTTTTGTTTTCGAAGTCTTTCGTACCTCTGGCGTCACTGGTTCAAGTGTCGCAAGAATCGATCCCGCCTCATGGAGTTCCAAGAACTTGTTCATGGTGACTTTGGGAGGCCAAAAAACCAGAGCAGCGGCTCTGGCGCACCAGATAAATCGCCCGTATATCAGATCATGTTTGAGCGAGGGTTGTATGTTGGTTTCCGTGTGTACTGTCCTTCAAACATGCATTGCACCATAGAAGTACTAACATCTAGAAACACCCAGAAATGTCCAGAAAGAAGTATCAAAGTGTTTGACAAATCCATTTAAATCCGTTCTATGTTGCTTTGTCAGGCGACTCCTGCAGTGGATTTGCAGCGATGAACTGCTCGCTTTGCATGCATCGAGTTCACAGATAGTGATACCATCCCTTGAGCTACAAGCGGCGGTTTGGGTCGGTTGCCGAAAACATTGGCTTCTCCACAACGAGGACTGGCCCTTGAAAAACTAAGCCTCACCGGTCTCACCCAGGCCTCAAGGACAGGTTGCAATGATTCATCTGTCTATTCTGTCTATATACAGTATTATACAGGAACTAAGTGCCCATTGAATCAATTGAATTTGAGTCTGATGAATTCTGTTCGGCGCAAACAGAAGACCTTTGGGTAATTCTACCAAGAGTGCTTGTAGATGCTTGTGGTGTTTCTTGCTGTAGGTCTTTCTCTCAATCTTGCACAGGCTATTCCACCCATGGAGATGTCCAAAGTTGCGCAGCTTTTCAGTAGCTGGCCTCTTCAGGGTGTGACTTTGCAGCAGATTCGGTTGCTGGAAGCCACAGCATCTGGCGGTCCGGCTCGAGATGGACTTGATTCCTGTGGTTTTTTTTGATCGAGGCCAAAATGAAGAGCTCATTGTCGACCTGTTTGGGCTGCGGCATGCATGAAGATACATCATTGTGTCCCTGAGATGCAGTAGCATTATGTAGCATTCATTGATCAGTGGCAGACATTTGATTCAGATTATGCAAGCTTTCAAGATGCTGCAGAATGCAGCAGGCTGTTGGCCAGTAGTACGGAAGCTCGCCTTCAAGCAGCAATACATTTTAAGGTCACTTGCAAGCAGAATCCTTGTGGTACTTCTTCCAGATTGACAGGTGAATGTATTGAGGATGAGGATGATGACGGTGATGCCGATGATCGAATGCCCTAAGGCCCTAATGATGATGGAATGTGTTGTTGCCTTCAGGTTGCCGGGGGCACCAGAGCTTGACATAGTCGATGTCGATAGAGAGGGACTTTTGCCAGCAGCCCAGAAGTATCCAGAAGTGTTGTGTCGTTGGCTGATCAAAAGTCCTGACTCAAAGCGCAAGGTGCCTGGCTCTGGATTCTTGCCTTGAAAGACGCACAGAGGAATCAGAGTTTGGGAAAGGAAGAGATTCGTATGCCGTTCAGGCCGTTCATGGATGTTCTTTCTTCATCTTTGTTCGGTCTCCGTTGATGAGTTGGTCTCCATGGTGAAAACCATCGAAAACCACCTCCCTGACTCCCCGACTGAAGTCCCACAGATTCAATTGTCTGTGGGATGCCTCCTATACCATTCGAAGTGTGGCCTCCCTGTATATCAATTTCCTTGCACTTGCACTTAGCACATCTTGGCACTGTTATGCAGTGCCAGCAATGCTATGTTTACGATGTTTACGTTTGGAAATCGGAGAGGATGGAACGCTGAGCATGAGAACATTCCTGGTCGGAGCATGCGCTGGAGGAATCCTTGTGTCAAGACCTCAGCGAGGGCTGCTGTGAGCATCCCTTCCAGCTTCCAAGCGGCAGGCTGAGACACATCTTGGAATCTTGTCCACACTCCGGTTTGGAACACTCCACACAGGCCAGGCGGATGTAAAATCAAAGTTTGCACACATTGTGGCATTGGGAAGGGAATGCGCTTGAATAAAGCAGTTCTTATCATCAAGCATTCCGGCAATTTGCCATTTGTGGTAGTCTTTCATCTTCGCCCTTCGCTCAGGTGATACTGGCTGAAGGGACCGCGCAACTCACAGAGCATTTCAAGGCCCAGCCAGACAGACTTCTGCAGGACTGAAATTTTGAGCAACGCAACATGACCTTTGGGTTTTAATAATTTAGTCGAAGCATGCCAATTGCATTTGAATTCCATTTTACAAAACCTGGACAAAATCTGCCACGACATGCAGGACATGATGACTTTGCCCGCAGAGGAGAGTAGTGGAGAGTATATAACATGCCTTGCGTCAAGAAATGTAAGCCCTCAAGAATCTTGAAGAAATGCCGCTGTTTGCCGTTGTTTTCTACTTTACTATAATCTTTATATACATATTTTTACTATGTGTTTCTTGATCCTCGTAAATGTCTCTAGATTTATGACGCTGCAGAAGCTGCTTCTGTAAACGCATGGAGTTTGGTTCCTGGCCAGTGACTAGCCGCGAGGAACATACTTTTGTGAGCATTCTAAATGCAGATCCCATTTTGGAGGCAGGGTTCAATAAGAGTTGCATCATGTTGCAAACCAGGCGTTGGTTTCTCTTTTTTTGTGACAGGAGTTGCACTTGGGACTTTTTCAGGCAAGATATCCACTTTATATACCAGAAATTAATATGCGTTCCCTGCGTTCCCAAGGCAGTGGATGAATTCTGTGCACAATTTGCCATGGACTAGCAAGACATTGATCATACTGTTGGACGCTCTGGAATCGTGGCCAGTGAAATCCTTGGAGCAAAGCGACCGCACCAAGATCTGTGGATGACAGCGACCGGCACCGGATTTTCCCTTTTCGGGTCAAGGAGTGGAACAGCAGCGCCGAAGGGCCTAGGCCTGCACCGAATTTCGACTCTCAGGTGATCAAACACTGGAGCAACATGCACACTTCAAACGAATGGAAGCGCCAACTGAAGCACTATCGGCAGAATCCTGGGGACAGGCGAGTCCTTCTTGCAAGGCTCAAATAGGTGGTCTATTTGATGGCCAAGTCCACAATTGGTGGTCTATCTACAGGTGTCAGCGTGGTACAACATCAACGGACTGTAAATGCTGTAGACTTCATGCTGACTGTAGAAAAGACTCACATCCGCGCTAACTTCAAATGAAGTGCTGCTGCAGCACATGACAGTTGAGTTTGATTGCACAGAGATTTCCAAGCTCCCCAAAACTTTCCCCTGTGGAAGAATGGATCAAGCTGTATTGAAGGAAAAAGGGTATTGTGTGTGTGTGCATGCAAGAGATTGCACAACAGTTGTTGCTTTGGACCTTTTGCAGCAAAAAGTACACAGCTGTGTATAACGATGTATGACGATGTATGATGACATGCGCTGATGAGCCTAATGATCTCATACCAAGGCTGCACAATCAACTGGTTCAGGGAGTGGCCTGCTGAAGCTTTGTACTCTGTGGCCAAGCAGCAGCTCACTATGAATCAAGCCTGGCCCTGAAGCGAGCCCGCCAGACACTGGCGCGTTCATGGGAGAGTTGATGTTGATGATGTTGCAAGATTTTGCAGTTGCGACAAGTTGCGACAAGTTGCGACACCTGAATGAACTCAGTGCAGCTAGGGTAGCTAGGCAATGCTAGGCAGCTTGGTGCCGCTGTTGAGAGACGCCATTGCACAGATGTTCTGCTCCCAAGGTCCAGCTGCACCAGTTTGAAGGATCCTTGAAGCTGTTCCAAGTCATGGCCTCTTCGCCTGCCCAATCCCTGAACAAACCGAAGTGAACGGTTATTCTCGGTTATTTATATAATGTTATTTAGTTTATTTCATGTTTTTTGTTCGCTCAGTATTGCAGCCTTGAGCATTTGTTTCAGGTGATGCACATGAGCGTGGAGCATGCTTCCCGACAGTTTCTGGAAAAGAACAAGCTCGAGCCTGAATCTTTTTAGTTGGGGCAGTCAGACAGTCAGACGATTGGGTATTTCAGGTCACAACTTGATACCAGTACAACTTGTGCATCAAATGTTTGACTCATCAACAAGATTCGAACTCGTCTCGAACTAGTGTAGTGCGTATTTGTTGAGAATATATGTTGTGGGTTATGTGTGGTATTGTGTAGTACTTATATGTTGAGTGTGTCCCATTTCGGAGGCGTCACGTGTACATCACTCCGACGTCGTATCTGGAACTGCTCTCGAGCTTCATCTCGGTGCTGGCCATAAAGCGAAAGCAGGTACTGTGCATCAGAGCAGCAGCGCAGCATTCGGTATGCAATATTCATACAAGATATTAATATGCAATATTCATTTAAGAGAAATATTCTGAAATGTTATCGTATTCAATCCGTACTATGGATATTGGATCGGTCATCATTTGAAAGAATGATCATACTGTCGGTGCACTGGAATGCCAATTGTGTTCTTGTTGGTTTTCCACCTGCGCAGCTAGGTTCGTTGTTTGAGTAGATGATGTGATATGATGTGGGATGTGGGCATTTGCGGGCCATGTTTCATCATGTTTCCATATATTTCCAGTCACGAGGAAAGCTAGGAGATGCTAGGAGCGTTGTCGCTAGGTGGGCATGCAGCAGAAGCGCTACAAGGCTGGACAATTGCCAGATGTTGCCGTGAGATTTGTTTTTGGAAAGCGACTGCAGGTGGGCTTGGAGAAGATTGGGGATGCCGAAAAGCAGGCCGCTGTCATACGATGATCATACGATGCACAGAACCTTACAGAACCGCTACACTTGGCCGGGCCGAATCTCGTGACGATTTGTGAAGGTCAGCGGGCTGCAGCAGATGCTAGTTGAGTGCACCTGGCATGCGCCCAACTTCCGTACAGCAAGTGATAGGATTTGTGTAATGATTTCGAACATCGAACAAAATGATCACGTTTGAAGATTCCGCTTGCATCCTGCAACATGCCAGGAAGAAACCTGTGTTGGAAAAGACTCAAAAGGAAGTTGTGGAGATGATGAAGGTTGCAAGATGTCTTGGAGTATGCTTCACGGTGATTAACATATAATAACATATATTTGGAATTCGCTGATAATTTATAAATATTTATAATATGGAAGTTCTATGAACAATTATGAATATCTAGATCAACCTGTAGGCTCTGCACTGAACTCAGAGTTTTGTTGCCATCTGTCAGGTGATTGAAGTCGACAAGGCCGCAGCAGAGGAGGTTTCGACTCGAGTAGCGAAAGAAGAAGCCGAGGCGCCTTGCGGTTGGCTGTGCAGCAGTGGTGCAGCACAAGCTAATCATAGACTAATCATAGACATTATTATCTAACAGGGATATCAATAAGTGGTGAGTTTATTATTATCCTAGCACAAGCATTGTGATAATAATCGATAACAATCAAGATGCTCAATCGTGTATGAAGCACGGATATCACGGCATCGCACTGCATTGCGATGCTGGCATTTCAAGAGCACTGGCCCCTAAGCATTAAGGCGAAAGCAAAAGCAGAAGGCACACAAGCCATCAAGGCACGGTGTTAGCGATGTCCAGAACAGCAAGTCATCAGAACCTACGAAGAACTCGTCGCTTCGAGAATTTGCTGCCACTGAAGGATGATGCACAGAAGGATCTTGACGAAGCCTTGCCAGCGTTGCAAACGGCCGTTCAACGCTCAAGAACTTTTTGTGTCTCAATATGTCTCAACTTGTCCCAAGACTTCGTCGATTTTCCTGCCAGACTTGCTGCACACCAATGCGCACGTTCAATGTTTGTTCAACTTAAAGGTTGCCTGCTTGAACAAGCTACAGACCAAACACATCCAGGAGGCCTTGGCAAAAAGATGCAAAAAGTAGATATGAGACATATGAGATTTGCTTGTGCTTTTGTCTTGAATCCGTTCGGCACAAGACTGGACAGCATTGCAGTAAGACTGGACACATTGAAACACATTGAAATATGCCGAGAATTTAGTCATTAAATGTCATTAATACATTAACATGTCGCAGTGCTGTCGGAGCATGGATCATTTAGTCATTGGACCCACGTCTTTGCGTTGCAGGTCAAGGCACTCCCAAATCCGCCATCAGGTGTGCGTTTGGCCTGTGAGGCCATTTGCGTGATGTTTCCGCCTCAGCCGGAAGCTGTTTGTGTTTTGAGGGCGACCCAACAGTTTCCCAAGTTTCTTTGCTTGTTTGATTGCATCTTGATATATCTTGATATATCTTGATTGCATGAGGTTTCAACTGAAGCCAGTGCAATTCTTAGATGCTGCCTGCAATATCTGCAATCCCCGGTGGAATCCAGAGCCACCAGATGCCACCAGCCACCTCGCGAGGTCAAGAAAAATGATCCCAACACGCCGGGCAAAAAGATTGACGACTACTGGGAAACGAGTCAAAAGGCCTGGCAACTTCCATGCTGCGGCACAAAACCGTTGCACCAGGGGGACTCCGAGGACGAGGGACCTAGATGGACCTAGGTCCTGTCTAAAGGGCTTTGAGCGGTGAGATGCGGTGAGTTTGGTGCCTTGCCCAGGAGATCTTGCAGGATCCCAAAGCACTCTTGGATCGTTTGTTCAATTTCGACAAGGACAACATTCCCGACAGAGTCATTCAGGCAAAGCGCAGGGGACACATTGAGCCGAGCCGCCCAGTCAAGATCTGGTGTTCAAATGTGTTCATACATTTTCGGTACTCTTTTCGGCCTTTGTCCACAATCTTACAATCTGGCAGGCAATCACGCCCTATATGGAAAGAGAAGATTTCGATCCTGCAGCTATCAAAAAGGTACAGTTCTGAGTGATTCTCCTCGGTGTAGAGTAGTTCGGTCCAGGATTGCACGCTGTTTCGACCAAAATTGAGGCCTCTCTCGCGTGTGAAGCCCTTTGCCTGTGGGTGGGCGCCATGTACAAGTATCACTTTGTGGCCAAGGCTCACTACGAGACAGGTTTTATCTTCATTGCACCCATTGTGCTGTAGTATGTTAAACAATGTACTGTCGATATTGCAAGTCATGAAACCGGAAACGGATTCTCCAGAGTTGAAAGTCAGAAGGCTACTGTACATGTTCTATGTTATTTCTATCCTTACTTGTGTTCATGTCCTGTTCATTCATTTACGTTCATGTATTCTCTCAAATCAAATTGATAAAACTTGTAATTATACATATAATTATATATTGAATATTAAGGTATGTAATGCTATTGACTGGTATATATATAATTTGATTGCATATAAATAGCTATAAATAGCATAAGTCAACAAATATCACACAAAAACAATATCCGCATAGAGCGGTCACATACCTTGGCGCCTTGGCGCCTTGGCAGCGCCTTTTTTGAGGCCGTGGAGCCCAAACGGCAGCTCCTCCGCGAGGTGAGCAGTTTCTGCTACGATTTGAAGTAGATCTGCTAAGAGCGGCAGTTCAGAAATGGGGATGGGTCAAAACCCTGGTACCTAGTGAACCCCAAAATAGCTGGTAAATGGATGTTCATCCCCCTAAAAATGGTATTAATAGGTATTGATCCATCCCCAAATGTTGAGAATAGATTGAAGAGACCAGTAGAATGAAGATGAATAAAGATAATTAAGACTATTCAGCTAATATTACTAAGCGTATTCAGAGCCTGATTTTTTGGAGCAAAGAAAACACTCACGACAACACTGACGACCTCAGAGTTTGAACACGTCGTAGGACTTATATAGGCTTGGTGTACTCTGTTAGCACCTCTTTGAGGCTTGACATAAAGCATTTTTCGCATGGCAGGCAGAAGCTGATTTGGAGCAGTGCATGGCCAAGCTCGAGGCACGAGACTTTGAGACACTCGAGGGTCGGATGCACACGTTGGATGCGTCGTTTCTATGGACATTTTCTTCCACATGTTCCACGGCGTGGCCGATGGGATATGGACGATATGGACGATATGGATGTGAAATCGTGACGATTCGTGACGATTCGTGACGTCCAAACGTCCAAAGGGACGTCACGTGAGGCGGCCCAACAAGCCCTTCGTGAAGTGCATAACAAGATCCAGAAGCTCGAATCGGAACCTTGGCAGAGGCTGATAGAGGCTGTGCCACGCGCCCTTGAGATTTCAAGCTAGATGTGTCGAGATGTGTCATGCAGAGAGATTCTCGGATTTCAGAATTGCTTCCAAGTTCCAAGGACTATAACCAAGCAATTGTCAGGCCCCTAGAGTTTCAATATGTTTCAATGCATTCAAAGCCGCTGATTTGGGTTTCAAAGGGACTGGAGCAAGTTGATTTTTTTTCGCCTCATTTTGCCTCATGGCCCAGTACCAGTGGCAGCACTTGCGGATGTTGCGGTACCATTGGGACTACCATTGGGACTACCATTGGGACTACCATTGGGACCTAGGCTAAGCAAGAAGCTTTGCAACGTGACATGGCCACCTGCGAAATCAAGCTGGAACGGGCGTGCCTCAGCAAAAAGATCAGACCCAAGACCCACTGGTTGAGTCTTCCGCATCGCTTGGCTGACGACTGAATCAATATCTCGTGTTACCCATAGGATCCATGTATGCTATATATGGTAACATTTACCATCAATATACCCCAAATGTTAGCATATATAGCATACATGGATCCTATGGGTTAGAGAATTCTGGGCTATTCTGAGATATTCTGAGTATTCCAACATGGCTCATGGGTGTTCAAAATTGGTCAAATTGTACTTGCGCATTGCAGCAGCATGCAGCAGCGAGGCACAAGTTGATTGGTGGTCTTGGAGGTGAAAAGGCACAGTCTCGGACTTTGTGATTGCTTTGTGCTGAAGTGATCTAACGTGACCTGAAAAATGGTAAGATAGAAAGCTTTTTGTGCACCTTTTTGTTTGGCCTTCACCCTCAACTCACCTTTGCAAAGTGTGCGCTGCGGTCAGGCTCGGTGGGCTGAGAATGCTGGGGATCTCAGGATGTAGATCTCATTGGATCTCCGGTGGAAACATCAAGTGGCTCAAGTGGTTCTGCTGTCGGATCTCAGTTTTTCAGGTCATAAAGCTCACAGAACAGCTTGAGCTACTGCCTCGTCCCCAGAAGTTTCAGTGTGGCGCCCTTTTTTTGGAACTTGTTGAATGTTCTGACAAAACATACGAATGTATTACGAATGTCATACATCAACTAGATTTGATATGTTTTCTCAGGGTAACGGTAAAAGCATCGCAGTCTGGTCGTGTCCATCAGGCCTGGTGATTGCATTGTCGCCGCTGGCATGGTTTCCTATGCTGGTCCATTTACGTCGTAGCCTGAGATTCAGCGAAGTCATGGCCTCCAAACTTATTTTATCACTTTATATATATTTATATTATATTATTTATATATATATATATCTCTCTCTTATTTGGTTCTTTCCTTCTTCAAAACTCTGCATCTCTTTGTAGACTTTGGGAGACTTTTGGAGAGGTCTGAATATCGCATGAACTTCGAGCAAGAGTGGTTAAAAGAGCTGGACAAGGAATCCATCCCGCACAATGAGGACCTCCAAGCTGGAAATTGTGTAGTCTTGGTACAGGGATGTGCGGTGTGAGAGCCAAAAACACTACACAAGTTCCTCAAAACACATGTAAGATCATTCAAGCACTCTTTTAAGATCTTGTAAACAAGCTCTGTTGAACACTGTTCATCTCTGTTCTGCAGGAGTGCAACATGCGAAGTGTGCTTGGAGAACCTGTGAAGATCCAGCAGTGCGCCTGCAATTGTCAGCTCCCGGCAACCAGATTAATCCAATTCACGCAGCAAACATCGGCAAAAACCATCATTGGGAAAGTAAGATTATGTAAGATTTATATATAGATTCAGCACAGATTGGTTCAGAGCAGTGAAGTGGCGAAAAAATTGACATTGACGTCGTTGACAGGTGGGTGGTTTACTCTCTTCCCAACGATTCTCTCTCCATCGAGCTGGGCACCCATCATGACATGCCAAGAGCGCCAACGATTTCCCTCTCGATTTTTGTCAAGCTGAGGAACGCCATCATCATCGACAGATCCCGGCGATGGCCACTGATGATCGATCCACAGCGTCAGGTGGAGACATTTTTTCACGATTTTTTCACGATTTTTTCCATTCTGTATGATACGTTTCACATGGTTTCACTCTTTTGACTTCCTTTCTAGCTGTGAAGGTGGCAGATGTTATTTAAGTTATCGTTGTGCGATGTTCGAGGCAAACAAGTACATCAAGAACATGGGCAAGGACATCGAAACAGGCTTCGATGTGAGAGCCTTAGGCAGGCAGAGGAAATCAGAGTTTCAAATTCTATCAATGTCGTAATGTGTCGTAATGTGGGTGGATGTTGCAGCAATGTTGCAGCTGTTTGTTGCGCTTAAAGGTTTGCAAAATGAGCGAGACCAATTTCCTTCGCACTTTGGAGCTTGGCATCCAGTTCGGAAAGTGGATCTTGCCTCTTGGCGCATGGAGCTGATGGCTGATGGCTGCATGCGTTTCCGCCTTCGAAGGATCCCTGTGTCATTTTTTTTTCAAGATTGTAGATGCAAAAAGAATGCATCCGATTGGATGATTCTATAGTGTGCTTTGTAAGATAATTGGGAATGATTGGGACCTCAAATGAGGCTGGAAAACATCGGTTTGAACTTGGATCCCGCTCTGGAGCCCATTCTTCAACAGCAAAAGGCAGACTGGCAAGCAAAGATGACTGCAGCGTGTACTGTAGTCCAAAAAGCAAATTTGCCAAACTTTCATAGCCGCGATATGCCGCGATGATCAAAGGAGATGCGCGACAGAGACAGTGCATACAGTGCCACTTGGCAGGTCCGAGATGGCTCCGGCTTCACCATCAAGCTGGGTGACAAGCTCCGCCCCCACATACGACGTGCGCACATTTTGTCATCGTCGTATGTCGTATGTCGGACTGTCATCGGTTTGTTTCCGCCAGACATTGACATTTCCCGCACCTCAGTAAGCCATCAGTGATGGCCAGATATCTTCAGATATCTTCAGCCCTGACTGAGCCTGAGGTCCATCAACTATGCAGACACTTTCAAGTTTTATCTCACGACCACACTGCTGAGATCTGAGAAATCTGAGAATTTGAACACACGCGGCATCTCCACAGCCAATGTTCGGAAAGGTCATCTCATTGAATCTGGATGGCATGTTTGAATCTGTTTGAATCAGTCTGAATCATGTTCTCGTTTAGCAAAACCACGCATGGCACACATGGCAAATCTCACCCAAGGCCAAATCCTCACTACTCGCCCGAGACATCGGTCAAGGCCTGCATCGGGTTGAAAAAATATTCTTAATGCATTTCATACAGGTCTCCTCAGGTCTCCTCAGGTCTCCTCAGGTCTCCTCAGGTCTCCTCAGGTCTCCTGGACTTGGATAATTTGAACATTATCCACTGAGTTGGAGTTTGTCACTGAGTTTCTTCATTGATTTTAATTTTATTTCTCAGTGTTTCTCTCAATGAGATTTCTCAGGTGTCATCAGGTGACTTGAATTTTCAAACCCATGGAGCCCAGTCGATAGACATAGGCGACATAGGCAATATAGGCTATAATATAGGCATGATTTAAACACGCTTTGCTGCGGGTTAGGTCACCTTGCTCAACTTCGCGATCACACCAACTGGTCTGGAGGATGTGTCTTTCAAACAAGCAACTTGCGTGGCAAGACCGATCTACAACTTTGAACGTTTGGCTGTTATGAGGTGGGTTGAACATTTGTTGAACATTGGTTGAACATGGTTAAATGTTGAACATCAACCATGGCGTTACTGCCCCTGGGCTCCAGGATCAGATGCTGGGAATCGTTGTTGCGAAGGAAAGACCTGACCTTGAAGAGCAAAAGAGCCAGCTGGTGCGGAATGGCGTTGGTGCAGTTTGAGTAAAACTTACTTCACTTCCACAGCTTCCTGAGAAAGCACACGGGCCACAAATGATCGTAAATGCATGCCTAGGGGCTTTTGATCGTTTGCATCCGACAGGTGAAAGACAATGCCAAGATGAACAAACAGCTGAAAGAGATTGAGGACATCAAGCTATAATTTTCTTTTGGTATGTTCACTGAGCATACCTGCATGCATCTGATGCCGCGTTTGGTTTTCACGAGTTCTGTGGGTTGTTGGCATTTGAAGTTGCTTTTATGGTTGCGCTGTTGAAGAAGTGGTCCAGTCTCTACAGCGTATGGCGCTTGCGTTTGCTTACCATGAATTTCCGGTTGTATGGTGATGGGACAAAAAGATGCAAAAAGTTGAGTGCTCTTCGAGGACGAAATTCTTCACTTGCTTTCGGCAAGTGAGGGTGATGTGCTCGAGGATGATACTCTGGTCTCAACCTGACTTTGCCGCCAAAGCTTTGCATGTCAAATTCTGGATCATTTCTGCGCGATCTAAATCCAAGGTCGACAAAGTGACTGCCTCCAAGCAAGTCTCTTTGGAGATTGGCGAAAAGCAGGAGGTGCACATGGTGCACATGGTGCATCACAAAAGCATCACATTCGATTGTAACAGTTGTAACATCCAAGATCTCCAAGATCTCCAAGGGCAGAATTGAAATGTCAACGGAGTGACATGGAGTGACCAAGCTTACCAACGGTCGTTATTTTACCCATCCCAAGCAGTGGTACTGCAAGAAACATCAGAATAAATCATTCCATTCATGCCAAATAGACGTGTAGACAGACAGAAAAGTAATGGATAGAAGATATAGAAGGGTTAGGAAAGTAATTGGTACAGGGGGTGGGGAAGGGGGGTTAATACTCGACATGGGGCCATTCTTGTTGCAAATGCCCAACATATTGCCGAACATATTGCAATCATGACAAGCAACCGAGTTCATAGTCAGTGTCTGCATCACACCAGTGCAGGTGGCAAAAGTGACGGAGGTGGATATCGACAATGCACGCGAGCCGAATCCATAGAGGGTGCACGCGTGCTTGAAGGTTGTACAGAGTTGCATTCATTTTAAAAGTATGAGTTGGAAATGCGGATTTACTTAGCAGTCAATTAGCAAGAGTACCGAATGGAAAAAAGCACAAGCAAAAAGCACAATCTTCACAAAAATCTGGTAAATCAGAAAAACAGAACAATATCAAGAAGTGGTTAGGAAGATTCAACCATTCCCAAAAATGCTGAAACCCTGACAAAGTGCGGTCCCATTGCCAAGAGACAGGTTTGGTACTCTTATTCGTACTAACACCTATAGAAGCCCTGAATTTAGCATTCGATCTATTCAGGGGGAATTATATACATTTATTATATTATACTATTGTGGTTGGTGGGATTCATTGTGGTTGCTGCCCACACCAAGAAGCTGCTGGCCGTGCTGGCTTTCAGAAGTGAGTTTCATGGGAAGCTATGGAGATTCAGCTTCCACGTGAATCTACAAGTACCAAATAGTATCATTTTGTATCATTGTGGTATATATTCATCTATATTATTATATATACCAATATTATACCAAATTAAATAGTATATACTATATTATACATGTAGTATATTCATCTATATTCTTGCAAGTTCCCTTGCCGTTGTGGGCAAACCCCTCATTTCTCTCGATATGTCGCAAAGGTCCTACCGTCCTGTGGCGTATCGGACTGCAGTTCTTTTCTTTGGAATCGCGACTTGGTGGCCACATCTGCCTGAAAAACCATGCGGCCATGCGGGAGTGTGTCACTGTCAGCATCTGTCAGCATCAGCCAAGGTCGAGCTGGCGAACATAGATCCAATGTATCAGTACAGCCTGCAGTGGTTCCTTGACGAACCGTGCGGCTTGCCGCAGCGGCTTTCTCGCAGAGTAATCCTCCAATGCTCCACGACTGTTTGATGGGCTGAGGTTCCAGCAGCTGTTCCAGCTTGCCGTGGATCAATCACCAAAATCTGATGTGCTGGAGGACAGGAACAAAAATTAAGCGCAAGAATTCATGTTCAAGACATCAAAAACAATTCTTCAACCCTCCGTCCGACAGCGAAGGTGACAAGTGAAAAATACGAAAAGTAAAGTCAAACCAGCAAATGCCTGCAGTCATGGCTGGCCAGTTCAGTTTCAAATGTTTGAATGTACAAGACAGCCCGTCGACCTTTTTAGGGGGAAAACACTCTGGCAAAACTTTGTTGAGTTTGCCTCGGGTGGCAAGAAATTCTTCCTCCATGCTGATTTTGCCAGCAGCATGGCATGACCTGTCAGGAAAGGTTGGAGATCCTTCAAGTCGGGCAACCTACACTAATATGTCATTATGAATCATCATGCATCATATGTTTGTAAGTTCATCCCTCTTTTTGAAAGCCCCTCATCCGAGTAGCATCAAGGACTTTTTCACTGAATCTTTGTACCAGAACATCTGTTGGGACCTCAGTGATCTTGCCATGTTTGACAGCTGACCATGATCAAGACGGTTACTGTGAACGTGCTGAAGGGGGCCTTGCCGCACTGGACAAACACAGAGTCTGTAAAAGATGTCAACCCAGTCAGAAATCTGGCATGACATTTCCAGTGACTCTACTAAGACTCTACCACCTTCATTGCGGTTTGAGGTCGTGGGCTGTTCGAAAAGGACAAGACGCTCTTCTCCTTTGCGCTTTGCATCAGGATCATGAAAGGCCGGAAGTTGCACACAAACATGGAAGAACTTACAAAAATGAGAGGAGGCCTGAGGCGTTTTACTCATTTTGTTTGATATTGTATATTGTCCTATACTAATTTTGAACGGTGCTTATGACAGGTGATTCAGTTGCACAATATATCAACTTTCAGATCCGTTCAGGGTTTTGATATGTCGATATATGGCGTTTTTTAACGTGTTGTGAAGGGTGACTGTAGGTGTCCAGTGTGACACGCATCACATCCCTAGGTGATAACCGTGTCGATGATGCTGAGCTGCGGTACCTCCTTGTTGGTCCCACATCTGACATGCTCGAGAAAGGGCCCATGATTCCGGCTGAGTGGGTTCGCTACTTAGAGATTCAGCATGTCTATAGCCACCCTTCAAGTCACTGTCTTCTTGCAGAGACCCAAATCTTTCAGACATTGAGTTGCAACATAACTAATATAACTACATGATACAATGTTACATGTTGTTTAAAACTTCTAGCGCAAGGCAAGCGCAAGATGTGCAACAAATCTGCCAGGTCGGGCCACAGAGGTGGAATGAGATTCTCACCCTTTGTCGTCTGCCTGCATTCAGAGGCGCTGCGTTTTAGTCATTTTAGTCCAGTGGATTTGAGAAGGTCAAAACTGGCATGTGACATGTCTACAACATTCTACAACCATTGGATGTTTCGCAGAGCAGGAGTCGACAAAGACATACAAAGACCATTACCCATGACGGATCCATGGTGCTGCTATATGGTGTGCCATGGATCCCATCAATATACCTCAGTCATGTTAGCATAGCAGCACCATGGATCCGTCATGGATCCGTCATGGGTTACAATTAATTACCCAATTGGAGCTTTTCTGCGACTGTTGAAGGCTTCGAGACAGCCATTGTGTCCAACTTGGAAGTTTTCCCCTCAGATTTCAGACTGAGGTCAAAGGGTTCAAAACAAGGTGCATATATCAAGATATATCAAGAATATAGCATATGCATCCATATGCTCTCCATATAATATATATATAATTTGAATCCAAGGCTAAAATTCCACTCATGCCTGCTGCTATTCCGAAATGCAGTTCCGATGTTCAGCAGCAGGATTTCAAGCAGATCTATGACTCTGTGGAAGCTGAGAAGGCAGCCGCAACCATTAGCCATTCCTTAAAATTGCCAAGACAAAGCAATACGACCCGTGGACAATATACAGTAGCCTTAAACCATTTTAAACCCCAGTAAAATGTGAATAAATGATCATACATGATAATATTGTGATAATTAATGTGGATTTTGGACATTCTTTAATCATCGATCTCTGGTGCGATGGCAGGAGTCTCTTCCAGATCCCTGGGACAAGAAGCTATGGCCTCAGAATGCCTCAGATCTGCAGTGTTGCCGCTGTTACCCAATCCACCCATTGCAGAAGTCTTTCTTTCTTACAATTTTCTTACATTCACTTGCTCTATAGTTAAACTTAGTTGCTCTGCCGGAAAAAATGACCAACTTTCGATTCCGAATCTAATCGGTTGTCATTAATGTTGAGCTGCAAGGTTGTCTCCGCTGCAACGCCTCTGCATAGCCGGCTCACCATTTGAATTGTTAGAGCCTAGCACAGCATCAATTCACAATTTTGCAGATCCTTGTGATCCGTGGCTTGGGACGTCAGCGGACGTTCTTGTAAGCTGACATACTGTGATGCTGTTGCATACTGTGCAGGATTTTCGGCTTCCAGCGTCTTCCAGCCATTTGCAGGGCGCACCAGTGTGAACAATGAGACATGACATGACATGACCTTGTGAACACCGTCACGACAATTCATCCGTCAAAACATCGCAATTTGTCGGATGTCGAAGATGTCGAAGGTCATGTCGCTCGCTAAGTGTTTGTAGCACGCCATGGCAGATATGGCCGCCATGGATGTCCATGTGCCTTGGCTGCGACTGCAGCGACTGCAGCGACTTCGCCAAGTCTTGTGCCCTCTGGTTGGAAACGGAAAGATATTCCCTCAGAGACCGCGGTTTTGCCAAACGGGGCAAACGGAGCGCTCTCTGAAAGCATGCGTTGTCGGCGCAGGCCAGACTGCTTTGCATCAAACTTGGGCAGTGTGAGTCATTGCTTCATTTTTGTGTGCATCGTTAGTAAATGGACTTTGCAGATAGAGTAGACCGGGTAAGTAGACCGGGTATGTGTTGTTCCACCCTTTGCTTCAGGGTAAAAGAGCATGCATTTGTTAATGGATCTGACAGCTTGACGCGCAGCCGTCTTGTAGCTTTAGATTTAGCTAACTCTAAGCACTTTGCATTTGCCATAGAATCTCAATGGGTTGTTACATGTTGTTACATGTCACAGTGAAATCAAACATGTGCAAGGCGTGTGTGCATTTCGACGAAGGCGGCAGCTTTGCAAGGCGCGGCTGGCTCTTTCCAACTCTGATAGATTTGTGTCGGTTGTGTTAGTTGAAATCCATGAACTCGACTGTAGACTTTTCATGACTACTCAATACTAGATCATGACTTTTCTGGAAATCAGGCAGCGAGTGCTTTGCGTTTTCCAGCGAGCAATGAAGGCCTCGCGTTGTACTTCCCATGTCCTAGGTCCTCATCTATGAATTTGGTACCATTTCGATCCATTTCGTACAGTTTTTGAACGGCTGTTCGATGTTGAATACTTGGAAAATCTTGGAAATACTTGGAAATACTTGGTGCGTGTTGCACCCTGTAAAGGCTGGCTGGATGGTTTGCGAGAGGATGGAGTTGTGGTAATTGAAGGAGTGCTTCAGCAGGCGGAGGTCCAGGAGCGATGCCGCTTCTCTGCGAACGACCAGCAAATTTGGAAGTTCTCAATACTCGAACTCCGAAAAAACCAGTAGAATCCATCCTTCACATCCCCAGTCCCTGGTCTCCAGCCTGGTCTCCAGCCTGGTCTCCAGCTCGGTCTCCAGCATTCTCAGAGCCTGCAAGGAGCTGAAGGATCTGGTATGGCAGTGGTTGGAAGGCTGGCAGTCACTACAGTAGCAGTCACTACTGGTAGCACTGACGAGAAACAGCCAAAACAGTAGGACAACCAAGGATAACCAAGGACAACCAAGAGTTCCTGTAAGTCCGATTAATTAACATCCTGCAAAGTGTGATAGTGAATGCCCCAGTGCTGTTTCTAAGGGAGAAGCATTTTGCTGAGATGAAGAAACTGTGGATATTTGATGGTCCGAATTTAAATTTACAAGCATAAAGACAGTTTCCACTCACCAGCTGCTTCCTTCTACGCTTTTCTTGAACAACTTTCAGGCTTTTGCTCAGAAGGAAGAGAAACAACATACAGCCGATACAGCTCATATTATGTCTTGAGTTGGAAGCAACATGCAGCGCTCAGTGATCAGCGTGTTCTCCTTATCCAGGATACGGTGGTCGAGGCGTGGATCTTGCCGATCTTGCCGGAAGTTTCTGAGACTTCACCCGTGAACATCCCAAATCACCATGAAACACCATGAAACACCATGAAACACCATGAAACGCCCGGAGCATCAGCTGATCATCAGCTGATCATCAGCTGATCATCAGCTGATCAGCTAATCACCAATTGATCCAATTGATCCAATTGATCAGCTGAGAATCAGCGGTCCTGGAAGTGTAGATATATATGATGTAGATTCAAGATTCAGCTGGAGACCAGGTCAAATTTCCAGGGATGATCCTACAACTTGGACAATGGCAGATGAACGCTGGTTTCGAACTTGGCTGCAGAAATATTGGAAGATGCGAAATGCAAATGCAAAGATGTTTAAAATATTTGAAAATTGTGTACAGCGATTGAAGGTGTCTCAAGACAGCCCACCTCAGGTTTCTAGCATTCTCTAGCAACGTTGATTTTGATCGCGACTTTCTATTCGCTGAAATGACAGGGGTATCTGCTTCATATCTTTGCGAGGCCAAAAGACAATCGTTCTACAGGGATTGTTTGCGTCCGGGGTGCTGGTCAAGCTCTTGCTGCGTGGAAAGTGAGGGGACATCCAGTATCTCAGCTGTGCTCAGCTGTGCTTGAAGCCCGAGCATCACGAAAGCTGTCACAGTGACGGTGTCACATTGTTTTCCTCTTTCTTTGTGCTGAAACATATACTGAAACTGTTGATATCAGAACACGAAAAATCAAGAAAATGGCTGAGGCGGTGCAATCAATATTTGCGAAGCATTGGGAATCTCAATTGCAAAAGGCTCAAGTTGCAAGACAGGTGCGAAATAACAATAACATGTCCCAAACGATCCTAAAGGATTCAGAGAAAGAGTTCCTGCTTGCCTTAACATGCCATAACATGTCTTAACATGTCTTAACAGTCTAAACATGTCCTAAGTGTCTTCACTGAGTTTGACTGATCTCGACCCCACATCTCTATGCACGGGACTCGGACAAAGCTGGTGAAAATCCCAAGGATGTGGAGCCTCAAGAATTGCTGACCTCCATGGACTGCCTCAATTTGCCACAGAACCGGAAGATGTCAGACTGATTCAGACTGCTTTGATTTTGTGAGGACAACATAGGAAAAAATTGGAAAACGAGGCAACAAGTTGCAATCCGTTCAGATTCTTCTCGTGTGAAGGACGGTCTAATTCTTTGGCGGCCCTGGCAACAGAAGCCTCAACAAGTCTCAGAGAATTGGAAAACAAGAGGGAGCTGGCTGCATGTGGATCAGAATGCTGCTTGGCAAAGTTCCAAGAAACTGTGATCATCTCTGGCTGTTTTTCCTACTTCCGGTGTTTGACTGTTTAGGTCTTCAAGCGCAGTGAACTTCTTGCCGTACAGGTTGGGAGTTGATTCCATGTTTTTTCCCGAGAGCGTCTGAGCGAAGGGTTCTTCTAATAGTGGGGATCTGTCAAACATTTTCACATCTTCACATCTTCACATCTCCACATCTTCTCATCCTCACATCCTCACATCTTCACATCCTCACATCTCCACATCTTCTCATCTTCTCATCTTCACATCTTCACATCTTCTCATCCTCACATCCTTACATCTTCACATCCTCACATCTTCACATCTTCTCATCTTCACATCTTTACTCACATCATCACATCCCCACATCTTCACATCCTCACATCTTCACATCTTCTCATCTCCACATCTTCACATCCTCACATCTTCACATCCTCACATCTCCACATCTTCTCATCTTCACATCACATCTTCACATCTTCTCATCTTCACATCTTCACATCTTCACATCTTCAAATCTTCACATCTTCTCATCTTCACATCTTCACATCTTCACATTCTCTCTTGCCCTCTTGCTCTCTTGCCCTCTTGCTCTCTTGCCCTCTTGCTGTCTCCTTCTTTTCTATTTCTCTCTTGAAGGCGCGGGGAAGTGCCAACGAGAGGGCACGAAACGCAACCCTTTCGCACGAAACGCAACCCTTTCGCACGAAACGAGGTTCGATCGCCAAAAACTGCAGTAAAGTTGCGATTTTGAGTGTGCCGCGGCAACCCTTTCGCACGAAATGAGGTTCGATCGCCAAAAACTGCAGTAAAGTTGCGATTTTGAGTGTGCCGCGGCAACCCTTTCGCACGAAATGAGGTTCGATCGCCAAAAACTGCAGTAAAGTTGCGATTTTACAACCTCGGCGGCAACCCTTTCCCACGAAATGAGGTTTGATCGCCAAAAACTGAGGTAAAATTGCGATTTTGAGTGCGCCGCGGCAACTCTTTCGCACGAAATGAGGTTCGATCGCCAAAAACTGAGGTAAAATTGCGATTTTGAGTGTGCCGCGGCAACCCTTTCGAACGAAATGAAATTCGATTAAACGTGTCTGTGTGTAAAAGCTGCTGTGTGTAAACGTGTCTGTGTGTAAAAGCGTCTGTGCATAAAAGCTTCTTTGTGTAAAAGCGTCTGTGTGTAAAAGCGTTTGTGTGTAAACGCGTCTGTGTGTAAAGGCGTCTGCGTGTAAATGCGTCTGTGTGCAAAAGATTCTTTGTGTAAACGCGTGTGTGCGTGTGTGTAAACGCGTCTTTGTGCAAACGCGTCTGTGTGAAAAAGCGTCTGTGTGCAAACGCGTCTGTGTGTAAACGCGTCTGTGTGTAAAAGCTTCTGTGTGCAAACGCGTCTGTGTGTAAACGCGTCTGTGTGTAAAAGCTTCTTTGTGTAAAAGCTTTTGTGTCTAAACGCGTCTGTGTGTAAACGCGTCTGTGTGTAAAAGCTTCTGTGTGCAAACGCGTCTGTGTGTAAACGCGTCTGTGTGTAAAAGCTTCTTTGTGTAAAAGCTTTTGTGTCTAAACGCGTCTGTGTGTAAAAGCGTCTGTGTGTAAAAGCGTCTGTGTGTAAAAGCGTCTGTGTGTAAAAGTGTCTGTGTGTAAACGCGTCTGTGTGTAAACGCGTCTGTGTGTAAAAGCGTCTGTGTGTAAAAGCGTCTGTGTGTAAAAGCTTCTTTGTGTAAAAGCGTCTGTGTGTAAAAGTGTTTGTGTGTAAAAGTGTCTGCGTGTAAAAGTGTTTGTATGTAAAGGCGTCTGAGTGTAAAAGCCTATGTGTGTAAAAGTGTCTGTGCGTAAAAGTTTCCGTGTGAAAAAGTGTCTGTGTGTAAAAGCTTCTGTGTGTAAAAGTTTCCGTGTGTAAAAGCGTCTGTGTGTAAAAGCGTCTGTGTGTAAAAGTCTCTGTGTGTAAAAGCTTCTGTGTGTAAAAGTTTCTGTGCGCAAAAACGTCTGTGTGTAAAAGGTTCTGTGTGTGAAAAACTATAGGGAGGATACGATGCAAACTATTGTCTTGTACTTGTAATATATTGTCTTGATACTACTCTTCTCGTCTGCTTAATATAGTGTCTCAATACTAACAACAGAAGACCCTGCTCCTCTACGCTCTCGGGCCATCCGTCGTCTAGTTTCGACAGATGACCAGACTGAGCTATGTGGGCCTCGCACTTCCGGTTGCTTGTGCTTTGCGTTGCAAAGGGCTTGGTGAACCTTTGCCTTGCCGATTCTTCCACTGGTGGCTTTGTATGTATCCCAGGCCGGATCAAACGACCTTGAGCATGTTTAATCCATTAATCATGTGTTTATTTAAAGAAAAGAAGTTTCATAGTTGCTGCGGAAAGGAAGCCATGGACCTGCATTCCAAGAAAAGATATGCGAAAGCCTCGGTGGGGCACAGAATCTGCGCAAACGAGGCGTGCAGGGCCACAGCTGAACATCTAAAATGCGTATAGCTAATATTAGCTAACTATTTTTTTTCATCTGGATGAGTCTGGAAAAGACGATAGCGTATGGAGGATGCACAACCGAGGCATCCTGATGATACAATTCACAATGACCTCATGTTTTGACAGGATGTTCCTATTGTTGCATGGCATAGGTGACTATATGGCTTTGGAGGAGGACAATTGGAGTCAACAAGCAGTTGGAATCTCTCTCAATCCTGGGGACATGCTGCTGCAACTTGCTCCAAACGTCTTTTGTTTTTGGTCGGACAGCTTGAAAACATTTGAAAGGAAGGGTGGAGTGAAGACTGTCTCGAAGAAGACTGTGTTATACCACACCCGTTTTGCAAGCCGGTACTGGTATGAGCCAGGATTAAGCATTTTTCCCACCCGGAATTTTGTGTTCCAGCTAAGTACCAATGACAAATGCAATTTCTTTCCTAGGTGGGATGGACGGCTGGTGCATGGCAGCGAACCTGCTCCAGGACTTGAAGGTCGCATAGCGAAGCAACCTGTCACTGTTTGACTTTCTGAATTCAACAGTTATGATATGTTACAACATGCTACAACTTTTGTCAGACTCTGTCCACGTTTGTTTCCGCCAGTTGGATGCGAAGTGGAATCTGCACCTGAGCTCCTTCGGATGGCCATACCCGTCATTCCCTGAGACTCGCAGATGAGGCAGAGCGAGAAATTGCTGGAAAATCAATAAAACTCAGCTATAATTTGAACATATTTAAATTATTTTGAATCAAAAAATTATATTCGAATATGAAAATTTTAATGAATTCATTAAAATTCTGTTTTGCAACATATTGCAGGTATTGTGGGCATCCCGCTGAGGTTTGCATGGTGCCCAGACACTTTGCGCAGAACCAGGACCCACAGGGTATGATATCAGACTGTGAAAGCCAACGAGCGGGCCATAAAAGGATGTCAAACGGGCTGTGGCAACTCTCTCCTTGATTGTGGACAGGAAGAACTGGCAGCCTGGAGAGCGCAGGAGCGCGCAAAATATCGTCTGCCGTATTTTGCGTTTCTTTTGCTTCGGTGTAGCTTTTGCTTGATGATGTTTGATGCGTTTGCTTTCATCCTTTTGCAGTGTTCCAGATGTTCCAGGGCCAAAGCCGTACCCGTGCAAGGCAGTCGCAGCTGGGGTGACGACGAAGCACTGGCCGCAGAGGCAGCGAGCACAGGGTGAAGCTGCAGGAGAGCTGTGTCAAGCTGGTGAAAAGTGCTGAGGTACGACACAAGGCATCACTTGAAATTACTGGACCGATCTAAGGTAGCAAATTTCAAATCTCATGCAGAAGCAAAGCTTGAGCGCAGTGTAAACTGATGAGAATGAATTCACTACCAAACAGTCAAGCACTATGAAGCTTTTCATGCTTGGAGGACTTGACTTTGTTCCTCCAGAGCTCTCGTCTGACATGCTGCGAGTGCTTTGACCGTCCGCTTGAGTGTTGTGGTGGCGCAGTCACCACTGGACCACGATGTGGATCCGTCGAATGCTGTGCAAAGTCACAGCAAGTCTTCAGCTTAAGAAGAGTTGGACATGTCGTTTCGATGCTTTAGACTTTTAGACGCAATCTGTAGACAGCACTATATTAATAAATTATGCCTTTGAAAAGTGTTCAGGCAAAGTACTGAACAATGAACCTTTGAAAAATGCAAAACGCCTCTGGAACGGCTAGGAAGGGCTTTCAAGGATTGTGTTGAAGCTTCGTTCTGTGGCACTGTCGCACTATATTGCACTATAGTGCATTATAGCGCACTATATCGCACTGTGGTTGCTTCATGTTGCTTCATGTTGCTTCATGTTGCTTCTTGTTTCAGCCAGGCTTCGTGCGCAGCTTCCGCATCGATTGCTTGAAAGCCGCGATCATCGATTTTATCACCCAGGCCGGAGGTGACCGGCAGGTGACCGGCAGGTGACCGGTGCGCAGCCGTCGTGACAGTCGTCGACGAGTCGTCGCTGTGTGCCATGGATTGACACATGGCGCTGGTGTTCACAGGAAATCGGAGGGAAATTTGTCGACCCTCCGACCTTTGACATTGCAAAGTCCTATGCTGATTCGGCCCTTCTCCTGCAGAAAGTGTTGAATCAAATGAAGCATGGGCCGAAGCAACAAAGGCAACAAAGTAATATGACATGTGACGAAACATCATGATGAAGTCATGATGAAGTTGTATAAGTTGTATAAGTTGTATAAGTTGTATGGGGAAGACGTAGGACATCCTGTGCCACCGTGGGCATCTTGCGCGATGCGCGATGCAGCGCCAAGGTCAACACAACACCATTGATTTTCATTCTCTCACCTGGCACGGATCCAGTGTCCGACGTCATCCGTTTTGCGGAGCAGCGACTCGGCCTGTTTCATCGGATGAAAACATGTCAAAGACATCTTGGAACAGATTCATCGGATGAACATGGATGAACAAAAGCACGGATATAGCGGATGGAGTGACAAGTTGCATAGTCCGCAGGGTTGGAATGGCCAAAAAGTTTGAACCCATCTCTTTGGGGTAGCTGCCTCAGCACACTTAGATTGCATCAGTGTGATTGCAGTCGATTTTGCTTTTGCGTTGACAGAAGTTGACAGGTTGCTTTGCATTGCATTTGTCCCCGATTTGTCCCACTTTCGTCCCTTTCCTGTTCTACAAATCACAAATCAGAAACAAAGCGATGCACCTGTCCGAATCTGTCCGAAACAAGGCAAGGGCAGGGTCCAAAGGCGCAGAGCATGATCGACAGAGCCCGACAGAGTGGAGGCGAGATCCGTGGAGGAAAGCGAATTTTTCGCAAACATTTCTGGATGAGTTTTTCAAAGACATGAAGAAAGACATCAAAACATATCAAAACCATCCAAAGGAAATGGCTCAGTCTGGCAAAGGATGTACAAAGAATGTACCCTGGCAGAGAATTTAAAAAATGCAAGAAGAAGAACAAGGAACTCAAAGACAAGAGGAGCAAGGAGCGGCGAGTAGCGGTTGCAGAACCAGAGAAAATTGAAAAAACCTGCCACAGATCTGTAGACCCATAGGATCCCATAGGTATTCTAAGAAGTGCTCAAGGTTGTCTCATCTCACAGAGATGCTAATTCAAATAGATTGGATGTGGAACTGAAACAAAACTGGGGTGCGGCATGGTGCAGGATGGGTATTGCTCTCCAATTGTCATTTGATGCAGCACGGACCTCAGCTAGAACTTGACAATTTCCTGATGTGTGGCACTATGTGGCTCTCTAATGTTAGCAATGAACTTGCAATGCTTCTGCGCCTACAAGATCTTCCAAGGTCCTGGATGCAAACACTTGAAGCAATTGCCGCACCCCCACACTGAGTTTGAGAAGAGGTATGAGATAATGAGAATGTATGAGAGCTGCAGTGGGTCGGTTGTCAACTGGTCCGTGGTCCGCGACGGATCTGAGCCGACTATGTCACACCATGTCACAGCGCTATCACAGCGCTTTAGGTTGAACAACTGGACCCCGAGACGATGTCCAACAATTTCCGCTTGTGGCTTACTTCTATGCCAGCCAAGTCATTCCCCGTGCAGGTCGGATCATGATCATGCATGATCATGCATGATCATGCGGGATGCGTGAGATTTTCCTAGCGGATCTAGCGCTTCTAGATGAATCTCAGATGCCCTTGAGAAGTGTCGTCGCAGGAACAGACCTGAAATCGACATGGATGGACACAGACACACGGTACATATCATACACATTCATACACTTATAGTTACACATGTTACACAAATTCAAGATATTTACACTGCCGGAGAACAGGGTCCGTAAAATTTGTTCGATGTCCAAAGTCTCGGAGGTTGCCAGGGTATGGGAGGAACTACAACCAACACCCATCCTCATCCAAACACCCAAATGTACTCCAAATGTCTAGATGGTTCACATTTGTTCACCTGGGTCAAACGGAGAGTTAAACGGAGATCTGTGAAAACCACCTCGGAAGGTGTTGCTCTAGTGTGGTGATCCTGCTAGCCTCGTGCAATGTAGCCCATGCCGTAGCCCATATCACTACCCCTAGTTGCGAGATGTTGTGAGCAGCACATGGGCTTCGCATGTTTATTTCCCCAGCCTGTTTGATTTTTTAATGACATTTTATGGCATTTTAAGACATTTTATGACATGTTATGCCAATATCATACTATATCTCTGGGGCATCGAAGGTCTTGCAGAACGGTGTGAAGATGACCAACGAGCCTCCCTCTGGACTCCGAGCCAACTTGTGGAGCGCCAAGTACTGCAGAAAGTTACAAGTTGCTTCTGTTAAGAAGAAGGATTGCATTTTGAGTTTCCCATGTAAATCATTCTATCATGTCTATCTCTTTCTCATCATTTGGACATGTCATTGACATTGTCTCTGATGCGCAAACGTGCTTTCAGCGCCTGCTCTCCGAATGATGGTTTTGACTTTGGGCCCTGGGTTCTGTTGTGACCCTTCCATGTTTTTGCATTTTTCACTTTGACGGATTGCTTTTTTACTCTACTATATAAACATGCAGGAATAGAGATAGCATTATACAATAAGTTATTCCAGTCTATTACAATCCTAGATCATGTGTTTTTGGAGATCTTTTTTCCTAACCGCTACCGTAATTCTCTATTCATCTCCATTTCAATCCTTGCACTCCATCAGAGTCACCGGAGCACAACACCTCAGCTGTTGCAGCCCTCTACAGACCTCTACAGCTTGTGAAGATCGTCTCATTATGCGGATACACTGTTACACACACTGGTACACACACTGTACACATGGAGTGTGCCTGAATATGTTTTACTTCATGTTTGCTCATCCCATATCATCATCATGTGTTCATGATTGGGTTAGTCCTTTTTGCAGGAGGGCGGCCCCGGTCCTTGTTGTTTTCTTCTCTTGCCCTCATTACAGTAGACCAACTTTGAGGCTGCGATCCTACACAACTGTGAGCGACCGACTCTTTGATGAGTCGAACAAGCCCTCCGTTGACGCCTTAAGAACAATGAGGAACACCGTGTCTTGTGCATCCTTGCAGGAACTTGCAGCACACAGACAAAGAATACAAGCACGTGCTTCGCTTGCTTCCCTGTCTCCCTTCTCCCTTTGTCAAACATATTATTTGCGCGACCTCGTTTGCAGAGGCAAGGACACTACTAGTTGATACCACTTGATACTACTTGATACTGCACTTCAACTGATTGGCATTAAAAGTCAATGGATGCAAATGGAGTGATAAACCATGATGAACCTTTCTTTGTTTGGTTACACATGGCATGATTGGGATGACTTCACTGGAAGGTCTTCAAGACCTTGTTGTTCGGGTTTTGCTTCTTCCACGCCGTGGTTCAGGAGTCTCCCAAAGTGTCCTCAAATGATCCACATTGCACATCTTTTGGAGTACATTGAATCTACGAATTGAATCTACGGCATTTTCGGAGTACTTGTGCGACCTGTGCGACTTTCAGGATCGCCGGAAGTTTGGGCCAATTGGTTGGAACATTCCTTACGGCTTCACACCAGAGGCTGCTCGTCCGGACCAAACAACACATCCGACTGAGTGACCGCACAGACATGATGAAAAATACGGAAAATACAATTGTATAATTGTATATAAGTATTATTAGCTAGCATTAGATACTATAGCATTAGATAGTAGTATTAGATAGTAGTATTGTATAATGTGTACTTCTTTTTTTTCGCTATTGGAGAAGCTGTGACCACTAATGTGTGCTCAGCGTAGCGCAAAGCTCAGCTCAGGACTTGGCAGTTTGCCGGCAGCAGCTCATGCTTTTCGTCAACAAATACAAGGAGAGAACCAATACGAGAAGATACTGGAAGACTGCGAAGCGCATTTGGCAGACAGAATAATACAGAATACAACAGTTGAGTTCAAGAATGAAAAGATTTTTTGAAGGGAGGATCTTGCCTTGCATGCCAGGATGTACCATATAAAGTGCTGAACTTTCTGGGAGCCCAGATCAACTATGGTGGTCGCGTTACTGACGACAAAGACAAACTGCTGATCTCGACGTGCCTTGTCGTCACTGAGATCCGCGGTCAGCTGATCCGGTCAATTTCAATCGCCGAATCTCCAAGTTGGCCAGATTTCGCCAGGATCTTGGGCACTTTCATTTGTCCTGAAGCTGTGAATCAGAAGGATCACTACAAGTGCGCCAGCTGCGCCAGCGCAGCTAGTGGAAAGCTTTAAAAAATGGTTTTATCATGTTTTAAATATTCTTAGTTCTATATGGTTTTGTCATGTTTGATAGGAATGGCTGTTTGGGCTGGTCTGCATCTTGCAACGCGAGTTTCCGACCAAACAGTTTCATGCTGTAGGTACTCTTCTAGCGGAGTGTATTTCGCCCCAAATGCTGAGAATGTGGAGGTCTGCCAAAATGTTGACCACGGCACATTCTGATCCAACTTGAACCAGCTTGAACCAACTTGAACAATGTGATTCATGTGGGATCATGTGGGTCATGTGATCGTTCTGGATTTGTACCCTGACCCACTGAGCATTGGAATGCGTGGCATTCCGCATGCCACGCAGCACACCCAAAGGATTTCGTGGAGTACATCAAGAGTTTGCCGTGTCGTCCTGACCAGCGAAAGCTGATCCGCCAAGACGTCCTGATTTTTGTTGGGTACATTTTGGTACTCTGAGACCGTCTGAGACCAAGGTTGTACCCAATGCCAGAAGCTTTTGGTCTCCATGATAATTGAATCTCGGTAGCAATGGGTCAGGGAGTCTGTGAAAATAGCTTCGAAGCGACCACAAGCTGAGCACTGAAGATCCTTCTTGGCCAGGCAAAATCACCTGTGCTCAAGAGGAGGCGCTCTTGGAGACTGTCAAACAGCATCACATTCAATGCACAGTTGATTTGTCAGAGAAAAACGGAGGAGAGTGCAAACTGTGCAAACTTTGCAAATGTTGGAGCAGTGGTAAGGCATTCAAGCTTCTCCTTGGGATGCAGAGCATGGTCTCAGCCGGTGGTAGTGGCGGTGATGGCAAGTCAGCTGATGATGCCTGGTTCCTAGATGTTCCGAAAAGATTAGCTGGTTGGTGGTTTGGAACATGTTTTTTGACTTTCCATATATTGATTATATTGGGAATTTCATCATCCCAACTGACGAACTCCATGATTTTTCAGAGGGGTAGGTTCAAACCACCAACCAGTTAGTGTTGCATCAACGGACGAGTCAAGAGGCACTTTGTGACGACTGAAGGGTGACAACTCAAGCGACTGTGAAATCATGCGAAATCCGGTGGAATCCGAGGTCATGGATGCTACGGCAGCATCTATCCAGGATAAGCTTCCGAAGCCTTTTGCGCATCCTTGGCATGCTTACAGTGTTACATAGAGCTTAGAGAATTGGAGACTTTGAAACGGCACAAATGAATTTAAACTGTTTAAACATGTTTAAACTCTTAGAAAACTCGGACACTTAAACTTTCAAAGTCCGCCTGTTTCTCTGGTCCAGAGCCTCAGCTGCTCGAGGCTTGACGTTTGCGAGCAGAAGTTTCCGACACGATACGAGGACGAAAGCGACATGAAAGCGACATGACATCATCATGAGCTGAAAAAAAACTTGAAGCTTCAAAAGGATCTTTAGAATTCCAAGACAGAATTGAAAGCTTTTGAAACTTCAGACAGCAAATTGGCAGAGGAAATTGACCCGCAGGAATCTATGAACACTGTGGTCAAGCAGGAATGTTTGCGTTTTTCGCCTTTGCTTGTCCAAATGGAGGATTTATAAATTAACAGCTTGCCTTCTTTTTCGTCATGGTGCTTCAGTCAAAATGCAGCTGAACATCTGAAGCCCGCTGAAGCCCCAAGGTTATAACAAGCTCTTGACCACCATGGAAAGCTCACTGAAGGACAGAGCAGATTTGACTGAGGGCACAAGAAGGATTCTGGACAAAATCCATCAAAATCCATCAAAATCCACACGCTGCACTGCTGTTGCGCCTGACGGTGGTTTCTTCAAGGCCTGATGTGTTTGTCAGGCGTTCCGAAAGGCCATCAAAGGCCTGATTGCAACCAGCTCAGCTACCAACATGCGCTCCGTAGTGAGTAGATGTGAGTAGGTCTTCGGCTTCGTCAGCATCGGGGAATCTCTCCTCTGGTAGCATCTGCTAGCACAATTCAAGCGACTCAAGCGATGTGAGGTGATGACGGCAGAGTTGGAGGAGTTGGGCAAGTCTATCTTTGTGAATGAGGCACAAAATGGATGTCACAGAGATCACGTTTAGATCACGGTTAGGGTCAGTATCCCAGGCGACCGATCAGGGGAACCATGGGGAATCTTGCCAGGTTCCTGAGATGTGGCATGTGCCTCAAAGCGGCTGCTGACTCGCGCATCCAATATATTCCAATATAACATATCTACAGGATTCTACAGGACACTACAGGATGCAAATATTATATAAGGTTTACTAAGTTTACTATGTTCACATACTGGTAAACATAAGGTGAACAAATCGTGCAACGCTTTGGGCATAAATATCAAAGCTGTCCATTGAGTCATGCAGCTGAAAATGTTGCGCGTTCAAGCGGAGAGATTCAAGCTTTACAGCTCAAGGCTACAGTGGCTTGAAATAACATCCATACAGGTGGAAAATGTTTGAAACATACTTAAGAGCAAGCTTCAACTAGAAGAAACACAAAAGTGCAAAACGATATTTTATCTATATAGACAAAGTTTAATGAATTTAAACGAAGCTAAAGACATCTAAAGCCGGTTAAATGGAGTACAATTAAGTTAAGTGAACAGACAGAAATGGAGTGGAAGACGGACCAACAAACACCCTGACAGACGGGAAGGCTTTCAGCACACTTCAGAGCCTGACCTGCTTCCTATATTGCAGTGGACCAAGAGTCACTTGACAGTCCAAAATGATCCGAAAGGGAGATACTGATATGTTGTAATACAGAAAAAATATTGTGCATCGGACTTGCACCGTTCACCATCAAGATCGGCCTTTGACTTCGATCGGGCTGCAATGAAGCGGCTAATGCGGCTAGTACTAGTAGCCTTACTCGTTGCAGTTAGTATCTTGGCCATGCAGCTGCTTTTGGTGTCAATTCTTGTCTAATTATATTGCTGTTGCTGTTGCTAGTGTTTCTTAGTGGTTCTTTGTCACTGTAGTCACTGCAATGATGGTTGTTGTATGATGTTCAGTGCTACTTCTCTTCATCAAGAAGATTCTCTGCCCAAGACGAACGGAGACGCACCAAGTTGTAACATTTTGCTGTCATGTGTCCTAGCTGTTGTAGCTGCTGTAGCTGTTGTTTTTATTGGGCTGCAACATGCATTGGCAAAACATGGCAAAACAACATAAAACAACATAAAACAACATAAAAACAACATAAACAACAGGTGCTCAGCCATCTCCACGACGCCGTAGTCCACCCTATGACGACCGACGGCGAAGTTTTGACGACCGGCGGAGAACCTTCGACGACCGGCGCCGAAGTTACGACGACCGGCGGCGAAGCTATGATGACCGAAGACGTTACATTCCTCCAGCACCTCCACCAGATCCTTGTTTTGTCCCAAACTGTGCAACCTGTGTTGTGCCACTTGGAGCAACATGGAGAAAGTGTTCGTTTTGGATTACTCATGATTGCTTGTGTTTATTATTTTTTGGATTTTGCGAGGACTTTTGACCATGCTTAATGCATCTTAATGCATATGCTATGACCCTGAGGCCTACGGTTTGCATACGATGTATGCCTGGATTCACGTCTGGATTCACAACGCACACTTGGCTTGTTTGAAGTGAATTGAAGCAACTGAATCCGTACTCTGGGCATCGGGCGGTGTATTTAAGTGCAAGTTTTCTCGGTCTGACATTGGATATCTATGGATATCTCTTTGCAGCTCTGGTCTGTATGGTCTGTCTATGTCTGTCTCGGGAACGAAGGAGAAATATACTTCTTCAAGGATTCAGATGGACCATGACCTACTGCATCGTTATTACCTTCTCGGAAAGTCAATTCTTACCGGTTCTAGTCGCGAGTGTATAGTCATGGAAGATTGTATAGAGATGTATAGAGATGTATAGAGAGATATTATAGAGATGCATACCAGGAATTCTCGGTTTGTAAAGCAATGATTTTGTCTGATTTTCTCATTCATAGAATGCGAAAGATGACTGGCAGATTGGTTTTGCCATTTTGTTTCTTGGCAGTTTTGCTTAATTGATCATACTTCCCAGCCTGTCTCCCAAACTATCGTGTTCAATGTTTTCCGAGGTAGTGTTGTCATCAATTTGTGTTCTCTCTTTCTCTCTCTCTCTCTCTTGCATCTGTTTGCTTATATTTGTTGGAATGGTTATGACAGAAACGACATATAACTTTTGCCTGAGGCAGCCACCTGCAGACCTGCGTGCTTGGAAAGCGGTTTCACAATTTAGCGAGAATGTAAGACTGTTTTCACAATGCATTGTCACTTCCTTGCTAAACGGTGTTCCACAAAGTCTACAGGCACATGTTGCAACTAGGTAACTAGGCCAGGCATCGAACGGGGACGTGCGATGATGTTCATATAGCTATAGGCTATAGCCATATGAAGTTCATATGGTGTTCATTTCTCATCGTTTCTCATCGTTTCTCATCATTTCTCCACGGCAGGGGGTTTGGCAAATTCCCCGGGGGCGGCGGCATCCTGCCGGGCTTGGCTTGCGCTGCTTGCGGAGCGAATTGCAGCAGGACAGCGAAATCTCAGAAACTGACATCAACCGATTCCATTGATTTCCATTTGAATCATTTGATTCCCAACTTGTTCAGCTCAAAAATGCAAGAACCACATTGCTTCTCCAACTGATGATTCCTGATGCTTTTAGCTTTGTTCTGAAACACGCCCAGATGTGATACAGCTGGTGCTGGCAGCTGCGATAAGAATGGCTGTAAGTCCTACTTTACCAATGTCGCACGGCGGCACTATCCATATACTTTGTTCTGGCAGAAACGGATTCGACTGCCTAGCGGCCACAATTGAGACGGTTTGAGAGATTACATCAAAAGCAATATATAGCAATATATAGCAAAATACTATAATAGATTATAATACTGTAGTTGTTACTATAATATACTATGTTTTGCACTCCTACGTACTCCCAAATGCCGTTTCCCATGTGTGAGGTCAATGGAAGTTGCAAAGCCTGCAGTTCTTTCTGCAACTGCTGCGACAGTCCTTCTCTCAATTTCTCTCAACACTCCCGTACTAATTCCTACAATATTCCTATACCTTCACAATACCTTCATAGCGGTTTTTTCAACACGAAACGAATGAACGGAATGATTTGGCATGCCGAGGTGCTGGAGCGGGCGATTGTGATGATGGAAGATGTATCTTTCGCTATGGAAAAAAAAGGACTATGAAATACTGAAATACTATGAACCACAAATGGAAGAGTGCAGTATCTGATTTGAATAATATAGATGATGGAGAATGAAAAGCACAAATGGATGCACGACCTAAAGCATCTAAAGCTTCAGAGTTCGTAGTAGTCGCAGTCATTGTACCATTTGTTAGCATCGGTTTGCACTTGAACTGGACGACAACCGGTGCAACCAGAGCAGCATTGGCGTCAATCCATGTCTCCAGCCAGGACTGGTAAAGGCTGTGGACCTTGCACACCTCACTGCTATGGCTGTAGTATATCTGGAGCTGCGAACTGCGACGCAGGAAAATGTGAAGCACAGCTGCACAATGCCGCACTTGTACGATCTTGTACGCATTTTTGTTCATCGAACGCATTTTCAAAGTCCTGTGCATTCCTTCACCCAACCGGCATATTTTGACTCTCAAGAGTCTTAGATTTTTTTCAACGACAGCCTTGTCCAACCAAAGTCTATAAGGATCCTACGTACACCAACGATGGACACAACTGCACTTCGTGCGGCTCATTCTGTACTTCTTGCAATTTAGCTGGACCTGGACTTTGTGACGAATGTGATGGCCTCGATGAAATGAAAGATGGACATGCACAACATCATACAACATCTCTACATTTAGTCTCACTAGTCCGGTAAGCATTAATAGGGTTTTGCATGGTTTTGCCCTGTGACCCTGTGAAATCGAACCCAAAATCGACGTTGTCCTGAGGTGATCGGACATATTTTGCCGACAACGACAAGACATGCAAAGTACCGTTGGCATCCTTCAGCTTGGTCTTGCTTTTATGTGTATATATACTGTATAAACATATGAAGGTGATCATTTATTCCTACCACTATCATTATGTCATTATTTGTCCCTCAAGGATGAATCCTTGATCAATATGGATCAACATGGATCATTGTATGATCATGGTTTGTTGATGTTTGTTGATGTTTGTCGCTAATGCGTTCAATTCATGGCAAGTGATCACCTCACTGCGCGCCAGGCTTGTGCCAAAAACTGCAACAGCTGCACTGATGCCTCCAACCAAGGGTGCGCCGTTAGACTTTGATCATGTGTTTTGAGGCGTTGTCTTTGCGTTGTCCTTGCGTTGCTGAGTTTGCAAAGCAGATTTTTATGAGAAACTTTGCAAACGCCTTGACAGAATCTAGCAAATCTGTTCAAATCTCATCAGAAAAATCCTTATCATGCCAACCTTGCCACAAGGTGTGTCTCCTGCACCGGTGGATATGAGTTCAACAAGAAGCACGAGTGTGTGCAAGTGGTAGACTACAGTGATTTGGCTACAGAAAACCTTCAAACACACTGCTGACAAAATCTTTGGACATCTTTGGACTAGCTGCTCAGCATTGCTCAATGCTGCTTGTTTGAACGAGCTTGGTGCTTTTGTTATCGTTTAGTCGTTGGTTTCGCAGGCTGGATGATTCCTGCCGGCGTTGGAGCGGTTGTCGTCCTTGGCTTGTGTGTGTGGGCGATTTGCCATCTCCGATCGGGAGGGCATGGTGCCAGAGACGCCTATCCACTCTTGTCCCTTGGTCAAAGTCGCTCAAAGTTGGTCAAAGTTGGTCAAAGTCGGTCAAAGTGTGGAGTGACAGTGACAGGTCACGTCCTGACATGGTGCAGCATGGTGTGGAAAAGAGTGTCACGGATCAGCACAGAGATTTTCACAAGCGCGTTAACAAATACCAGGAGGCAGCAGCAAATGTCTGTTCGGACGTCGACACGTTCTGCTTCCCTTCCATCACTTCCACTTGAGCATCTTGGAGCAACTGCAACACGGATTGAAGTCATCTGAGGTGGACAAGGATGGAGAGTGACACTGTCAACAAGAGTCCCCATAATTGCCAGTGAATGGGGAAAGCAACCATAAGCAACCTACATTTTGAACTGCAAGAGGTTTGCATTTTGCAATATCTGGAGATATCTGGAGCCTAGAGGATAGAAAGTGTTCCCAATGTGTTCCCATTTCCAGATCCAAACAGCTCTTGAGACCAGCAATTGATCGTAGCAGAAATGAACAAAAACAGGGAGCATGGAGCAGCAATTTCATGCAATTTCCACCAGGCCCCATGATTTTTGCGCAACAAGACCTGTTTTTTTCCAGCAAAGTCAACACATGTCGTCATTTGACTAATAGTGTGTTGAATCATCAGAATGATAACCAGAATGCCGGGCAAAATCTGTGACGCTGGAAAGCGAGGCCGGTTTGGTCGGTTCCAAGCGGAGCATGGTTTGGATCTCAGCAGAATTCCTGTGCAGAATTCGGCTGAAATCCATTGAAATCCTAAACCCAATGCCAGCGCCCAGGATAAGTCATGATAAGTCACTGCATTTCTCTTTCGATCTCTGTTTATTGATGTAATTGTATGTAATTGTCCTAGAGCAAAAGCAATGCTGAAGCAATACAGAATCGGAAACACCATGAAACAATTTTGAGAAAGAAAATATGTGGCGATTGTCACAGTTTTTTGTATTTCCGAGGCGTGGTTACTACACCTATGCTGGACGGAACCATGACGTTTGCGAGTTCCAACTGCAATTTCTCAACGGAAATGTGCAAGGAAGAGGTGTTGATGATGTAGGCCGGGCTCTGCCGGGCGAAGTCCTCGGCAAGGTGAAACTGGGGCAAAACAAAGTGTATCGAAGACGATTGAAGACTATTGAAGTTTGGAAATTTTGGAAATTTTGGAATTTGGAAGAGGCCAAACATAACCCAAGACTTTCTCCTTTTACTCTGGGACCGCGGTCCAAGTCCCGTTCCACTGTTGCAGCCATGAATGTAAGCCTTGTGGGCCTTGTAAGCTGAGTATTTAAGATCTGGGCTGGCTGACGGGCTTTGCCACAGAATTCAGGAAGGCAATGGAAAGATGTTTACAGGAGACAAAATTGTGAGAGAGAGAGAGAGAAATCTGAGTAGCTCCGGGCTTCAAATTCCTCGCAGTCCTGGGACAGGTGGCTACACCATCAACGGCACATTCGATGGCCGATCACATTCCATTCAATTCATAAAGCAGTGCCTTTGCTGCTCTAGTGAATTCTAGTGATAATGGAGCAGTAGTGATATAAGCGATGGCATTCTGCGAGATGCTGTGACATGAGCAAAATCGCAGATATTGGCAGCTTTCCAAAGCCAGTGCTGTGTGTTTGCATTTACTACTGTTCACTTTGTTCACTTGAATCATTGTTCATCATCTTGATACTCACATGTACATCATATACTCACCTCCCATGGCTTCAACGTGCTTCAACATGTTGAAAAACGTCGTGTTTCAACGTGTTTCACAGCGGGGATCATACTTTCTTGATGAGTCGATGTCTTGCAAATTGAAGAAACACTAAGTAGATCTAAGTAGCTATTGTATGCTATTGTAAGATGTTGTGTAAGATATTGTGTAAGATATTGTAAGACAATGGTTCGGATGCTGTGGCCAAATGACGTGACAGAGGCATCCTCGAGTGTCAAGTGTCAAGTTTCCGCCCGTTTTCCAGTGGCAAGAGAGTCAGATGCCAGGATTCCATCGATTCAATTGTCATATCAAAGTGGAGTAGACATCGTCACATGAGTAGGGCAGTCGAGTCTCGTAATGTCCCGTAGACAGAGACTGACATAAGTACGACCCCAGCGTCGTCACTCGCAGCCATTCGCCTCGTCGCATTTTCACAGGTATCAAAGAGGAACTCGAAACCAATCGGGCTTCGTGAGCGAAGACAATGAGGGTCATAAGGTTGCATACACTGGAAGGCAACAGGGTATTGGAAACAGTGGTGCTTGGATGGAAGTGGAAAAGGTGTCCACTCATGAGAAACTAATGCGATTAAAAAGCATAGATTATCACAAGTTGGCAAGCACTTGTTCTTTTCAAAGGAGACGTCTCTCACTTGGATATTTGAAGGACATTCGTTCATGTGATGGACATGGGCCACCGTATTTGGCTTCCTGACAGTGATTGCGATTGTGATCCTGACGTGACCATCCTTTGGCATGGCCCATGGGTTAAAAGCCCATGATATCATCAGTTGCTCACCGTGTTGCCAGGAGGTTTGTGCATTTGTATCATTTAAGTCAAAAACTGGTGATCAGATTGATTAATTCTTTCACCTCCAGGTTGAGAAGGCTACAATATACTACAGTATTGTAGTCAATACTGTCAATACCGTCATTACCGTAGTTATAATTAATGTATATTCGATGTTTGCTGAGATGTTAGATCCATTGGCAAGTCCCTTAGCAAGTGCAACAAGATTCTTTGCAATTCATTGGGACTACTTTTGAGCGTTTTAACCAACATTGGACCAACTTTGAAACTGGCACGCCCGGGTGCCCATTGCCTGTGCAAGTCTTGCAGTCCTGTTCTTCGCCAGGTTGGTTGGTCAGAATTTGGGGGCAGGATTTCGAGGTTCATGCGCCATCCGGAACTTTGGGACGAACAGCATCTCAGCGTGAACGACACATTGACAAATCATGACAATATGACACATAAAACAAAAAAACGAGAATTACAACAGGGATGTACATTGTAAATCATTGTACATGCTTTTTCAAGCGATTTGGATCGCGGAATCTCGTGTAGCGATGTGTAGAAGAGAATTCACGAGCAGTAAACTGCCTTTACTCAGATGACAAAACGTGGAGCACGTCCGGCAATGAGGCGATGGCATCTTCCATTTGTGGCCAGCGATGGAGTCCTGGGCATCAGCATCAGCTCCTCCTTTGGAAGAGCCAACCCCGCAGGTCTTTCAAGTTGCGGAGGACGTTGAGAAAGATAGGCTCACAATGACTCGCATAGATACCATATGAATCGATATGATTATATGTTATATATATATAATATTGTATATATAATATTATATATATAGATAATATTATCTATATATATATTCTATGAGGCGATCATAACAACCAAAATCATGCAATGTGATGCAATTTGATGCAATATTTAGTGACTTCGATACTCCAAGTTCCAAGGGCGTGAATTGAGTCGATTTGAATTGTGTTTCTGATGCCTCGAACACTGCGCAGGACGGAGAATACGTGGTATGTTTGGACCGACCAATCACAACATGTTTGCGTCCTTGCGGCCACATAGCCATGTGCTCTCAATGCATTGACCTCAGATGCACCAAGAAAGACCAAGATGGACGGCAATTCAGACAATCAGCTTTCCAGTTCACTTCTGAATAGTTGATTGTTTTCACTTAGGTTATTGATTGAATTAACATGGATTAACTAACCTTTGCATCCGGATGTTTTTGTCCCGGGCCTTTGCGTCCGAAATTCCTACACTGCAAGCCACATCTGAAATGCTGCTATGGTCAATGGTTCACTGCCACAGCAAGGGTTTTATAGTCTTGCATGGTTTTACCGAGGTTTCAAGGTTCCTACTGTTCGTGTGCATTTGACTCATGTTCCATGTTCAAACCCATCCCGTTGATCTCTGATGTTTTCATTGTGAGCCGTTGAACACATCGAAAACTGTTGCCACATGTTTTGCCGTTCGAGACTTTTGTAAACCACAAGGCATTTTGAGTGTGAAATGCTCACTATACATCTCCATAGAGGGACCAACGTGCGCTTGTTCGAAAGTTTTGAAAGCTTGATTTCTGGCAGAGTTTCACCAAGGTGCTGACCGACTACAGAGAAGTACCGGAACGTGTCCAATTTGCCGGTCTCACATCCAGTGTGATGCTTACTGTGATGCCAAATGATGCCTACAAGATTTGCGAATTGTTGCTAAGAGCACATCATAAAGCAAAGATGAAGTCGGACGTTTGGGACTGAATGACTCAGAGTCTTCCGGACTTCTAGTGATTCTAGTGGTGGAGAAGCAAAACATTGTGACTTAGCCTGCAGGTCTATATTGGTGATGAGGAATGGCGAAGTTCATCCAAGTGCTGCTCAAGTTCCTCCTTTCAAGTAGAAACCTGGAGACTGGAGACAATTTGCTGCGCAAGGCTGCACACTTGAACTGTGCCCGCAGTCCATATGATGCATATGATGCACATGCTGTGCTTGTTTCCCTTAGATTTTCCCGGATTGTTTCCGTCAGATGTCAGATGTCAGTGGAAATGTCAACAGATGTCAACGTTGTGGAATAAGAAATGTGGAATGAAAAGTATGTGTCTTTCATGGCATAAGATGGCACCCCTTGAGCTCCGGAGTCCCAGGCTTTGAGGACCTGACTGGTGTCCGGCACAGCCGAGAGCCGAGCATCGCTGCTTAAAGAATTCAAAGAATTCGGAAGCTGCTTTGCTGCGAAGAAGCTGTACATGAAGCTGTACATGCACAATCCAAAGTACGGAAACGGTGGAGTCTGGTAGAGCTGGCAGGTGTAGAATGGTGTAGAGAAGACAGATCGCAATTCACTCTGAAGCTGTCTTCATTTGCCCTCCAGGACCACCATGATATTTTCCAATGCACAGAAATGTTGAAATGATTTATTAATCGTTAATCCTGATTCTGCTTGTCAGGATTCTAGGTGCTTGGCCTAGGAACGTTACAAGTCTTTAGACCTTTACTTTGTGCGTTTGCCCTTGTGAAAATCAAAATGCGGCGCAGCATGCCCGGCTGATGTTCACGGAAACGCAAAGAATCATGTTATATGCATGTGAAATACATAGTTCTTCCATTTTCATCCATTTTCATCCACTGTGATATTCGAGGTCCAAGAAGGGTCCGTTGTCACTGAAACCATTGAGCAGTGCATCCGGCCAGTTTTGTACAAATGATATGACACCTGGACCTGGATGAGCATGATGCAGCATCGAAGCATCTTGGCACAGGCTGGTTCCCAGACATCATTGCTCGTGTAGCATTTTTCCAGAACTGGAATGAGCCCCTTGGCTGAACATTACGGCCATGCAGAGCATTGAGTCACACCGACTAGTATACATTTTAGTATAAATGTATATAAATGTTAGTATTTTACTCGAGTTTTTCTGACAACGACCTGCTTCAGAACTGTCTTCGGCGTGGCTTTTGTTGGTGATATAAAGAAACGACGTCCTTTGGCTAAGTTTGGGCAAGACTCCACCAGTACATTGGATCAGTGGCATATTCTTCCCACAGGTGTGGAGCGATTGGATGAGATTGGACACAACAAACACAGTTGTTTTAAAGTTGCAAATGCAAATTTTGCAAATGTTTCGATAGATTAGTGATACAAGTTCGTATTTTGCGAGTTCTAAATTCACTTCCGGCAGTATGCAAGTTCTGCATTTCAGGGTGCGCTTGGCGTGGAGTTGTCATGAAAGTATGGCCAATGTGCAATTTTCCTATAAATCTCACAATATCCATAAATGGCATGCTTGGTGCAGGCGTTCTTCACTGGAGCCATGCAGAACTACGCTCGAAAACATGGCGAAGAGATTGACCTGCTTTCATTCTCCCAGAAGGCCAAAAATGTACCGTATAGACTGTATAGACATCATGTAGAGTGATTCTCAGCCCAATTGGCCATGTTACCACAGGTCTTCCACGTCTCTGTTTATTAAGTGTTTCCAGCAACAGGTCATGGACAATGTGACGAACCCCAAGAAGGAGACGCTGATCCGGACAACCGTTTTCCGTACTTGTAGCAGATACATACAATGCACGTACATGTGTACAGTATACATTATATTCTATACAGATCCCCGTCGCCGGGTTTTAAGATGCAGATGTCTCTGTTTTGGCTCAAGTGTCTTGGTTCAAGTGAATGGGTGACTGCCCACATTGTACTACTTTCTCTGGGGCCCCAACCTGCTCAAGCTGCAAGACGGTCTCAGAGGTTTTGGCTTGCGTGTTTGGGGTCTGGCCCGACCGGAGCAAGCAACTTGAGCTTTGGAAGAAGGGATGTTTCTTGGTAGGTCTTGTTTTTTCCCATTTAAACTTTGGCTAAAAAACTGCGAAGTGAAACAAAAGAATCAGATTCATCTTTATATACCTTTATAATAGATATTATATGATATGATATGCAATAATATGCTATATATGTATGCTCAGCCGCCAAGATGTACGATTTTGCGTGTTTTATTCATATTCGCGTGACGGCCATGAAATCACAGCAATATGTTTTTCTACAAACAGCGCCTTGCCTATTGCAAATACCAGCAAAACGACTTCTATTGATGCATATTGATGCTAATATCGGATTTCCACGAATGTGAAACCTGTTCATTCTGTAGAACTGTGTTGTAAGACCTATGGCATCAAGAGTCTATGGCCAAGACTATGTGATGTGAAACTTTCAACTTTGCGAGGAGCTTACGCTGCCTCCAGAGGCAGGGTTTGAAATGTTTCGAAAGGATTTTGTTGATGTTTTTTCTGCAAAACAGGTAGTGAACTAGTGAACTATTCAATCAGAGAAGCCATTTTTGACCCAGTCTCCAAGGGGTCTGTTGATGTCTGGCAATGCCTCCACTTCTCAGGACGGAGTTTATATCTACGGCCTTTTCATTGAAGGTTGGGATGGTTGGCTTCATGCGTTCGATGCTTTCGATGCTTTCGATGCAATCTGAATTTCAACAGAAACCTGTTCTATTCAAGTCCCTTGTATGAGGTGCACGTTGGGACTCTGACACCCACATGGTGCGCCAAGCAATCTGATTGTGAAATATTGTGAAATGTGAAAGTCTCCAAACAAGAGTCCGGAAAATTGCAAAAGTGTCTCTGTACGGATACTTTTCCAGACTGAGCTATTGATATCTATTGATATCTGCATCTTTGTGTCCGACAGCTGTCCGACAGCTGTCCGACAGCTGTCCGACAGCTGTCCCGTTGATTTGTCACATTCCAAGCTCTCCAGGTACAGGAATCCCAGCCGAAGGTGCTCTTCACGGACTTGCCTCCGCTCTGGTTTTTGCCGGTCAAGGAGAGCCCTGAGGATGAGTCATATTGAGTCATCGATTCGATAGTAAAGATCGCAAAAGCAAGAAAAGCCCGATGAGTGCGAGGCAATTGACGCAACTAGAAATTGCATGAATTACATTTGTATGATGATGGACGTACAGTTTTGGCATGTTTTGGCTGAAGTGAGTGATGATGTGACAAATTAAGATGACACGAAGACTCCAAAGACTAATTGAAAACAGAGCATGAAGAAAAAAAACACAGATTGGGAAACAGGAAAGCAATGGCTGACGGTTGACAACACCAAAACAGACCATTTGGCTTGGTCCTGCGTGACAGTGTCATTGTTATGGCAAGGACCGGAAGCCCAACCCCACAGACTACAGATGTCCGACCTACAAGGCGCACTGCTGGTGAATAGGGTACGTTATGCATTTGTATGATACTTTATGTATCTTTATGTGCTTTTGCACCCATGCTTCATCATGCTTCTCTCAATGTGAAAACATGGGAATCATTCTGGGGTGGGACACTACTTGGAGTACATCATCTATCATAGTCTGAACATTCTAACCATGTACGGGCGCGTGGGTTGCTGGTATCAATGCGAGAAATTATGTGACCTTTGCATTTTCTGCAGAGGGTCTATACTGCGATGCTTTTTCAGTGGTGTCCGGACGAGGATGATGCAGTGTTTTTTTCTTGACTATTGATATTGTGGTTGATGGCTGGAGTCCGGCTGGAGGGCAAGGGACGGCTATCGAGCCCTTTTTCCTTTTCGTGATTTTTGCGAGATCAATCATCACTGACGCACAGATGGTTGATATGGTTGGCATTTCAGAGTCCAAGAACGCTAGCACAAGATACGGTAAGTCCCAAGTTTCAAAAGTGGGACGTTCAGGTAGGGACCTGCCACATGAGCAAGATGAAAATCCATTGTCTTCCTTTGTTTTTCACATCATTTTTTAAAGGTTGTTTATTTCATTTAATCCCATATGCAAACACCGCACGTGCGCCATCAGATATGCTGGAAATTCGCACAATGGAAGGTATAACTCGGCATAACTATTAAAAGCAGCCAGAGAAGCTGAAGTCCGAAAGGATGGCTGCCCTGTACCTCCGATCCCAAAGGTGCATCCAAATGCAAAGCAACGCATCAGAAATACCATAACTTCATACTTCAAAGCAATATTTTTCATAGCAGTTGTATCAGCTACAAAACGGTTTAAGAATAGCGCTTGATACAAGTGAACGGGATCTTCCCTTGCGCGTTCTGGAATCAGCAGGAAGCAACTCCCGAGCTTGCGGCAGTTTGCGTAGTATCCGCAAACAGGTTTTATCAAAAGTTAGAAATGAAGGGACAAACACTAGATGTATATGTGTATGTATCAGACTATGTGTATATACATATAGATATGATCATTGAACAGGATATATACAGTATGCAAATCGAGCTCCTGATACTGACTGGGCATACTTGACTGCTGCTGGCAAGCATGTGTGTTTCATCCCATATGTACAGTATCTTGCCACTTTGGCAGGATCTCGTGTGTCCAGAGGAAGATCTAAACTAGTTGCGATTCTCCACTATTGTTTTGATTGATGTATTGAGCCTATTGAACTGGTCTAAGTGTTGATAAACACTAGATGCTTCTGGATGCTTCTGGATGCTTCTGGATGCTCTGGCATCACAAGAGTATTCCCATGTATTCGCTGATACTATCAGCTTGGTTGCGGTGATCCTGTGCGTGGCGGTCATCAATGGTCATCTCTTATAGCGCACCATAGCGCACCGCCAACTCCTGAGTCGCTGTAGAACTTTGGTTCTATGAGTTCTTCGGGAGGAACATGTTTATTTTTGTGTTGCCCTTTCGCCCATTGGCGGCATCGGAATGATTGCTCAAGGTTTGGTCGTCTCATTCCCAGCAAAATTAGTTGAGAGTCCATCAGCATTTCTCCTCAGAGTGATGCAATCCAGCTGTTCTTTAAGCACACGTGACACATCGTGACACCAGAGGAATTAGTTTTGGAAAGTTGATCATACTTGGCAGTGGGACATGTTCAAGATTTTGAGACTACATATCGGTTCTGTGTCCTACACTGTCCTACATCCTAAGAGTACTTCGACTAAAGAAGTAGCAAACGTGGTCCCCTTCAAGCTGCGCAGGTCCTCAGCCGGAAGGGTACACTTCTAACTACGGGCCATTCCACGAACTTTGTGCTTTACTTGGAGCTTCCCACTGATCAGGCAACGCGGTCAGCCTTCCGAGCTCCCCTAGTGTCAGCTGAAACGTTTTCAGCGCTTTGCCACATTTTGCAGGCTGTGTCAAAGTGGATTAAAGCGGGAGTTGCATCATTCCTAGCGCTGCTTCTTGGATGAAGGATAGTGATGGATAGCGACTCTCATGCTTTGATAGGCCCGTTTTGAACCGGTAGAGAATAAAACACGTGACTTTCAGGCATGTTTCACTCGAGAAACATGCAAGTGGTCAATGGGTTTGCGAATCCATCCTAAGACCATGACTTTGGTCGGAGTTTCTCAATACCTCCTTGCCAACAGCATCAAGTTTTCTGACACTAGAAGTCTTGGATTCTGAGGAAGCACTAAGTCGGGGACCAGAAGCAGTGCGACATTAAAGAAGTTCAGTGAGCCCGTGCACAAAGCGCCAAGTTGAATGGTCTCAAGTTGTAGAAAGCATCAAGTGAGTCAAATCTATGAAAATGATATTGGACATCGACTGTTCTTGTACTATTTTTTGCCAAGGGTCAAATGATAGATCTTTGCAGATGTGGTCGGTCAACGCTCAAAGAGCGTTGCCGCAAGTGTCCTGCCACGTGTTGGAATGTGTGTTTTCCACAATGTGTCTAAATGATGTGTCTACCTGACAGCTGGCATTGGTAAAGTATCGTACCATATCGAGCATGTTGTTTCATGTTTTGTTCAAGTCTTGAGGACGCTAACGATCATCCTTAGCACCCATCCAAAATTTGGGGGTGTGATTTCATTATCCAGTGATGCTTGCAAGAAAAAATGCTGTTGCACATGTTGCACTGGCAAATTGAAGTCGAATCTTCCTAAGAGTAAAGTGCGCAGTCGAAAATCTGAAACTCCCTGCTATTTGTAGATATGGTTTTGGCCCTGGCTATGCCAGGCTGCAGCTTGCCCTGCCCAGCAAAGCTGATATATACAATCCCGCCAGATTTTTGGCAGATAGCCGGCTAGTGGGAGTCACATTCCCTGCAAGTGTGAAGGGCGAAGCACTGAAGCTGGGTTTGCTAGAAACCTCTTTCAAGTTCGCCCGTGGCGGATTTTGACAAGGTCATTGTTTGATGTTGTTTGCTTCACAAACAAGTTTGATCAAAGTTGCCTCAGCACTTCGATTTCCAGCATAGATCACAGCATCGACAGCAGTCCACAGCACAGCCATGTGCACACAAATATCATAAATATCCACAATCTGAACAATCTGAAGCCTGAATCTTGAGCTGAAACCAAAATTGCCGTAGCGCGGCGATGGAAGATGAGACGCAAACGAGAAGGACGACCACCTGGGATGACGAAGTCTCAGAGAAGCCAAACATTGCATTAGTTTGACAGAAAGAAACAAGTGGTTGCATCAAGCGTTCATATATATTCGCATTTTTGCCCAATTGTTGTATTGTGTATTATTATGTTATATTATGTTGTTATATGTCAGCTGAGCAGTACTAAGGCGCCTCATCCCAGCTGGTCATTCAAGACGTACGCTAGCAGTGCTGCGCCGGCGTGAGGCTGGAAAGTATGCGGCTTAGCCAAGAAACATCGCAAGAGACATGAACTATAAGACTATGAGACTCTTGAAAGACATTATTAGACATTCTAAGACTATCAGATCCTATCAGATACTAAAAGCATCTACAAGCATCTAGAATGACTTTGCTTTCCACGCGTGTGAGCTGTTTGAGTTGGACACATGAGATGCTCTCCATGAAGAGACGGCGCGAGTGCTTTCTGTTTTCACATGTCATAAATTGTCAGAACAAGGCCAAGCGACCGACAAATGAAACAATGTGCGATGTGCTACAAGCATCGGCGAATTGGTCGATGGTGGTCAGAGTCTTACAGCGGTCATCACTCCAAAGGTCAACCTGTCATGATTATTCATGATTGTGTTTTTATATGTTGATATATGGGTATGGGTCAATACCTATTAATACCATTTTTAGTGGGATGAACATCCATAAATCCCAGCTATTTTGATGTTCACTAGGTGCCAGGGTTTTGACCCATCCCCATATTTTGATATATTTTGATATCCCTTTGGTGTTGATGACATCAACCGATGTCCACGCTAATATCCATTTCGGTCAAGTGGGGCCAAAGCAACCACTTGTCCAAGGTGGCCACCGAAACAGCTTGTGCAAGGCAAGCGTGACACAAGAACGAAAACAACATCTTTGAAACGTGTGCTGTTTGTATGATGTTGTTTTTTATATAATTATATATGTTTATGTTTGTGTTTAGTGACGATCCTGGGTGTGCATAATGTATATCGATATTTGAACAGCAATATGTGGTTTGTCATTTTTGTTCAATGATATTTTCCCCAACACATGGTGGATGTATGGCAAGTCTTCAGCAACAACCTTTGGCACGTCAGCTGGGGCTGCGCATGCTGATTCTGGCTTAGTCCTATTCTCAGCGCCATGATGCACCAAGTGATCCAACCGTCCAATGAAACGAAGCCGATGTTTTTGCACGTGATTTGGGGAGGTTTCTCCCTGTGGTTGACGATGTTTGCTTAAACCTGCCTTTCTTTTTGCGAGTCCAAAATGCCAAGTTTGAAATTTGACCACAAGGCCGGTGCGATTGCATTGGAGAAGGCTATGAAGGCAATGGAGACTTGAGACATTTGAAACTTCTCTGCAGTAAACCCGACGTTTGCATGCCCGTCTCTACAAATCATGTGTTTTCACAGAGCAGATTCCATATGATAGCTTTTGTTTTGTGTGTTTTCACAGATACATGACACAATATGTAGAAAGCACCCTTTGCAAAGAATCAGACTAAACTCTGAACCTTGTGAAACCCAAAACCTCTGCCTTAGCCACGTCATCGTCACTCTATAACTGCCACGTTGTATGGGTCGAAAAACATCCGGTTTGGAGCGAATACATCCTACATCTGCCACATTCTGCCACACTTTGAGAGCCGATACAAACATCAGGTTTTGCAAGTCCTTTTACTTTGATTACTTTGTGATACTTTGTGTCTTTTGACACCTGCTGATCCCTCTTGGCCTGCTTCAGCTTTACAGAACAGGACGTATTGTGTGAACAAACGTTTGACCAAGCCATTCGGAGGGGAATCCCGAAGCATCCCGAAGCATCCAGATTGCGCAAATTGTACTTCTTCCATCTTCTTCCATCTTCCATCTTCCGGCTGATGAACCTTGTGCATCCTGCGAAAGGGGCGCGGCACATATCGATACTCTCTTTGGTGTTGCCGGCCTTGCTGGGATGCTTGGCTGGTTCCCGCCTTAGACCTGTCCAGCAGAATGCCAGCAGATGTCAGAATCCGAACTTTGGTGCTGAATTTGCTGGATTTGGTGCCGAAATTTAGACCAAGGTGCAGTACAAGCAATGGTTCCATGATGACAACTGGAATATCGGAGCACCAGAGGCAGGAAGATGACTTCGCACAGACAGTAAATGGGCAACCCAGAAAACATAGAAGATCGGCCAGCAATATGTTTAAAGAAAGGAGGTCTTTGCAGAGTCAGCCTGTAGATGCCTGTAGCCTCAGCTGTCACATCTCGCGTCAATTTTGAGGAATCACCGACTTCGAGTTCTTCCCGAGGCCATGGCTGCGAGAAAAGCAATGACACACAGTGCATGACATGCATTGACCACCGATGATACACGGCCATAGCAACGCAGGTCGAAAGCGGAAAAGCCCTCAGCCAGATCTGACGCCAGGCCACTCTGACAGAATTCAAACATATTATTCTAACATATTCTGGTCCAGCCAGGTGATGGTTTTCGATCGATTTCATGTTTTTTGTCTATATGTTTGTGTATTTTGTGTCGAGTGTAGGATCACCCAACTGCGACTGAGCGCTTGTTGTGGCATAACTCGGCACTCGTCACGGCTGAGCCAGGTCAGTTGTACCACTATGACTTCGTGGAGATTGGAACTTCCAACTACCATACGTTTACACAGGCACACGCTGTACATCCGCTGTGAGGTTTCGGGGCAAGTTCAAACCCTGTCATTCATAAATTGTTGCATGTTGTTGCCAGTATTGGAGTCATCAAGAAATACCATGTTACTATATATATACATATATATATATGTTACTGATATATTGATATTTGTTGCATATCCAGATCGGCTTTGGAATACAAAAAAGATATTACGTTGTTAATCATTCATTCTCATTCTGATCACGTTTGATAAGTTTCCCGATTCCCAAGTGGCCTTATTTGTCATGTACATCCAAGCATGTCCAAGCTATCACACAGCTGCACCCATTTGCTGCATCTTGCTGCTAGGCTGCAGGCTCACATCCAAGCCACAAGCCGTGTGCCTATAGGTCCCTTGACCTTGACTTAACTGACAAGCAAGATACCAAGCAATAGGATGCAATAGGTCCAATGAAACAGAATGAGGCTATGCTCCGTAACTACGTATACACACGCTGCCAACACAACTGAATAATGAATATAAAAATAGCCTGTGAGAAAGAAATTTCCAAGAAAATTGACTTGATTGAAGACAGCATCTCCTGCTGGAGATACATCATGGCCTGTCAGGAGACAGGGAAACTATCTTGTTAGCATATGCGAGCCGGGATGAGACAATGGCTTTGTTTTGTGATGATTGACTGAACATAAGTTGAATCACGACTACCAGAATAGGTCAAAGGATGCTATAGATCTCAAACTAATTGATTTCTACTAAATCTACTAACATTGATTTATCTCCTTGCATACTTGCACCGTCTACCAACCAAAACTGTCCTTTGTCCTTTGAGGGAATCAAAGTCGTTCACGTGCAATGACAATGATTGCGCAGCTGGCAGTGTACGCATGTTTTCTGCAACACATGTGTTCAAGAGAACTATGCATGCATATGAGAAACATGAAGATGTCTTAGAAACATCAAGTCTTTAAGCTGATGCAATTTTTGATATGTTTTTTCATCCCATATTTGATTTTTTTTGCAGCAGAGGTGATTTTTCCAGCAGACAGCTCAGGTTTCTCCCCAAAGAGGGTTTGACGAAGCTGCGTGGTTTGGCGGTGGACATGAAGCAGAGGTGCAAAATTATTGTACCAAGATTGGGTGTGTAATTTTTGTGAGGGAGATGAAGGATATAGGATGATGGTGATGATGTAGGGATATCATGAAATATCAACATGAACTCTTGCGACTCTTGCTGAATGTGTCTCGGCCAGGTATTTGGACCAACTGCCCGACTTGCCGAATGCTTTGAGCCTAGTGGCTAGTGGCCATGCATTACTGTGTTTACACTCGAGACATGAGGTAAGGAAAGTTCGAGCTGCGGTCTCTGATCGTGAAAGCGTGCTGCAGATGTGAAGAACTCAGACGCAGGTAACGAAAGTATAGCTGGGTTTTGAGCAAAGGATTTTTTGAGTCTAGAGAAGATAGACCTTGCAGCATAGTATTGCAAAGGAACTCCTTGGCAGGATGCCCGAATTGATCACGCCTGAAGATCTTGTGCATCAACCTGTCAGTCAGCAAGACATTGAGACTAGTGACTAATTGAGACGTTGGATTCGAGGCATCATGTCAAACTTGCTGACATTGAGCACTGGGAGCGTGTCTTCGCCACACAAGGCAAAGGAAACAATGAAACAGATACTCGATGTAGTTTCATGTAGTTTCATGTAATTTGAAGTTTGTAGGGTGGACATGAACAGATCATGAAGACAGTGGTGCTGTTCTTGACGCTTAGTTCCGCTTCCATTGTGGCATATTGTGGCTCAAGGATGTGCTTTCAGTGTGTTTTCTTTGCCGCTGCCAAGATACCGCCCAGAATGCCACACATCAAAAGCGTTCAAATGCATTCAAATGCAAATTTAAACATATTTAAATTCAAATCATATGTGTACAATTCGGCAGCATTCAATCACTCCCAGCCTTTTTTGCCTCTCCAAGTCGTGTTTCCGTGTCGCGCGTGCTGACTTACGACCACTCCGGAACGCACATCCTACTCAAGCTTTGGGCTTGAGATGGCCTCGAGTTCTCAAGAAAAGATTGAGAGCAGTGAGACAGAGCAGGACGGAAAATTCGAGAAACTGATCAAGCAGTTTTATCATGTTTCATATTCTTTGCAAGATAGATCTGAGTTTATCTGAGCATATCTTAGCATGCCTTACAGTAGCTGTCGGGTTGTCCAGCTTTTGCTTCAAACATCTTCAAACACTAAAGACAATTGTCGCTGAGCCACTGCACTTGGGTCTTTCTGCTTTCGCAGCTGCGGGTGTCATCCAGCCGCTTCCGCAGCGGGGTGCTGCTGCTCTCTTTCAATTGTGGAAATATTGCTGTTTGGAAATTGAAAGTATATTTGTTTGGAGTCTAAATGGCCTCGTTGTTGTCATACAAGACTTAAATTAAAGAAATGCCGCGACAGATGGTGGTTGTCCACAGATTTTTCTTACTGTCTTACTTGCTCTTTCTACTTGTAGGGTCACTGTTTCTGGGTTTCACGTTGGACTGTGTAGGCATCGTTTGCAGTTGGCTGATTGATTGCACAGAAGCTGTGTGAGGACCGAGATGCAGAAGCGAAGCAGCAGTCCAGTGAAGTGCAACTTGATTGATATTTGGTGGCTTCTGGTTGCTTCACCAGCTGCGATCGGGTTTTCGATGTTGGAAGAAAGAAGACACGGTTTGCAGTTCCGAGTTCTTCAACTTATTCTTTATCTTATTTGCTCCTTCGGAAGTTAAAATGAATTAAGCACTATCAAAACATATCAGAACATATCAAAACACTAAAATTTCTTGTGTTTTAATCATTCCTGGAGGCCACCGCCACCACCACCTCCACCTTTGGGTTCGTGGAGTGGTGCGTTTTCAGGAGTAATGACTGGTGGGAGAAGGACTGACACGAAAAAAGAATGATTTTGCAAAGTCCTGAGATGTCCTGAGTATCCGATTCCAAAAGTCATCCAAGTCATCCAAGTCACCTTTTCATCATTTTTCATCATGTTTTATATCGTGCTTGCTAATGTTCTATGTCGATTACTCTATCGTTGAATCATGTTGGTCATCCGAGTCATCCAAGTCATCGTTGGCCAAAAGTTGGGACCGTTGGGACCAACACCCTGCAGGAAACGAAACTCTGCAGCTCCACTCGAGCCCCCCCGACGATTTTGTCGTGGGTCGGAGTATTCGGAGTCAGTCGTGTTGTCGGCGCTGTTGAAAATTCTGTGAAACACTGAGATCAAACAGCACGAGACAGCATGAGATATGAGAAGCGAGCCAAGTGAGCAGATAAGTGAGTTCAAATGTACATTCAAGATATATCAAGATATATCAAGATATATCAAGATATATCAAGATATCATTGAAGTGTGAAATTCAATTGATTTCAATTGTGATAATTCCACATGTGATTCCGTTCACGATACACAGAGCTTGTGGCCAGGAACGTCCTCGGATCCATTCGCTGTGCAGTTTTTGGATGTAATTGTGACGAGTGACGAAAAAAGGAACGACGGCGCCAGCTCCAGCTGAGTCTAGCACTGCAGATCAAGCACTACATTGTGTATTGAAAAACCTTGCTAAACGTTGCTAAACATTAAAAAATTATCAAGCACAAAATTGCAATAGTGTATACAGTATCAAGCATTATCAAGCACTTTTGACGCAGTTTGCCTCTGCTTATCTCTGCTTGAAACCTGCATCCTGTAGCACTGCTAAGTCGGCTAAGTGGGCTAAATATGCAAAGTCTATTCAGATCTTTTCGGTCTATTCATGTTTTGCACTGCGAAGTTGAAACCCCGTGAAGGCAACTACAGAGGCTTCAAATACATTCGGCTTGCACGAGGTGTTTTGCGGCTCCGATTTTGCCTAATTTTGGCGAGAAGGGGGATCACGAAATGGGCACGACAACGCTGAAGTGACAGAGAATCGTCATTCCTAGCAAGAAAGGTTTGGCTGATTCAACACAGATGTTCCATGAAGGTTAATATGAACCCATATATCTTCGCAGTGTTGAGTCATGTTGGGTCTACAGCAAACATGTTGAATTTTCCATGAGCTTACCAGTTTGCAGGATGCAGTGCCTTGGGTAAGCACAAGGTATTGGCAAGTGCGCTTAGTTTGGGGTCCCAGATACGGAAGGCGGAAGCTTGTGGAAGGGCTCGTACTTCGCTTGTGGCGGTAAGATGCCCCAATCGCTTGTGGCAGTAAGAACGTTCATTTTTTACTGCCGCAAGTGATTTTTTTTTACTGCTGCAGGTGATTGCTGTTTTTGCGTGGCAGGTGCAGCATTTCAAGGCCTAATCGCTTGTGGCGGTAAGATCGCGGTTTCTGTTTTCAATCGCTTGTGGCGGTAAAAATCTATCGCTTGTGGCGGTAAGTGGGTGTCCTTGATGCCAGGGTATATAAAACCAATCGCTTGTGGCAGTAAGCTGCTTTGCAGCACTTGCGCACATACTTGTCTTCTATCCATGTGATTTCTACACATTCACTGGAACCATTGCAGCGCTGACGTACAGAAGGTTTATGTTAACTTCTTTCTGTTGTACAGGATTTCACTGTTTTTACTGATGTCTTGATTGAAGTTTAGATCATGTCTGCATCCTTTTTAAGGGGATCTAACAAAGAGGGTTCGAGCAACTTTTTAGGGGGTTATTCGACTCGGTTACCATATAGGCAAAACATATGGCTTTTGATAGTATTTGGTGTGAATCCAACCCAGAGAGAATAAATGAAAGGAGAAAAAGAAAGACCGACTTTTATCCAGGTGGAATCTCAGCTCTGCTGTGTTTTTCATGTCTTTTCATTTTGCATTTGGGTATAAATAACGCGACGGTTGATATAGTGGTTTTAGATACCGTGGCGATAGCCTCACGTTAGGATATACATAGAACGGCGCGACCGCGACTAGATTTGAAGCTGTTAAGCTAGCGTGTATTTCCATGGAAAGGTTTAGGGCTCAGGGTGGAAATTTTACTTACATAGCTAGCACATCATCATTAACTTTCTCCTCCTCCTCCTCATCATCATCGTCATCATCATCATCATCGTCATCATCATCATCATCATCATCATCTTCCTCCTCAACATCAACGTTATTATCCCACCCCACCCCACCCACCCGAGCAGTAACTAATGATGAAAGAGCAGTGCCTGTTGCCGTGCCTGTGTGTGTACAAAACATGAACGTTATTATCCCACCCCACCCCACCCCACCCCACCGTCAGGCTCCTACCTCGCCTGTGGCGGTAAGCAAAACCAATCGCTTGTGGCAGTAAGAACGTTCCAGAATCATACTGCCGCAATTGATTGGTTTGTAAGAGTCTTACAAGAGTCTTACTGCCGCAAGTGATTGATTCTTACTGCCGCAAGTGATTGAAATTTTACTGCCGCAAGTGATCGTATTTTACTGCCGCAAGTGACGGTTGAGCCCGTGGAAGAGTTGGCAAGATGTTTGCCATGACATGACATGGCAGCTTTCCAAAAGAAGCGGCATTTGCAACGGTGAATATGTTTTATTTTGATTCATATGTTGTTTAATGTGTTTTGATCCGACTGAAGTAAGATGCTTTGCACCCAGGTAGAATTGGCTTGCAGCATCTCATTCGAGTCAGGCGCAAACTCTGCTTGGGTGTCAGAATATTATAAGATTGATGTTGATGAATATGATGTGGATATTCTCTAGTAAAGTATATCAATGTATATCAGCTGACCAGCGGCTGAACATGTGTAAGTTTTCACCAATGACTACGAGTATTTCCGGGTATGTCGAAAGTCGACCTCCCAGCTTAGGCCATTGTTGGAGTGAATGTGGGAGAGAGGGAGAGAGGGCTCTTAATCTTTCGATGTTCGACGCACATTTCTCATGTTGTGTCGTCATGTTTGAAAAATCAGACCTCGATTGTGAAATTCCTTTTGGCTCAAGCTCAGCAAGCCACGATAAGCTCGCCATTTGCTGCTTGTTCCAAAGATGGAGGCAGGATATGGCATTCTGATGCATTCTGCGTGTAGTATTGTGACGCTGTCCTATCGAGTCACATCATTATTCACTGATCATTTTGGCAGTTGTGTTCGTAATGCTCACCAAGCATGACCTCTTCATGTCAAAATATGACATGTTAATCATATGTTAATCATATCCACGTATATGCACAGTATGACAAACCGTTTTTTTTCTCTGGAGCTTTCTCAGGACGTAGAGACCAGCTATGCAGCCTTGGCGCGGGACTCTCTCAAAGCTCCTTGGGAGGAATGCATTTGAACGTCGTAGTCTAAGCATGTGCTATAATTTCTCTAGCGTTTGTCTAAGCTTCTCCAAACTAGGATATTCCGACACCCTTCTTAATGAGAGAGACACTATAAATAGGTGTGTATATATATATATAAATCACTGTCGCAAGAGGGTCAGAAGATCATTGGCTTTTCAGTAGGTTTCCAATTAAGAGCATGTTGCATTGCACTGAAATCATATGTTTTCTTATGATTTCTTATGATTTCTTTCGCTTGCATCTGTGTTTCATATATGTTTGAGGTTTTCAAGACGTGAATGTGTTTTTGTGTTTTTGACAATTTTTGTCTGTGTGTGTTTTCTATGTTTCAAAAAAAAACCTTGCTGAATTTCCCAAGGCTGCCTCCATGGAGCATGGCCTCCAGACAACCGCCGTCTACTGGGAGGGGCAGATGAATTCTTGGCGCGGCGTGTTTGGACAGGCGGCATGGCATATGGCATGAACAACGGGGTATCTGAGAAAGTGTGAAAATTGATGAAAAATCTTGATGTTTGAAGGAAACGAGGATTTGTTTGTTCGTCGTTCCTAGGTCTGGCTGTTTCCCAGGTTTTTCTGAACTGTGGTTGCTGAGATTGCCATAGATTGCCATAGATTGCATACAGCTGAGCATTGCCTGACTATGTCTGACTCAGGCAACATATGGGCAGAAGTGGACCTGGAAGCTGGTGGATGATCGCATCCGCTCGCAGTGGGGTCTCGCTGGCGACTTTTGACCGCACTGTCCACACCATACCAGGCCACATGTTCGATCATTTTCGCATGTTCAAAGAGAAGGGTTACGAAGGTGCAAGAGGATGCAAATAGAACGAAGATGAAAGCATTCTAAGTTCATCATGTTGATATATGTGATCATGTTGATGTTTGTGCATGTTGATGGTTGAAGATGGTTGATGTTTGCATTTCAGTGCATGACATTTGAAGGGCAAAGACCTGTGGGCTTTGTGAGTTGCCACTTGATGCCAGGTCTGGATGCGTGTGACGTTGCAAAAGAGCCATTCGTCTTCTACGGGGCAAAGCTGCCACGTTTGCCTCGAACAAATTTGATCCATTTATCATTTACAGTCACTAATACACGAACATGATGTATCGATTTTAATCCGCCTCTGTTTGCCTGAATATGCCCTGCCCCAATGTCCTCACTTTGGCAGTTGGGGGAAGTTTTGGTGCCGAGCCTCGTTGCGTTCGAAACGAGCTTTATCATTTCCAGGATCGAGGCTACTTCAGGAAGTATTACGGAGACAAAGACATTTACGACATTGAGTCCTTGCCTTAGCGATAGCGCTCATGGCGCTCATGGCGCTCATGGCGCTCGTTGCATGCATCCGCCAATTGAATCATTTTGCGTTTGTTGGCACATGCTGGCACGATTGAGTTTTGATTTCCCAAGCTTCGTTTCGTGAGGCCAACAAAGAAGCGCTTCAACTTCAGCTTCTTCCCAACTGGAAGCACAGATCCTATGAACAGGCGCCAAACTTGACCAAACGGATCCACCGGGTGAAGGGCAAAATCGGCAAAATGAATTGTTTGGAGATGTTTAGAGTTCTATCACGAGGCACACTATAGATACTATAGCAGAATAGAGGTAATACAGTATTTTTATGTATTTTTTATCTTGGGAACCTCTGTCAAGGAGATCACTGGAGATGCTCATAATCCACCTGTGCTTCGCTGCATTTCCTTCACTCCACATGGCGCAGGAAACCCGCTGGCGAGATCTCTCGTGCAGATGTTTTCGCTGCGGTCATGAAGAGTGCCGTTTCCAAGCAGCATTTGAACAATTTTGAACAAAACTAGAAGAAACAACTACAGAATGCCGACTATGCCGCCCTTTTGCGCATGCAGTCTGAAACGCTTGGCGAAGCTTCAACTATGTCATGTATCATCGTAGATAGTCATAATACCATGTCACGTCATATTTCAAATAAAAGTTGACTAAGCTTCATGCTTGACGTATGGATTGAAGATGTACACCGGTGATGATATCTGATGATGCTCATGTCACACTGTAGGGTTGATAGGGCTCCTTTCGTGCTGTGCAGCCCCAACCGAGTCAAAGTCTGTCTTCTCGGGCGTCGATCTTGTGCTCAGGTTGCTGTGGATCTTGACTACAAACTCTCGCACGCTTAGGCTACAGATGGCTACAGCTGCAATGTTGTTGTTTTATTTTTGTTGCCGATGAACGTGCCAAATTTATCATAATTTATCCGCACCAAATTGCTGCCGCATGCTATAATTTCTCATTAATTCTCACATTTTGGTGGATCGCTGGTCGGTGCGCCAGGCATCTCAAGTGAGGCTATTACAGAGAGTTGGAATGACGACGGAAAGCCCATCAGTATCTATCAAAAAAAAACGATTGTTTCGAAACTTGCCTGATGAAGTGCCGTGGCTATGATTCATAAGTGCATGCCTTTGTTGACATAAGTAAGACAATTCGTTTAACCATGTGTCATTGGTTCCTACTTTGCTCATATAAACGAACTTTGCATGTAGCCAAGCGGCCTTTTGAAGTTTGCAAGCGGTGCCGGTTTTGCAACTCGCTGAGATATCCATTGTCGTAAAATGGTGAGATGGTCAAAGATGGTCAAAGGTCAAAGATGATCGGCATCATGCTGGCATCATCCATGATCGCTGGCATCATCCAGCTGTGCCAATGTCACCTGTCACCTTTCAGTTTGGACAGTCGAGTCTGTTTTGCTTCGCCAGGTCCATGCGAACCAAGACAGTGGAGACGCTGTTTCAGGAATCCCAGGCTTTTCCCCGATTTCTCCGACAGTTTCGACAGTTTGTTGTACCATCTAAGAAACAGAACATGTATGTAATCTTATGTATATATTACATAATTGTATGATATTGTATGTACAACGTACATCAATTTGCTGCAAATGAATGTTCTTTGAGGTTTTGGACAAGTTTGAGGTGTCCATTTGATTTGAGAAGCAAACCTCCGCAGTTCAGGTCGGCACTGTGAATGTGCTGGCACTGGATTGTGAAGGTATGGAAGCCTAGCTCTCTGCTGTGTGCTCTCTGCTTTGCTCTGCTGTGCTGTCTTCTGTGTCGAGTCTGCGTCAGCATTCAGCAGATTCAGCAGATTCAGCAGATTCAGCATGTGGGATGTGGTTCTATGCGTTTGCACGTTTGCACGTTTGCACATGAATGGGATATGCGTACAGCATGCGTGTCATGGGTTCCACAGATCGTTCTGTTCGATGTACAGGCCATGACTGTGCCATCTTAAAGGGCCTCATGGATGCCTGCAAGAAGCGTCGAGAATGGTGAGCCCATGTGTCGATGCGGTCATTACTGGCTTGGCATGGCTTGACTGGTGTTTGAAGATGTTTGAAAATGTTTGAAGATGTTTAAAGTCTACAATCTACAAAAGCGCTTCAATCTTCTCAGCGTTTCATCACAAGTTTGCATCATTTTGCAAAAGTCTCCTCGAAACCAAGGAGGTTCGTTTGCCATCGTTTGCCAGTGCCTTGCCCTAGGGGGTTCTCTTCGTCCCAGCGCAGCCCGCAGCATTTTGGCTACAGAAATGCGCAGATCCAACAGATCCAGGTTTGTGTGGCACTGGCCTTATGCTGAGTTGACTTGTCCTCGTATCATCTCGTCTCATCTCGTCTCATCTCGCATCGCATCCCTTTTTACAGAGTGTGGTTGAACTGTGGTTCATTGCCGTTTAATGCTCATTAAATGCACATAAATGCACTCCATTGCATTGCTGCCTTGTGACCTGAGACTAACAATGGCCGTGCTTGCTGAAGCTGCAGACAGCAGGCCTGGATGTGCCTGTGGTTGGTATGTTTAAAGTTACGAGCTGTTAAATTTTCCATAACTTGCCATGGTTTGCCCACTTGCTACAGCTGACTTTCCAACAGGGAGTGGCAAGACGTACTCCGGATCTCGGAAGATCTTCGGCAGGCTGTTTGTCCCTCCCTCAGACGAGAGTTCAGTGTTCGCAGCCAATTTAATCAATATTCTTGCAAATCCATTTCTTCAGAGACAGGATATGGTTTCTCCTATCTTGAATGACTTCAACAAACCTGCAAACCAATTTTGCACCTGGCAACACCAAGGCAGGATTCACGCTAAACTTGCTTCAGAGAGGCCCTTCGCTGATTGCAATGCTGTAAGAGCCGCAGGGGTGCCACCCCCTGCGATTGAACCGCATTGAACAAGAAGATAAAACGACTTTAAGACGAGCCCATCGATGGCCCATCGGTGGCAGGGAGCTGTTACTGGCTGAGCGTGCAGCTGCTGCAGCAGAGAAAGCAGCAGCTGCGGCCGAAAGGGAACAGGCAGAGCGTTTGGCCCGGAGGCCCAGAGCATGTGCCGAAAGCATAGAAGATCTTCAAACAGTGCACGCACATTATCTAAATATAATAGATATTGATATATTAACATATACATAATTATATATATACATATTATATACCAAGTTTTTCATACTTGTATCATTAAATGATCAAGTACGTGGTTTATTCCATTGTATCTAATGGATTCTAATTGTGCTGTGCAGTATCTGATTATAGGTGGACTGTCCAAATGCATAGCCTTCATGCAGTCTAAGGTTGTCTAATGTTGCCCAACGGTATTCCCACAAAAGAAACGGCAACGATTTATCGAAAAGAAAAGAATCAAATTGCACATTGGAATTCAATAGTATTTTGGATCACTATATAGAAGATACCTTCAGACTGAACATTTGCGAAACTGAGAAAAAAGAGCATTTAAGAATATTAAAGATTATTTCTTCGAAGCAGGTGCACTTGGCGCTCCAACATTTCAACTTCACTGAGGTTCGAATGATCTCTGCCGCTGCTGATCGTTGCAACGCGTTGACAGGCGGGTTTACCCGTGCAAACTCAGCAGACAATAAATGTTGGCAGTTTTCAAAACATGTCTATGGATCAATCAATTAAATCGTCAGGTCTTGACACGTTCACTGCTTCATGGTAATGTTTGTGTTTTTTTCAGTGCGTTAGATCAGCCATGATTGTGAAGAGCATCACAACCTCTGTTGTAATGCTGTGCGGTTGTTTTTGCTATCGAAGTTGAAAACTATCCTTTGGATTATTTTGATCTATTTTGGACTTGTTGTTGAAGCTACTTGGTTCAAGAGCAATGCAGGCGCCAAAGAAGTCAATGCCTCAGCTCTACACCGTCTGGTGTGTTGTCAGTACAGGACGATATGATCGATATATATATATACATATATATATATATGGCACCCCCCCCCAAACGTCTACCATTTTAAGCTTCATAAGATTGGACTGCGGGTGCCATATATAAATACATTGTAAATAGGCCTTTAAAAACTGCCTGTAAAAGCCTTGCTTGATCTGTGAAGTTCAGACTTGAAGTTCAGACTTGATGTTCAGACTTGATGTTCAGACTTGAGTTCAGGCTTGGGAATCTTATATAATGTCAACTCCGGATTAATAAACCATGGTTTATTAATTGTGGGGGTACCCTCCAAATAGTCACATTATGATACATAAATGGTATCACCCCCAATTGAACAGCCTAGGGGTTGATTAATCCGGGGTTGACATTATATATATATATATCGATATACGTAGAAAATCTTGAATTGTTCCAATTGTTCCTCAGTCAAGATGGCTCGCATTCATGTTGCTGCTGTTGTCCTCATTGTTTCCTCCCGGGGATATATCATAAATGGACGCGAGTACGCCGTTCGACGATTCGATTTGTTAAGCTTGGCGCAAGTGCAAGTGCATGGACTAAGCAGGCAACGCAACCAAGTGGTCGAGCCATGCAAGAAACTCAGTATAAATCAGTTTGACACTCGCTCACATGGATGCCTGTGCTATCTTTTGCCATGTGCCAGCTGCAGCTTACCATTAGGTTGAGCTTTCTTAAGGCCAGGTGAAGTCCAGGTGATATTGAGGCAAATTGAGGCATCAATTTCCGTTTTTTGTTTCCAATGTAATTATTGCTGTCCACTTGGCCCTGTCAATCCTGTCATACCCTAGCAAAATGTTCCATCAAATTCCTCAAAATCTCCTATCCTAAAAGGCCTGGTCCAAGCACAGCAGCGGAAAGCTTAGTCACTCTTTGTCACCTGTACGAAAATTCAGACAGTGTTTGAAACAAATTCACGATCTTAATAGATCTTAACAGGTCTTAACAGTAATCTTGACAGAATTGACAGCAACCAAGGCTCCCAAGGGAGTTGTGGTCAAGCAGCCACCGCAGCGACCTGCACAGTTGGATGCTTTGGTCCATGCAATGCGCCTGTGAATTTGCTGGATCTTTTCGTGAATTTTTGTCAGTTCTTGATCTTACTGGGCTCGTAATGCTCCTACCTATCTTGCCATATCTTGCCTAAACATTGGAGAGTCCACGATTTTAAGGCCATCGACGCAACATTTCTCGATTTTCTGTCGTAAGGTCTACACAGTCGCATGCTGCGCCGACAAACGGATCCTACCCTCTTGCTCCACCCATGCCAAGCCGGAGTCCACCCCCGGCGTCCACACAGAGTCAGGCGCACATAGAAAAACTATGTCAACTCAAGAAGCAAGGACACATAAGTACACTATGTATCATTATGTATCATTATGTATCATTATGTATCATTATGTATCATTATGTATCTCATTGATTCTCATTGATTCTGGCCCGAAGTACCCCCAAGACATGTTAATGTCATTGCTGCTAAACTATGCTAAAGTATGCTAAACTGCTAAGCACTCTTCTAAGATCATCTGAAAATAGCAGCGGAAGATTTCTGAATATAGTTACGGACGACGGAAGATAATGATGTTATATATATATTGTAGATTATTGTAGCAGCGTAGCGTTCTAATGCCCGTCCGAAATACAAATTGCAACATACGAGTGTAGTCAGTGTAGTCTCTCGGGTCGGTGGAATTCTCCTGGGCTTGCGATCCAACCGATCCGTGCCCGTCTCACGAGTCTCACGAGTCTCGTGTAGGCGGAGTCAACTGAAGTGCCAGGCCGTGAGACCTGTGAGACCTGTGAGACCTGTGATGAGACTGAGATTCTTCGAGAAATTCACTGGCTCTTGCGCCAATTTGCTCGTTGATGTTTGAAGGTGCTGTTCTTCGAGTGAAGGCGCCACCAAACCAAGGGAGACGTGCTGCAAGCTCGGTACCAGCAACTCGAATCTGAAATATGCAGTGCCATGCAGTGCTATGCAGTGCTTCCGAAGGGTCACTTACGCAAGTACTGGCTGTGATTTGAACATCTCAATCATGACAGTCATGAACAATCAATAACAATCATGTATATCAAATCATTTCCTTGGAGGAACCAGTCCGCTGCGTCATTGCGGCGCTGCCTTTGAGACGTTTCAACATGTGCCGCTGCCGTGTGTCAGATCTTATCCAAGGCAGTCGCCCCAGCGTCAAAAGAAGGAGATTCTGCTGCTTGCTCCGCTTGCCCCTGAGACCAGACCCAGGTATTGTAAGCTATACATCCACGGCTCCACGGCTCCATATGGCTCCCATTACAATCAGATACAATCAGTTTGTCAATCAAAATGCTCCATTTCAATCCATGTTTCAATCCATGTCATGTCAAGTCAGTCATTGTGTGATTTGTGTGTCATGTTCTCAGTGTTCTCTGGTTCTTCTTTCTGGTGCAGCATTGCATTCAGTGCGCAACCTCAAGGTCAAAGTACAATCACAGGAATGGGGGCCGACTGGGTCAAGAACTCGCCTCAGTGCGCTCACATGAAAATCATGAAAGTCTGAATTGCTTCACAAATGGCCAAGATCAAAGATGATCAAAGGCACCATAGAAGGATCATGAACGATTAATGATTAATGTCATCGTATATCCTCCATGATAGATCATGATAGTCCATTATCATCCTTGATCTCTCGGCACCGGCATTGGCCTGGCATTCCTGCATTGGCATGTTTGACCTAGCGCCTGATATTGTAGGCCAGGCTCGGCTCTTCACAAGATACTCCGACTGGGACGGCTCTCCTAACATGGCCCGTTTTAGAGTCCTTCCATGTCCTTCTAAAGCTCTGTTTTACTGAATCTACACGCATACTATACAGTTACTATACAGTACATTGGACGTCGTTATAAATGTTATAGTCCGCAACCTTAACGTTCGCCCAGACTCATCATTGTGACATAACAGAGACAATTCCGTGTTGCTGGGAAGTTGCGCCAAGCAAGGGCAAGGCTTGGCGGCCAAGGGGAATATTTTTAGGCCACGGTGGCATGTGAAAGATACCTTCAAAAAGAGTTATCTTCATGAGGAAACAATATCAATCAATATCACCTGATCATCATGAGGGATCAAAATCCGCCACCCCCTATGACCAATATGCTGAACGGGCTAACAACATCAACTTTATCTTCATGAGGGATCAAAATTAGCCACCGCCTCTGAACAATACGTTGTTTGCGGGACATCAACTCCGGGCAAACGTCCAGGTTGCAGCGATGTTCTAATGAAGTCCTTTGGAATTCCGTGGGTGTCAGCATGTTCTCGTTGGTTGATGCGCTTGATGCGGGAATCGCGTCGCGCCGAGGCTCGGGGCTCTTGGCCGCAAACTCAGTTTTTCCGTGCCACATTGGATCCATAATGGATCCATAATGGATCGATAATGGATCCATATTAGCTATATTTAGTGATGCTATAGTACGTGCTCGCACTCTAGTGACCTGGCGGCCCCGCTTTGCATTGATGGTCCCATCCCGCTTGCCTACAGTTTTCGTATGTTTTTGTTAGGCTTGGACGGTTGGTCTTCGTGTTTCCTTCGATGCGTCATACACTGAGGCGACACCACTATGCAAAGAGAATGACGCCGTGAGAGAGGCACGGTCGATTCATCAAAATGGCTGGCGTGGATAGATTTTGGCAGAGCCCTGCACCAGGAAAACATGCCCTTTCTGAGCAAAAAAGACTCCCATCCCGTTCCCATCCGTTGCCATATTATGCACCCATATGCACTTTCAGCATGCCGTGAATGGTGCGATTTTTGCGATTTTTGGAGGAAACCTCTGAAGCTCCAGCGCAAGATACGCCAAAGAGGTGGAAAATGTGTTTCACAAGAAAAGAAAGGGCAGTTGAAAGACTTGTTGCAATGATCAAGTAGACTACACGAACCACGTGGTCCTGAACATCGACAGTACAGAGAGATGGTTGAATGCAGACTGCTTTATAAATCTTTATTTTTTTTTATTTACAGGAGCAAATCTTCCAAAGATGAGGCTCTTGAGGCGTGATTTGGTCATGTTGATCTATGTTGCGCTTGCTGTTGCTAGAGCTGCTAGCTGTTGTTTTTTGGGCAGTTGCTCCGTTGCTCCGTTTGCTTTCAAAAACGGTTGCCCTCTGGGAGAGCTTGACTCCTTGACATGTTGATGTCAGGAAGCAGCTGCTGTGGCTTCTAACAACGAGTAGCCTAATTGCATCAAGTGGCGTTCAGAGAATTTTTAGAGACAACAAAAACATGTTGCACACATTTACACTTGCAAAGCTACTCTTTCTTGTGCTAATCTCCTTTTCATCGTAGATGATGGGCTCTTGCAGAAGATCCAAACAAAACCAAGTACAGTGAGGAACAACGTATTCTATGAATCTCATAATGCGAGATTTGACTGCATATATCTGGATAAGATAGGAGTGCAAGATCAAGAACCATTTGGATCAGTTGCTGGGGCCCTGCAGCCACAAAACCAGCCGTTTGAGGTCATGCAACGGGACTCGTGTACAATCCTCAGGATAAATGGCTAGCTACATATGTATATAGATATTATATATATATATATGGTATACGGATGTCTACGGCATAGGGTGTGATCAAAATTGGGTACCCCAACAGTGACCACAGTGACCGTCCAGTGACCAAAAAAAGGTCGAGCCATTGCTGGATGATCTGGAGGAGACACCGGGAAAAAATGCAAAGTCCAGTCGTCCAGTCAACCTACAAGCTACATAACAGATCATAACAGCACATTGAATTACATAAAATTACATGAAATTACATGAAATTACAAATTAACATACATTAAGAGTCTCGGTCGGGGATTGCCCAGGATACAGACGATCACAGCTTGCATGCAGAGGATGAGATGGACGAGCACGAGTTGTGGGCTATGAACGCCCCAAGCCCACCAAGCAAGGCAGAAGACTTGGTGAATTGCTGTGAATTGCTGTGAATTGCTGCAAATTCCAGATTGTCTACAGTCATCTACAGTCTAACAGCAAATTACTGGATTGGCATCGCTCTAGATGGTGGTGATTTGAGGCGCTAGAATGGCTCGCAAAGATTGTTTTTGTTCCTGCGTGTTGATGCAGCTTTCCACTGTAGAGCTTCTTGCAGGCACATCCGACGGAATCTCCGCATTATCGCGCCAGGGACTGGGATGGTTTGGCTGAAACATGCAAGGTGGTTTGCACAATGCAATGCCAAAAGCCAAATACTTTTCTCAGACCAATTGAGTCTGAAATGAGCCGTAAAACGCGCCAAAGGAGCTGCTCCACTGAGGTTATGCCACCGCCTAGAGCGGATCCGCTGCCAACTGATCCGTTTCCCGACAGTGATGAACTGGAGACTGGGTGCGCCCTTTCAAATTCCTCCCAAATTGTCCTGCAGTGTTCTTTAACAGTCAAAGGCAGCACGCCCCTTGAATTATACTTTAGCTTTAGCTGCAAAGTTCACAGGCGTTCACTTTCACCGGAGGAAGATAGAGAATATGCAAGTTCCTCAGAGAGCAGAGGTCAACAACGATGATAAATGAATACAACGAGGAACATGTTTGAACAGTTTTGTGTTTAGAACAAAGTCGAATGTTTTTTCTTGCATTTTTGGTGTGTTTTTTCAGTGTTTTTGTTTTTGTTTGCATGTTTGGCAGTAGCATTTGGGTTGAAAGGCAGAGGAAGCCTTTGAGAGCGAGGAGAGAGGCCATGGGGACTAGGGCAGCAGCACTGTCATTGCACAGTTTGTCAAACAGCATGATGCCTACCAAGACCTACCAAGACCTACCAAGAAGAATCGAAGATGCAGCAGTGCAATATGCAACTGTAACAATTCGTTTGTCAAACAGCGTTCGACCTGCACTGGATTTGCTGATGTGAGACTTCAATCGACTTGCAATATGGATTGACGATGTTTGATACTCCAATGTGACTGTTAAATCTTGGAATTTCTGCGGTTTGAAACGGCGTAGGTGCAGAAGACTCTGTGTCCAGAGTGCCCGTTAAGGCCAGAGAAATAGAGGAAACTCATAACACACTGACATCGTCATACATCGTCTGACATCGTCTGACATCTAAAATCAATGCATGATCCGTGGATCTTCGTAGCGAACTTGAATAGTCTGGCGACGTGAGAATTTCCCAACTGTATTCATGCACAGTATACAAGATAGGGATTCGAATTGGTGAAATCTGGATGAAGGTAGACAACAAAGCCATGTAAACATTGTAAACTACATATTATAACTACACGGAAAACCTTCCCGGAGGTCTGAAATACCTGTTCGTATATTTAAAAGTCCGTTAGTATTTAAATGTAGTTCAATGTAGTCACCGCAACATACCGTAACTACATGTAACTACTTATGATGTTCACAGATGTTCACAATCGATTCTGAAGGCAATGCCTGGCCGCGATGGTCCCAGCTCCTCGGCGTGGCCTGTTGGAAAAGCTGCAGCAAGCAGGCGAGCGAGACTCATGTGACACACGTGACGTTCGTTTTTTCTCCCTGTTGTTGTCCGGTTTTGGGTTTTTGTTGTCGAAAAGGCTCAGATTGAACTGTCATGAAACATGCTTGGTCTATCTTGGTCTTTTAGTCTTGCCATATCTTGCCATGCTGTATCTTGATATATCTTAATATATCTTGATATATCTTGATATATCTTGATTACTGACGTATCACGTCGTTCGCCATTCAAGTGGTGACAACTCATTCGGCCCAAGAACACTGGCTGGTTACATAGACCTTGATAAATCGAACACGCGCTGACCACTTCAGGCTGCGTAGGAAACATGTCATGTAGCAGTCTCTGCATAAATTTCAAAGCGCATATGCAGCTGTATGGTCAGGTACAAAGCACCACCAGCAGCGCTTTTTGGTTCTTCAGTTCCAAGCTCAGTGATAAAACATGATTTTCCAGAATGTTGATCCCAATTTGATCCCATTACTCGTGTTGGATCTCAGTGGGTTTACGATGCTGTGCGTGGGTTTGTACGCTGCATGTGTGGGTAGGCTGCGTTGCTATGATGTGTTTGTGGCATGTCACGTATCTTGCTGTGCTTTCTCGAGTCGCTATGAGGCCAGCAGCTCTGACAGAAGGACGGCGCGTTCTTTTCTTTAATTGTTTCTGCAGGTTTTTGTGGAGCACATGTCACGCATGTTGCTTTTGGTATTTGTTTTGTACTTGGAGAAGAGTTGCCAGCACTTTCCCAAGTTTTGTCATGGGATGTTTGGAGTTGATCCCATGTCTCCCCGATTCCAAAAGTGCACGACGATGCACAACGTATCCCATGAAATCGTTCCTTGGTAGACATCAAGCTGCTTGGTGTTGCGCGTTCAAGTTTGCTTCGTGTCAGGGAGACTGGAAGCGAAGCACAACCAGCGGCCAGAAGCTGATCACAAGAGCCATCACTATGGTATAGATTGGTATAGTATATGGATTATATGGTGTGGTTTGAGGCAAGTAGTGTTGCCACTCCTGAGGCGTGGGAAATTACAGATTTGAAGAGTTTCAATTCCAATGTCTCCAGCAGTGGTATCAACATGTATCAACCACAATGAGCGCAACGAGCACAATGTTTTTGGCCAGGCCTCAGCCGGTTTGACAACATCCAGCGTGAAGGACTGCTGAAATTTGAATCGAATACGTTTGACCTTCACGATTGGGTTTGATTGATTCTTGTAGAGATTCTTGTGCTGATTCAGTTCTCCAAAACCATCAAAAGAACACAAAAGATTGAGATATTATAAGTTTCACAAGTATTATATAGTTTATATAGTTTTATATGTTTTTCATATGTTTCATTCAATTTGCATCCTCAACAGGTGCTTCGGTAGTGTCCAAGATCCTGCAAGGCTCCACCGCATCGAAGCACGGGGTGAGATTGCTGGCCTCGAACTCGTCCACGATATGTCCATGGGTCCATGATATGTCCATGATGGTCCAAGAGTATGTTTCAGTGTGTTAGTTACAGATTCAGAAACAGGCTGAAAATATACGTTGAATATGGATGAATATGTTGTCACATGTTGTCACATTTGAGATGAGCGAATGGAAGTGAATGGTGATGTGTTGGGTGCCCCCATTGAGTTCGAGCCAGATACGAGAGAGACGCTGCCGTGCGCTGGAAAAGTGTCTCCTTGCTGAGCTGAATTACTGAATATCCCTGTTTTATATTGCTTTATTTTCTTGCTTCCAATCTTTGGATATTGAGTTCAAAAAGGAGGCTTGCAGATGAACTCCCACCTTCGGGAGGTATCCAAAATGGATATTGTTTGAGACGAACGGCATGAACGATGAGACCTTTGGAAAAGGCACAGAAAGGCCAGCTGTTTGAATACCTTGGCACACACCATGAGGACTCATGAAGGGATTGAAAGAAAAGTGAAGTTTATGTGAAGGTGAAGTGTCCTTTGATTGAGAGTGGTTGTAAAGTCGCTGTAGAGTGGTGAACTGGTTGAGGGGTCGAGAGACACCGAGGAACATTGACAAGTTCTTCACTGTCAAAGCTTACATATCTATACAATATGTGTACAATATGTGTAGAACTCTTTAGCAATTTGAGAGTCAAACCAGTCAAACCTGTGAAGTCTCTGCAACTCTGCGACGAAAAGTTCACAGGTCGACAGTGGAAGCGCTTGTAGAGGAAGGCTATGAGCTGCTCTATGGAGGAGGTTATTCTGACAGTGCCTCGATGCATTCAGGAATATTTCAGGATATTTCAGGATATTTCAGGGCTTCAGGATGATTTTGTACAAACTCTTTTGGATTCTTTTGGTATTTCTTTTGGTATTTCTTTTGGTATTTCAATACTTGTCAATACGTATGTCATCATATGTCATGCATTGTCATGCCTGTATTTCACACTGTTTCGCTTTGTCACCCCGTTTTGCTTGAGTCTAGATCAGAGCAGCAATCCCAAGCACATCCCCAACACGAACTCTGCGCACTCTGCGCACTCTGCGCAGCTGGCAAGCGCGACACCGTCCTGCAGAGAACTTGGTGAGGGTGCTGTGGAGCGGAAGTTTGGAAGATGGAAGTCATCAGATATCAGAAGTCAGCATCCATACATCCCCATGTTCAACATGATTTGTGTTCCTTCAGATGCAACAAATGACATCCTTTGGAAGAGTTTCAATGACTTTGCTTTCGAATGATCCACAATCAAAGAGCCAATTTCCCAGACATCTGACTCACTATGCCACTAGCTGCCACGCTAGTTATGTAGCCTGCTTGGTTCTCGCAGACCTATATTTTGTACTATAAAATGCGGACGTGGCGCTGAGTTGCACTCGACACAGCTCATGGCTGGAGAAAGACGCAATCGATACATCTTAAAATTGTCATAAAATGAAAAAAAATGATAGACATCATGGAATAGTATAGAATAGTATGGAATATCATCAACTCAGCTTGAAAATGTGATATCCAGTCAGCTCACTGAAGTCATCGAGTCATCACGGCATGTGACTTGTTCGTGTCGTCAGTCAAGGTTGCCCACAACGGGCTACCTAAGACAAGGATCAAGCGAGTAACAAAGCAATGTTCAAGGATTGTATTGCGTGGCGACATTCTCAAGTTGCGCCACATAATTAATTCACCATGACTATGATCTTGCAAACTCTTTGACTGTTTTGGTCTCGTAGGCAGTTTTTGTTTCAAAGACGGTCTAGAAGTTCATGATATTTGAATTGGCTTTGAATGAACAGATAATCAGATAATGAACATCAAGGAACAGTTTGTTGGTCCGCAGAAATTCCAGTCTGCCATGGGAGCTGATGTGAGATGAGCCAGGCACAGCTTGAATTTTGACGGTTTTGACTCCGCCTTTCTCAATGTTTCAGTCCATTCCATTGCTGCATGAACTTCCAATCTTGCAATCGTTTGCCAACCTTAGCCTGCAACCTTTGCCAAACCTTTGCCGAACCCTTGCGTTGCTATGCGTTGCTGTTTCTTCCGGCCAGAGCATCGTCAATGAAGTCCTGGCCAAGAAGCCGAAGCGTCGAGTGGAATGGGTTCCCTTCACGCATCATTTGGGCGTTATTTGGTCGTTTGTTGAAGGTCTTGAGGGCTAAGGCTGAGCCTTTCAAACTGCGAACTCTGCCAGTGCTCAAGTAGATTGTTGCTTCTGTTCCACAATGAATTTGCTTCTTGTGAAAACTGCATAGTTCTGTCTTAAGATTTGCTTCAATACGTGTCTCCGTGTGTCTCCTACTCAAGTTGGTCTTGCAGAATTAGCTGAGACATGGACATGGTCCCTCACCTCTGACAGCACCAGCAATTGGACAAAACACGGGATCAATCAAGCACCAATATGGAGTTCACGCAGTGAAGAATTGTCCATTTAGGTTGGATAGATTTGATACCATTCCATGGTGTAGGGACATGTTAACAGGCATAACGTGGAAAGATGCATGGTAACCTGCATAAACATGGATTAACTAATATGGATAAACTGCCATTGAAGCGCGCTCTGCGTTCCAGTGCTTGACGTCCGGGAGCTTGGAATTTGATGGAATTTGATGTCTATGATTTTCTAACATGTTCTCTGTATTTCTCAATTGTCTCATGATTTCTGCGACAAAGCTTGGGAAATTAGAAGCATGTTTGCGATGTTTGGCGCCCCGCCAAGGACTGCCATGGCAAAAGGCAAAAGACCTTGCTGCTTGGCTCAGCTTGGCAGCGATTTGTTCCCGGAGAATGTGTCTTACAAAGTGCATCTTCAATGGCAGCGCAAAAGTCCATAAATGCCCATTACTGATATTCCTGTACAATCAGGAACAGTCTCGACTTGTAGGCAATTGAAAATGCTTTTGATGATTGCTGATGAAAGCCTCCTGCAAAAGCAGGTCCAAGACTCTAGCGTGTAGAGATTCTACGAGATTTCGGCATTCCAAGTCTCCGGGCTATGTTGCATACATTGCATACGAATGAATAGTACATCATACCCGAGGCTGCCGAGGGCAAGAAGTGGCCATGGTAAGTCTTTGGCTTTTGTGCATATTCTCGCTCTGGAGACTTTGGAGGAAGGGCTCATTGGGCTCAGGGCCGAGCATGGTCAAGCATGGTCGAGCATGAGCATGGGTGAGCGCTTGTAGACCTGCTAGTACTTGGACAAAGGCTGTGGCAAACACCAACAAAGAGAAGGCCAAGTATCACAGTGTCATAAAGTATATAAAATATACTGTAAGATCTGTAAGATTGATATAGATGATGCGGATGATGAATGCTGTCAGTTTCAAAGCTCGAGATCCTTGAGACCTCGTTCATCAGCAGCGAGGTAGAGTTGTCAGATCTAGTCAGATATTGTCCAAGGTGTTATGACATTTATGACGTGTTATGCTACAACCGGCCATAATCCCTGCTGTCACCATTGAAATCACTTGGGATTGGGAGCTTTCCGTCAGCTTTCGTCAGGAGCAGTGACGTGTCTGGCGATGGCCCTGATGGCCCTGATGGCCCTGGACTGGCTCCTCACTCACTGCGAAGCTATGCATGGGCAGTGAGCAAAGGGGAGCGGATGTTGCACAGCAACGCTGCTTGGCTGACTTGAGAACTCTTGATGAGTCTGTATTTGGAACTGTTTAGATATGTCATGATATGTACCATGTTAATAGATTTGTTGCACATGTCTTCCCATTCTTCCCACTTTATATAACTTGCCTTTTTTGGGAGACCGGCATATCACAATGGTTTGTTCTCGGCCTCATGCATATGAGCATATCCTTTGTTGGGTACATGCAATCACTACCATTACCGGATTAGCAACGGCTTCGTTTGGAGCAAAGAATGACAAGCAGTGACAAGCACAATCGAAACTTGGAGGCCTTGATTGTAGGAACTCATAGGAACTCTCAAAACCATGAAAGTGAAGGAGCAAATCAGAATAATCAGATACAATCCTGAAATGCTGATGCACATTGATGCACATCATTCAAATCTCTGATCCTGGTTTATGTATTTTTACGTCTTAGCCAATATGGAGGCTATTTTACTGAAAGTCAAACATGTCAAACTCAGGATCAGACTGAGGATGAGGATGAGGATGAAGAAGATCCAGAAGATCCAGAGAACCCGGCTCCACAAATTGACCCAGCACAGCGCAAACAGGACAGCACGGACAGAAGGGGTGCAGGATGTTTCAATATGTTTCGGAACATCGGACATCACAAACATTCACTGACACCTCATCATCCAAGCATCATCCGAGCATTTACATCAACTTTGGCCACCAAGACTTGTCAGTGATGTTTGGCTGTTCGATTTGGAACTAATGGATGGTTGTGGCACCAAGACTTTCAATCACTGAATCTCTGCTAAACGTTGTAGCCTACAGTAACTTCTCTAGACTGCTTTAGTCTCCACAGACTTTGGCAAGACCAAGGTCATGTGTCATATCTGAAACAAGTGCCAATTGTTGCAAGCTTGCCACTGAGGACTTAAGCGATGCGAAGGGACCAACACTGAAGGCACAACAAGCAGAGTGACTTGGCTGAGATGGAGCTATCTTTGAGGGTTCTTGGCAGTTCTTGGCATAATATGTTTTTATAGTGCTTTCATGAGACAAAATTGATTGCAACATAGTGCAATAGTCACCTAAATCAGTACAGTTGCTTTAAACAAATCAGTACAAACATTTGTCAGGCAAGAATTTGAACAAAACCAGGCTAAGGAAAGTTTGCGATGGGAAACACCTTTTTCAAAACCCTGCACAATGACTTAAACATACTTAAACCATGCAGCTTGCCGAATCTTGCCGACGCAGGTGTAACTTGTTCACTCTTTGGGAGTATCCCAACGGCGCTCCTGAATACGTACGAGTGAACATCGAGTCCTGGCGGCGGCACGCACACGGAAGATGCCTTGGCACTCAGAAGCACTCAGAAAAGTCAAAGTTTTTTGCCTGTCAAACTATGTCAAACTTATCAGCTTCGCAGAGGTTTGCACTGATACTTCCTGAACTTGGAAGGGAATATTTTATAGTATGGCTTGTATGGCGTATCATGGCATATTATCAAGACTTGGTGGAGATCAGAAGATGTGTGCCAAGTGTGTGCTTTCCTTGGGTGTGTGTGTGTGCGTGTGTGAATGTAAATGACAGATGCGCTAGGTGCAGAGCCCATTTTTCTCAATGAGAAGAACATCAGGCAATATATACCAGATCTTCCGGAGGCGCTTTAAGTTGGCTCTGTGCCAACTTTGAAATATCATGCTGATGAAAGGTTTATGAGCACAATACGGAGATTATCGGGGATTCGCATGTGAGGAATACTTCAAGATTCCATACCAAGCCGCGAGATCCGATGTTGTGCCCTGGCGGCCCTGGTGGCCCTGGCGCAGCCGAGGTGTTTTTGAGACGACTGGTTTGATCTGGTTTGTCATGACTGGTTGCTGTGGTCCACATGGGTCACATGAGCTTAGATGTCCCAAGGTCCGCTATGCAGTGATCTATCACAATGGTGGCATCTACATGGACACAGACTTCTTGGTACTAGAGGCGAGAATCGATGAGAATCGAAGAGAATCGATGAGAACTCTGAGTTAATGGCTCATATATGGCTCATTTGCGTATATTTGCGTTCTGGGCGTTGCACATCAGTGCAAATCATTGCGTCACTATCAAAAGGACTTGGATCCTGTGATTGATGTGCTGAACTTGGACTTGGTGTCGTACGCGGGATATGCAAAACGAGGACTGGAGTAAGGTGCATAGTGGCGGTGAGATATTAACCCGGGCATGGAATCACGGTGCATTTCTAGCTGAACCACTTGAACAACCTCAATCTGTGCAGTGCTTTGTGTATGGAAATGGACACCATGACTTGTGCCGGACTCGCGCTTGGTTTTGATGATGTCATCATTTGTGAGAGGAAATGAATGCCCACCCGAATTCAGCTCAAATTTCTTGGGTGGACGAAAAGGCAGCACCTTTCACAAGCGGCAACTTGGACCGCACAGCAGAAGTGAATCCATGTGAATCCCTTTGGTCATGTTTCAAGATCTTTGAGCTTGCTGATTGCTGAACATGATAGAGACTGACATTGCAATCCTTCCATTGCATGGGTTTGAATGGTTTTTCCATGTTTTTCCACTCAGGGTCTACGAAGCTGGGGACTCAGAGCGGAATAGCGCGCTTTTGCATGCTTTTGCAAGATCAACAAACGTCCGCATGCCGAGGCTCAAATCAGGAAGATGCAAAACTATTGCCCTGCCTCTCAAAAGGTGGTAGACATTGATTGCCTTTGCATATCAAATTGAATTTCTGGTATATTATGTTTTCAGCTCTGGCTACTCTCGCAAGACAGTACAGATCGAGAAGACATCTGCAGGGGAAGACCGTCAAAGGCAAAGAACAGTTTTGCTGTTTTGCAGAACCAGATGCTGCTTGGCCTGAGACATCAGGATCATCAGGTAAGCCACAGCTGTGCTTTTTTTTGGGTCAATTTTAGGTCAACCTGCCCGCAGACCTCAACAGTTGCCATAATAACCATAGCAAGGCATAGCAAGGTTTCAGCAATGTTTGAGGGCTGGTTTAGCGTAGTTTGCTTCGGTATTGACCCGAACGGACCACTTTGGCGTCAGGTGAAGTGTGATGTTCCTTGGGCTTCAATAGGCGAAGGAGTATCTCACAATGAGCTGATGAGGCCTTTGTGCGATGAGTTCAAGGCATTCAAAATGCATGCGATAGCAGTCCCTATTTAGCATTTCTGCATTAGCTCGGGACTCCGCTGAAGTGTGCTATGGGCGCAGGATGGAGAAAGATGGCGAAGAATTCACTTCTCATTGCTTTGCTGGGGACGAATCCTTTGTGCCAGCAGACATGGAAGGTGTTTTGTTGCCACCAGATTGCAATGATTGCACCCAGCGGATCCAAAAAAAGCCAGCCCAAATGCTGATAACCTGTTGACTCAACCTGTTACAATCTGTGAGCCACAAAAAATTGGACATTGTAACGGTAACAATTTGCAACAATGTGTGCGATCTTTATTTGTAATGTTGCTGAATTTTGCTGAGGCATGCACCGCTTTATGCTGATGCCATTGAGAGATTCAATCACGCCAACGCACGTTCCTAAGTCTGTGGATCTGGTGTTTATTTGACCACTTTTGATGTTTGTGGACCTTTTGTTTGGACTTCGTTGTGATTAATTCTGTGACTTGTCCAAAATGTTCATTGCAATGAAAATGATGGCTTTGATTTTGTCCTGTGTTTATCTTTGCTTGTGTACCTTGGGACTGTGTTTTTCTCTGAGAGCTGCCAAGGTCAGAAATCCCTTGGGACGAATAGCATACCATTTGTTCAATTCGCAGGGCTCTGAGTCAGTCTGAGTCTCCAGTCTTTTTATGTTTTTTTTACGGCAAAGATGCTGCTGGAACGCTGGAACTGCGGCTCCCGGGGACGGCTCGCTGAGGATGACTTCTTTGCAGACATGGTCATGCAAGAAACTCTCAAGCAACGAGACCTTGGTTGGAAGCCTCTACCTCAGGACGAACGGGACGAACGGGACGAAGTTCAGTTTGGAGGGTTCCACTCACCTCGAGAATCAACGGCATTCATGGACTTGCTGCACTTGCTTTACAAGCAGAGCCCGCACAAGTCGGAAGACATGTTCCTATACAGGAATGTGGAATCAGTTTCGCCTATAGGAGTTGTGGTGGCTAAGTTATGGTTGTTGGGTGACTGCAGCTTTGGACCACTCATCTGCAGTCACATCAGTCACTTTTCTGGTGGTAGCTCTTCCTCTCGAAGCTTCTCTATTTTGGCACATCTTTCTCTCGGCATTTCTCACACCTTCTCACATCTTCTCAGCTCTTCTCACATCTCAGCTCTTCTACTCTTCTCTCCTGTTCTAAACTCTTCTCGACTCTTCTCTGACATAATCATGATGGTCATGTGAAGTCGAGGTTATGTGAGATTGAGATAGATTGAGCGAATTGAGCAAATGCGAGGCTGATGTAATGCAAGGTTGAGGTTATGCGGGAGTCAATGTGAGGCTGAGGTTGAGCTAATGTGAGGCTCAGGTAATGTGAGGTTGAGGTCATCATATCATCTGAGGTTGAGCTGACATCACTTCTGTAACTTGGAGTTTCTGTTCGAAGTTTGATCATGTACCCAGATTAACCTCCCAGCGAGTCTGACCTTTGCTACAAACTTTAGATCACCAGGTTTTGAGGTCAGCTGCAGACTTGCGGCTGCTAGACTGCTAGACTGCTAGACGTTGCTTTATGTGGGAGGAGCTTCACACGTGGTGCTGGTTCTCAGCAACTTGGCGGAAGAGAACCATGGACCGATGGTGAAACGAATCGGTCCGACATAGCCTAGTGCATGGCGTGCGTGATGCTGGGTGTCCGAGTGTGAGGCTGGTAACAGGGGAGTATGCTGATGCATTCTTGGCGCGATATCCGGAGTTCAAGGAGCAGAACAGGCACGAGAGATCACGGAAACGTTTCGCAGACTGCTCACGGCTTCACTCCATGAACGATAATTTCATTGTATGTCAGTTTTATTCACGAATGCATAGCGAAGGGTTCTATTCCAGGGCGTCAGGTTCGACTTTTACAGTCCGCGCTATACACTTTAGACTCCAGACTCTACACTCAACACTCTACATTTGAAACTCCACAGTCGGCAATGGTAGGATAACAGGGGAGAGGTATACAAGTTCGTTGTACTAAGTTGTCTTACGAAAGTGTTTTACGTGATGTGCATTTTGTGTTCGTGGGTTCGATCAGGTTCTATATGAAAGGATGGTTGTGTTTTCATGTAGTGTTGTTAGTAAGTTTGAAGACCTATCTATGCCAGACGAGAGGTTGGATGCCATTGTGCCTTGTGTCAAGAAAAACCCTTTCGCAAAGCTGGCTTCGCTGGAAGCGCCTTCTGGTAAAAGCAACGGCAAATGCCACTGAGCTGAATTCGCAGAGATCAGACTCTCAGCACCTTTGATACACGTTCGTTTGGTGTTGATATTGTTGGTGTTGGCACAGCATGATGAGACAGCATGAAAGAACATGAAGCCCTCTGAAAAAAAAATGAAACAGATGCCCTTTGGATCAGACAGTCGGAACCATTTGGCATCCCTTAAAAGATTTGAAAACCAAAAAACGCGAGACGGGTGACTCCAAGATGCCTGTCAATTTGTGTTTCTGTGCGGACCAAGGCAACATTTTTTCAATTTCATCCGCAGAACCTGACGACACTCCCAATGCAGTTGACTTGAATGCTGCTGGGCACGGTGATACAATAGATGTCAAATGATATCAAATCATATCAAATCTACATACTAAATCTATATAGAAAGTAGTAGTAAATTGAGCTAGTTATTTTGCACATTCAAATGCAAGGTGACCTCTCTGTGTTTCCCTTTCCATCAGGAGCATTTTAGAGTTTTCGTTTGCCCAGTTGATTATCAAATAATTGCCCTAAAATTACGTAAAATTCTGAGATGCAGTGCGTGCAGTGGCTCAGGTTCAATCCTGGCGAAAGCACACGGAAGGACTTTGCAATGAGCCGATCCTGGTCAACGACAGCAATGCTGAGCGCCCAAGATGTTGTAAATCCAATGTGTCACATTGTTTGCCCAGTTGATTATCCATGTTGATCATGTTGTTTTTCTGCCGTCAATTTGCCCAAAATGGCATCGCAACTGGGACGTGGTTTCTTGGATATCCAGATATTTCACAGTTGCAAACATTCTTGTTCTGTTTGCTCTGCACCATAGTGCGCCTGCACCCTAGTGGTCAGCCCTTGCATCATTGTGCGTTTAGGTCAGAAGCCTCATTCCAAATTTGCCCGAAGAGTATTTTCGACTTCCAGGTCCTCAGGACTTGAAAGCGCAGCCGGCATTGGGCCAGCGGCCAGCATACAGGGAAGCATAGAGGCATAGATTCGCATCCGATAGACTCTGATAAACTTTGCGCCAGGAGAAGTTGGACCTTATCCGACCTGGAGCTTCAGCTTGCAAGAAGCGGTAAGCGTCAATCTCTACGGTAAGACCATTGGATACCATTGGATACCATTGGTATCAATCGAGCGATGCAAAACTTCCCGCAAATGACCACCTTCCGGCGCCTGCATAGGTTTGTTGTATCATCACGGAGGCTGGATCCGTTGTCCTTGGTGAATCTCTCAACTGAAATCGGCCTTTGAGAGACCGGATTCCCCCTGAGATTCCTGGGAAGCCTCTGAAGGCATGGTCCTTCAGTGGGATGTGGTGTTCCTTCGAGATATGAGCACCGTGGTGGAAAAGCTGTCAAAATATGTTTGTTGGCTGCATTAGATGGTTGTTTTGCAATTTATTGTATTTGTTCTTAAGCTTGACTTTTTCTTTGATATCTTTCAAACTATTTTGATAATGTGTGTTTACTTTGCCTGTCTCAGAGGACTTAGTGTCGCCGCTCGGATGCAATAAAGTTGTAGTCAAATTGGACAAAAGCTGTGCTTGGTTTCGTGTGCAAAGATTTAAACAAATCTTAGCAGTGGAGAAGAATCTTGGGACAGGTCGACTGAGCGAAAACAAGGAAACGGAGATGCTTGTGGAGATGCTTGGCAAATCCTCTTTACTGGAGGCTGTGCTTATGGTCCGTTGGGAATGGTCAAGTCGTGTTCTAGTTCGTGATGTCCCATGTTGATACACAAATTCTTTGCTGTCCTCACAGGTTGCATAGCTGTCGTGTTCTGCTCTTTGAGCTCTGTATGGGTCTATTCTCCAAAACAGATTCGAATGATTCGATGTATCATGGTGTATCTCATCGGTTTTAGCATTGGCAGGCAGGTTGGGGAGCCGATTTCACGGGGCTGCATGGCAAGCGGCACGGGATGCCGTCACGCTCTTAGGTGAAATGGTTCAATGCCGTTCAAGCATGTAACCCAACAGATGCAGCAACCAAGCGTCTAAGATCGTCTAAGAGCCAAGGTGACAAGTCACTGTTCACTAGCAGACAAGGAGCCTTTGTTCAAAGTTGTTTTTTCTGTCAGTTGATGAGTGAATGAAGTGTTTGTAAAAAAACCATTGTAGTTTTGTATGTTTTGTTGCCAAGTTTCTTGTGTACTATGCAGACTATGCATCTTTCCCAGGATAAAGAGAAACTTTGCTGCTTTGATGCCCGAAATCAACAGTGTCATGTACCTGGTGGTGCCTTGAGTGCGCTTACCATCCGCGTCAAGAAGGACGGTGTTGAGGGTGTCGGCGCACTGGACCCTTCCACACTTGCTTGGTTTTGCCATGTTTTATCAATGTTACAGATTCAGTTGCTGTTGCAAATCGAGAATTGGTGAGACTGTGCAGCTATGAGGCTATGAGCATCTATGATATCTATGGCATCTATGGGTTCTTTTATCATTTCCCAAAGTGGATCACATCCAACACCGAGGATGTTGAATTGTCACAGAATGGCCCTGTGTAGCGAGTTGGTTTTTTGCATGGCTTGGCTGTTCACATGAGTCAGGACTACGAAGGCGATGATCAGGTGATGACGCTTTGGACTCAGTCTTGAGACTGGCTGCATTAGCAGCTATCTTTCTTTGTGTGTACCTGGCAGTTATGGTTCAGACCAAGCAAAGTATGTTTCAGCATGCAAAATCAATGTGTGATTTGTTTGTTTCATTTTGTTTCTGTTGTTTGATTCGTTTGCTTTGGGCATCTTTTGGCAGTAGCATGGCTTTGCGCTTTGCCTGCTGTCCAAGCTGCACAGGTCCTATTGCTACTCAGAAGCTCAGTCCTTTCGCCCTGCGATCTTCCAACAAATCCTGGATCATGTCCCATCGATGGCAGAAGGAGGCCAGCGCTTCAAAAGTGAACATGGAGGATTCTTGGCTTTGCGCAATAGATGTGGCTGATGTATTTATATACGTATATATATACAGAGAGAGAGAGAGAACGACAAAATGATGAACTAGCTATTCCGAAAATCAAGAGATGGGAAGCGAATAGCCAAAAAAAGTGCACAGACCAAGGAGTATTTTGGATGAGTAGAAATCTTGTGGACAAGTCTTGTGGCAAAACATCACATGTGATGCGGTCGCATTCGCCTACAATCATTGAAACAGGGGTAGATTTAATGAGTTCCTCAGCTAAGGGAAGAGTTTTTTGGCCGGGACCTAAGTTGCAGCAGCTGAACACGGAAAATTTTGAGAGTCGGATATTGCAGTACCTGGTCAGTACCTTGCAATGAGGATTGTCTTGCTCTTTTCATTCCCGTGTCTATGGCTGAAGACTTCAGCTGTCGCGAAATCTTCAACCGCACAAAGGCCTTCCACTGAATTCAGACTGAATGAAATGAAGAATATTAGTTAAACATTATTGTTTCTCAATGCTTTCATGACAAGAGCAATGCTTTTTAAAGTGCGCAGGTGATCGGCGCTGTGTATGCAACAAGCTTTGAGATTTCTGTCTCAAAGGAGCCATGTTGTACAAGTCATACAAGTCTCTAAGGTATCCGAAGAGATGCAAAGATTTTGTAAAGATTGCATTTTGTTATTCTTGTAGTGCTTGTCATGTCCTTTGGTCACTCACCGTCTACAATGTCAATGATTTTTTCAAAACGTGTTCGTATTCTTTCATTATCTCATATTGGTATGTTTGGTATGTTTGCGTTGCCAACAGCCCTGAAAGGATGAACTCCCATGCAAGCGACGGACTATGATTAGGTGCGATGTTTGATGCCACGGCCCGTACTTCATCCATGGCCATCTTCTGAAACGTGCACAAATGACAACCAAAGGCAGGGAGGCAAGCAGGCAGGCATGGATATTAAACATACGTACATTTGATATCATTTGACATAGTGTATCTATGCATGACACACACATATGTATATATATATAATCATATAATATTGATATTATATATATATATATACATAATACCGATGCTGATCAGATGCTGTTGAGTGTTCGATGCAAGCGCTGCGATAATACACCAACAGGGACTTGGTGAGATCGTTATCTCCTCCAAAAGCTTCGAGCAAATGCCACTTGGTCGACTTGGAGCAGAGAAGTAACGACGATCTGAGAAATTCCTGGTGAATCTCCCAGCTAGGTGGATTGATGGATGCAGACGGTGAGAGTGAGACAGTTAACAAATTGAACTCTTTGCACGGAAGTTCTCCGAAGTGGACATTTCTTGCTATCTCCTGCACGGCTTTTGTACATGCTCTTTTCTTTCTTTTCATGCTTTTTTTTGTGTTCTGAATCAGTTCTGAATTGCATTTGAGGCCATGTGTTTTCCTTGGACACTGACGACAAAGTCGCTGCAAAGTTGAATTTGGCGTCCTGGCAGCTGCACATGCCAATCGGCTGTTCTACTATCCTCATCAGAGTCGAGGGCTCAGATGGGCTTAGATTTTCCTGTTCGGTTTTTCTTGGCTTTTCTTTCTTGTTTTGGATTTTGCTTGCGTCGTGACAGCCTTGGCACATGACCAAGGATGAGAACGTCCACTTCTTAGCCAATTCTGACGCGTGGAAATTGCGAAGCTATTGTAATGGGCTGATCATTCCAAAGTGACAAAGTGATGCTTCAGCCAGAAATTGCTATGCATTGCCAGAACAAAGACTGAGAAGCTTGATGGAAGTTACCGTAGAATGCCAAGTTCACAGAGTTGAAGTATGTTGACGTCGACTGGTTTGAAGGGAATTTATGGGAAACGTTTCATGACATGTGAGAATCCCACGTTGCCAATATTCTGGGCGTTGGTACTGCACAGCAGATGATACACTGCTCATGGACTCTCATTGTCTTGGTTTTTCCCAGTATAGATTAGTATAGATTAGTATAGATAGTATAGTTTATGTCGCACGCCACTGCGTCTCACACAGGTGAAGAAGTGGGTGCCCGACGTGCCGCGGGAATATTTCAAGCTCCCAGGACCAGAAGAGAAGTTGGATTTTCTGAGGCGCAGACGCAGACGACGGCGACAAAAAACATGACAGAATCAAAAGTGACATGGCAAAAAACATGGCAAAAGCAAGGCCATAGGATGCCATAGGATGCCATAGGATGCCATAGGATGCCATAGGCAAGGCCCAAATTGCGCTAGCTCACAGCTGGTGGTCTCAGGCACGGTCTCCTATTCCACAACGGCGGGATTGTCATGAAGAGAGAACTCTGGCCGCAGACCTCAAGACAAATCAGAAATGTCAATGTAATGTCATGTAAGGTCTGCTGCATCTGGTTAAAATTGGATCCCCCAGAGGTGGCATGATTAGATTAGTTACTGTTACTTGTTTAATCATGTTTATACGACAGAAAACTCCACGTATTGGCTGATTGTACCATCGTACCTTGCATGTTTCTATAAATTAGATGGGGGCTTCTTTCCATTTCTTTCCTATTTCAATGGATTTCAGGCCAGCTTAGGCAGACCTCGGAGAAGCTACTTTTTGTGAGTCGATTTCATTGATTTGTTTGATTCAAATGGCCCAAACACAAAGTGCCCTTTTGCCAGCTAGCAATACATCATACTGAATCATACTGCAGAAAGAAGAACCACAAATTTGACAAAGATCTATCTGGATCTGACAACAGTAAACTCTTGAAAGTTAAACCTCAAGCTTCGGGCGTTGGGTAAAGTTTGTGTTTTGACCCGTGCACACCTGTCGCATTCCTCATGCTTTTAGCTTCAAATACGTGCAGCAGAAGACATGAGGACCCTATATCCATGTGCTGTGATAGCTCTGTTTGCTTGGTGTTCTTGTCATTTTTGAGTATTTTTTGCTGACGTTGTATTCCTTTGATCATGAATTGCGCGATGGAGTCAGAAACAAATCTCCATGTTTCTTAGATGTTCACTTGATGTTCACAGATGTTTGGCTTTAGGACACGGGTGCTTAGCAGCACCTCATCCATATGTCATTATGGGTTGTGACATGTTGCAACAGAATGATGCTGATGTTTGCAGCGCGTGCTCCAAGATTGAAACAAAGCAGGAACACATCAGCCATCATCAGCCGCAAAGAACCCTCAAAGGGCAACCGGGCTCTTCGTGAGCCTCTTTGCCTGATATCTATGAGTAAAGATCTGTAGACACTGTAGAGTATGGAATGAGCTTGTTGCACTTTGGAGACCGACCATACTGGGACTCGAGTTGAAAAGCCTGGCCGATCACCTCAAGCAATCACAGCTTGAAGCACTCAACGACGGTGATGCATCAAACCACAAAAGCTGGCAGCATCTGGCGGCGAATATGCTACAATTGCAGATCAAATGCGAACTCCACAATTCAGTTTGTGGAATGGATAGTATTGCCTTGTGTTCAAAGTCTTACTTCGAGTTTCAGAATCGAATTGGAATGGCTGTACTTGTTGATCTTGTTGTTACAATTGAGTAGGTTGAGGGAAGAAATGCAGTCATTAGTAGACTTGTAACACCCCCAGCCTATGTCTGTATCCCATCCAGACCCACATTCAAATAGTCAGACAAGTGTAAAGGGACTGTTTGTCCTGTGATGCAGCAATTCATGGATGAGTGGTTCCAGAAGATTGATTTGCAGAAACAGTATTGTGCCTATGCGTGATGCAAGCTTGGTTGATTCTGCAGTCGGCAAACCAGACCTGAAAACAAATTGAAGCAGCTGTGCATACCTAAGCAATGCAGCAGAGGAAATGGTTATTGCTTCAAGTTTGGAGAGCTTGCTGCAGATAGCAAATTCTGTGGATATCATCTCGTGGCTTGCTGGCATTGTTGCATTGTCGCAAGATGGCGCAATGTGCGCAATGTGCGCAATGTGGATGGTTCATCTATGTTCATCTCATGTGCATTGGAGCGGAGGTCTGCGGAAGAAGGATTTGGAGATTCAATCAAGTGTCTGTTGCCCAAATGCCCACGAGTGCCAACTTGTGCCAACATTTCAAAGCGTGTAGCTGTGTAGCTTCGTTGTAATACGAACTGTCAAGTTCCAAACTCTTTGCCCAGGTGGTGGCTCGTTTCAAGCCAATCAAATCATTGGAGGAAGACAGGCAGCTGTTTTGTGTAGCATCTAAGTTCCCGTGATAGAAACTTAGAAATCTAATTAAGTACTCTGACATACTCCATACTCTGACTAGAAATCGATCCCATCCAGATCCTCCAGAGCATCTCAAATTGGATGTGCTCAGGGCAGCCCCTACCATGGAGTGGCTTGGCATTTGGCAAAACAAGCCATCCAAAAGCATTGCCCGCTGGACGACCGAAACAAGGCACAGCCCATACAGAGCCGAGTTGACGTGAGCTTACTATACGTGTTTTCGCCAAACATTTGCAAATACGAATCCGCTCAGCAAGTGGGCCATAGCGGCCATAGCGCGTCATAGCGCGCCATAGTCTAACAGTGCGTTGACATGCGTTGACATGTCGCCATGTCCACACTGATGAAGAACACAATGAATGTGTTTCCATGTCAACATCATTGCACTGTATCAAATGTTTTAGTTTGTTTAAATATGAAAGTAACACTGCAGGAGTTCATGAATGTTACATATGTTACAGTTGTTTGTCGTTTTGTGTTTTGTGTTGCCGTGTTGTGTCAGCCGTGTCAGCCGTGTCAGGAGATCATCTGCTGCTTCGATGAAGACGTGTCCTGCCACATACCAGGAGGGAGCCTCGGTGAAGGCCAGGCCAGAGCCGCAGAGCAGCCTGCAACAACTCAAAAATCATGAAGACATCGGAATACATCATATATTTATCAGATAATACATATATCATATATATATATAATTATAATACATAATTATATATATATATTAGTATGTGTTTTGTTCTTCTTCAGTCGATTCTTTTGGAATCTGTTTAAGTCATGAAACATTTCAACAGCTTTGTCTCTGCAGTCGGAAGTCATTTTAGAAGGTTTCATAAGTCATGTCTGTTATCCACTAAGAGTCTGTCAAGCTGAGATGAATACAGTGCATGTTCTGTCTAGTGGACCGCCCAGCTGTCACTTGGGTGTAGGCATGTCGATCAAGGTGAAGCGTTGGTTCGAGGTGGGACCGAATTGGCAATGCTTTGCTCAAATCCGAGATGATAAAAGGCCAAAGATTATCAAAGATGATCAAACATCAGTCCGAAAACTGTATTTCTATGTATTTCCACATCTACATTCTTACATATTTTCTACTTTCTTCTGTTTCCTTTCTGCTTCCTTTCTGAGGCTGCCGACTTTGCCCTGAAGTCGCATTGCCTTTGGGGACAGCAATCATTTCGACCAGCCTGGTTTCAATTTGTCCTCGACCACAAGCCAAAGCTCTTTGCCAGAAAATGGGACCCATGGAAGTTTTGCAGAGATAAATGGAGAGAAATGGAGAGCTGTGAAAAGCAAAACTGATCATGTGCACTGCAAAGGGCTGCTATGAATCAGCTCTGGAGACAGATACAGATGGCACATATTGGTCCACGGTGATCCATGTGCGTAACGTCCGTGCAATATACTGTAGATCCGTCGCATCATTATTGCTTCCGTGTGGTCTCCAAGGCTCAAGGATGCAAAAGAGTACTTCAAGCAAGAGCGGCAGATGGATTTGTTGAACAGGAGCTGTGAGACGGGAAGTTTCCCTGTTGATCCGATTGCCCATTGCTTTGCATCATGAGGACTGGTTTTTTCCTGCCATTTTCAGATGTTGGGCAGCGGAAATGCGAAGACTTCTTCGAAGATCAAACTGTTTCTTGTTTGCAGAGCGACTGCGATTCCCTGCTAGTGCTCCATGTTGGTCCATATGGCAGACATATATTCACCCCGCTTCGCGTGGGGTGGCCGCCCACACCGCAGGTTTATTTCGGTCCGTGAGAGGGGCTAAGGGTGGTTTTCCCCCGTGGGAGCTCTTCAAGCTAAGAAGTTTCAATAAGAAATCCTTCCAAAACATTGTTTTTGACAGTGTTTTTCCAATGTTTCCAGTCAAACAGACGGTAATTTACACGTTTTTTGCCATAAAGGCAGTAAATCCTTCCAAAACATTGCTTTTGACAGTGTTTTTGTAATGTTTCCAGTCAAGCATACGGTAATTTACACGTTTTTTGCTATAACGTCAGTCCAAAACACTTGTTTTTGCAGTGTTTTCAATGCTCTGGCATCCAAAAACCCTGCAAAATCTTGCTATGTACAATGTTTTTTTCATTTTTGGCCGTTTTTCCATTGCCGGAAAGCTACCAAAATGACCCAAAATTCCATTTCAATACCCTCTTGCGCTCAGACACCCAAAAATCCTCGAAAAATGTCGAAAACACCACCGTATTCTGGTCTCGGTGCGAAACCGTTTTTGGGGTCTGGTCTCGGTGCGAAACCGTTTTTGGCCCCCCCCCCCCAGCTAAAGCTGATATAGCGACTGCTATATTAACAAATGTCATTGAGCATTTAGTGTTGCTGTTGCCCCCCAATAAGCACGCCTTCACCGCCAAAGCGGTGTGGGCGGATTCGGTCCGTGAGAGGGGCTAAGGGTGGTTTTCCCCCGTGGGGGCTCTTCAAGCTAAGAAGTTTCAATAAGAAATCCTTCCAAAACATTGTTTTTGACAGTGTTTTTCCAATGTTTCCAGTCAAACAGACGGTAATTTACACGTTTTTTGCCATAAAGGCAGTAAATCCTTCCAAAACATTGCTTTTGACAGTGTTTTTGTAATGTTTCCAGTCAAGCATACGGTAATTTACACGTTTTTTGCTATAACGTCAGTCCAAAACACTTGTTTTTGCAGTGTTTTCAATGCTCTGGCATCCAAAAACCCTGCAAAATCTTGCTATGTACAATGTTTTTTTCATTTTTGGCCGTTTTTCCATTGCCGGAAAGCTACCAAAATGACCCAAAATTCCATTTCAATACCCTCTTGCGCTCAGACACCCAAAAATCCTCGAAAAATGTCGAAAACACCACCGTATTCTGGTCTCGGTGCGAAACCGTTTTTGGGGTCTGGTCTCGGTGCGAAACCGTTTTTGGGCCCCCCCCCCCAGCTAAAGCTGATATAGCGACTGCTATATTAACAAATGTCATTGAGCATTTAGTGTTGCTGTTGCCCCCCAATAAGCACGCCTTCACCGCCAAAGCGGTGTGGGCGGATTTGATTATATCTGTCCTTTGCTGAAGTTGCAACATTTGTGAGACCTGCACTGGTGCTCCCATGTTGATTCTGGTCTGTTTGCTGGCATTCTGGAGACTTCCAAATTTTTCAAGAGTTCAAGTGCTTGGCTGATTCAGATTCGCCCTTGAAGAGATCGTTTTGTTTGTCTTCATCATCTCAATTTGACTGATGTTGCATTCGCGTAGTCTTTTGTCTATAATATTATATTTATCAGTATATTCATCTGATGTAACTCATCTATATGGATTCAAGTGACTCAAGACATCCTTGATCCGGCCATAACACAAAACAGAGTGCTTGGACTCAACCAGAGACACCAGAGCACGTGACGCTAGAATATACATCTCTGTAGTGGTTTTGGCTCTTTTGCAAACTTTCTCGTTTCTTTTTTTTTGACTCTTGCGGAGTCTCGCCGTGCAGATGTTTCATTTTTCACCTTGAACAATATTGTACGATTTGTGCCTGAATCTTGCAGCGGACTGACGAGGTAGTGGGTGCAGTTTCTTGGCTTCATAGTGATTCCATTCAGGTGTGGGTGGGATACGGTACCTATGGATATCTGCGGTATGTACATCTAGGCAGCATGAAAGCTAGAGCATGATAGCGTAGGATAGAGCGTAACAATTGGTATAATATGTGTACGTGTGAGTTTCTTATTTGTGTGTGTGTGTGCGAGATAGTGTATGTATGTGTATGCAGTGTATGTTTCCGTGCTACAGGTTGGATGTTGGAAGATGTTGGAACTATGCCTAAGGTGTACATGAAGAGCTTTCGTCGGGAATCAGAGAAAGATTGCCCTTTGGACAGCTGAGCTACTGCCAGCAGCGATGGTGCCTTGGCGGAAACGCGATGTATATGTGTAGCATTATGATGTATTATGTATGTATTTTTGGGATGTTCTCAACGCAACACAGCAATAATTCACTTTGTGGCATGTCCATTCATATATAGCGCATGTTCGTTCATCTCTGTGTCTTTGTTTTATGCTTTAGGCCTGACTTAGCTGCAAGATGCATATCGAGCAAAGATTTGCAAGCGCTTCCAAACTACCAAAGTCCAAGATGAAGTTCAAAGTTCCGCATACCGCAAGTGGAGACATGAGAGAGCTGGAAGTTTTATCAGAAAGGACATAGACGAAGGTGCGTGGAATGCGTCAGAAGGAGTATCAAGGAGTCAAGGGGTTCGGTCAGACCGCACGATGAGACGAGCTACGACGTGCTTTGTGCCGAGCTGCGCCGTGACGCACACGACGTGCTTTTCGGAATACCAAAGAGTCCGAAGAAAGGCCTGATTCACGTTCGAGCCTTGCCAGACACAAAGAGTCAAGGAAAAAAGGGAGCAGTTGCCAGTTGCACAGTGGCCACGTGATGCCACGTGATGCCAGGTCTTGAGGATTTGCACTGCCTGTAGCTTGGCCCAGGTACAAAAGCGACTAAAAGAAGACTTGGCGATCACTCATCGAGATTCGCTGTACGAGGTCAGCTTTTACAGAACACGACCAGGGAGGTACTATAGTGAAACATAGTGAAACATAGAGAGCTATTGACCAACAATGTGAGCTCTACTGAAACTCGGTGCAATGAACTAGGTACACTACTGCCTGGCAATCCCTACACCACGGTGTCAATGGTGTGTGTATGTCTGTCGGTGTCGGTGTTGTCCTTTTCATGTTTGATTTTTTTTGAAGTTGCGACAACGTTAGTTCTTTGCAAAGTCAGCCTGTGCCACGTATCCAAGTGACAGGTACTGGTTCGGAAGGAAGGCCGTGCCTTTGCTGCTGACATCAGTGGAGCTGACGCAGTGCGAACGTGGAGTCCTCAGCACTGCCCGCCTTTGCCACTGCGTTTGTGATGTTTGTGACCAGTGACGGCTGCCAGATGTGTTACATGATCACAATTAATATCACAATGATCGTTGGATGGGAAAATGTGTTTCTCCATGGATTGAAGGAGTCACATGGAGTCACAATTGAAAAGACTCTGATGACTCTGTGATTTCAGCATGGGAACAAGTAGAATCTCTTATAGCACAGTTGTGACAAGATGAATCCCTTGGGACAGGGAACTAAGAGCAGAATTTCAAAGCGAGATTCATGGATGAAATACATTGGGAAACATGGCACAAAGCAGCGCGCAGATGTTATTTGCATGTCCACCTGGCTTGGTCGTGTGAGGTACAATGCTGTTTTGGCAGCAATAGAATTGTTTACTACCAAGCAACAAAGACATTTGCAGGCGGAAATGCAGCCAACCATAGTATCAAACAAATTCAAACAGCATCATGGGATCATCTTTTCTGTTCATTCCGGAGCAGAGCAGAGCAGAAGAGGTCATGCACTGGGTATCCACAATGCTGTGAGACAGTGCATTTCAGTGCATTTCAGTGATTCTATTTCGTTCTAGTCCACGTTTTCCGGTCTACTATAGAGTCTATAGAGCTCTTAGCACACGAGCCCCAAGTCCCTTGTATTCTCCAGCGTTTCAAGGGTCTTTGATCTCTGCCAGCTCTGCTACCTTCCAACTGGTCTCTTGTGATTTGAAGGCGGACACGTTCCTTCTACGCAAAATTCATTCGCAAGAACAGGACTTTCGGAGTCTTTGCGAAAAAGCCGAAGCAAAATGAACTTGGACCATGTAATGCACCCATTCCTTGGATATGCTGGGACTTTTTCAGGAGAGGCACAAAGCTGCTCAGGCACCTTGCTCATGGTTTGTCGTGCTTCTTGTCCTCAGTGGCGGATCGATAATGTAGACAAAATACATATATATATATATGTGGTTCTTGACTGGGCAAAGATCACAAAAAACGACCTCTCTGAGATGTGAAAAGACAGGCCAAAGCAAAAGCGGCTGTAAAGAAGCCTGCGAAGGAGCCGATCTGAGGATGAACGAACGTATTGCAAAAGCTCTGTCTTGGGAGAACAGAAAGGCACAATGGGACAGCCTGACAATCTGTGACATGCACGTTTAACCTGAAACTGTGATGCTAATTGATTTTGGGCTGTCACAGCAACGCAATATCTGTATGCAGGGGCAGGTTCGGTTTTTGGAGCAACTGCGAGTCCACGGTTTGCGAAATTCCAGCAAGAATTTGACTGTGGCAAACACTGAGACATAGTCGACCTTCTCAGGACAGACCATCGCCCTCAGGTTTGCTGCAAAGGCCTACTGCGCAAAAGGACTCCCAGAATTGAACTGCTTTCTGAGAAAGATTGTGGAATTAAAATGATCATGCTTTCCATCATTTTATAAATTTGCTCAAAGTAGAAGTGTTTTCAGATTCAAAGGTTAATCTAGACTACTGTGTGCCTTGTTCAAACATGTTCAAGCTAAATGACCGAATGGTAGCATTCAACCCGTTGAATGTATGGCTCTCAATGCTCTCGGGAAGCAACCGCTCCGTTCGCTTAAAGTCAGGGCCTTGATTTTTTGCGCAGCACTTTCAGAGTCACGATTTGATGCATGACTTGGATTAACTTAGCACATGCCTTGACACATGACTTGATGTCATTTGGGAGGGCAGGTCTGTCACTGGGGGTTGTGTCATCCTTGTCAACGGAACCAGCGGCGAGCTTCAAAAACCCAGGCCCTATCTATATTTCGTGACATAAGAAACAAAGGAGGTTTGGACACTCCTAGACTTGCTGCGACCTTAGATTGCTGTGGATTACCATGGCAAATAGTGGCATATGTTGCTAGTCTGTAAGGCAAATGGCAAAGTGTTTCTCTTCTCAAGGACTTGGGCAGATGTCGAAAGATGTCGAAAGACTCTGAAGTGATCTGAAGTGTTGCATGTGTTACATTGCATTGTGAGTGCTACAGCCTTATGTTCCGCAAACACAACGCCCAGCACAGTAAAAATGATGTGTGTGTCCAGGACAGCCTACAGCCATCGTCCTCCCCTTACAGATTCCGATCCAGTGCAACGAGAAATATCAATCTTGATCTAAGTGATTGTTGTTGTCCAATGTTGGACGGTTAATTGCGCACTAAACGCCCGAAGGCATGGACTTGCTTGGCTATTCTTCTTTCAGCTATTGGCTGTGCAGCAACAAGCTCTTGCCTCGACTTTCAAATTTGATTCTTCCAGGTTTGGGAATTTCCAGTCTTGCCATGTTCTTCCAGTTTTTTCATGTTTTTTTCTAGTGACTCCGAAGCTGTTCTTTCAACGACAAACGCGGACAGGTTTCAACGTGTTTCAAAGAGGCAAAAGTAAAAAGCAGTTCCGCTTCTGATCGTTTTGTAAAGTATGGAATCGGAATCAGATTTTTCATCCCTGCAAATTCTGCCGTACAGTGGCTTCGTATGAGGCCGAGACTGTGAAGTTGATGGATCGTGAGCCATATAATTCGCACATGTTTCCACTTCCTTCAGCTAGACTTGGACAATTTTAGTGAATCTTAGAAATTCTTAGACACATCCGCAACAAGATGTTCAAGATGTTCGAGTTCGAGCTTCTTCCGTACGCTCTGCATGCTTTCTTGTAAGCGAAAGCTGATGGACATGAGACTTAGGCAGTAGACTAAGTAGACAATGTGATTGATTGTGCAAACAGCTGCAAAATCAGATAAACTCAACAGTGATTCAGATAGATTCAACTTGTCTCTGCTATGGTCCATTTGACTTGCTTTGCTCAAAATTCCAAAGGCCTGTGGTGCCCACCATTTGAGAGTCGAATCGAAAGGTACTCAGATGCCAGCAGAGAAGCTCTCCAGGCAGGGTTGATTGTGGTGATCATGTCTCGATCATGTCTTGTACAGTCGCAAAAGAATCAAGCTGTATACACTGTAAGGTACTCGTCGTTTTGAAAGTGATATAAAGTGATCAAACCGCATCAAGCAGTTTGATGTCAGATTCGTTGGATTTTCAGGCAGTAGCGTGTGCTGATGTGAGTAAGCTAGGCTAAGGTAAGCGCTGCGCAGGTTATTCTCATGATTTCTTGCGCATTTTTGGCCAGTTTGAAACTCAGTCTGCAGAGATCCTTAAAGTTTTCTTGGGTCGGAACTGAGAACATCCAGTTTTCAAGGTCAGCATTGTCAGCACAAAAGGAAAACCTCCAACTATCACTATCCAAGGTCAGATCTCCAAGGGAGGCTTCAAACAGCTGTGAGACCTCCTTGTGGTATACCAGGCAGGCAATGTGGTGACATTACTGACATTGACGCTGTTTATCAAAGTTCATAAAGATCATAAAGATCTCCAAAGTTATGCCACAACGTAAAACACCGTTGTACACCATTTTACACCGTTGACCTCCAGGGATCGCACCAAAAAAATGCCATCACTGTCGCTACATAGCTCTGTTAAGTCGTTGCGTCATGTTGCGTCGTCATGCGGTTGTTCCTCTGCGTTGTTTTTTGCGGGGGAGATTTGTACGTAATATATGTTCGATACAGGTCAGGCAAGTAGGGATAATTATACCTAGAACATCCTAGAACTTCAAGCGGGCTATAATTTCAGCCTGAGACAGAATTTTAGGCTGAATGGGGTTTCGAGCAAAAAGACAGTTGGGTGGGAAAACCACAGACATAAAAAAAAAACAATGAACCATTCCAAAACGGAAAAGATGTTTCTTTTAAAGCATTTTGGTGAAAAGGAATCGGGCGTGATTTGGCGTGATGCCGGCGTGATGGGGGGTTTGTTTGGACAACCCCAAAATGGTCTTGTAAAAATGATTGCGTAAAATGATTCCACTTGGATCCACTTGGGTATATTTCAATAGGGTCAACCCCACTATGTTCACAGACCCAAAAGTCAACAAAACTGATTCGCGCAGAAAAGACGCCTGTGGGCAGAAATTGGCCGGGCAGAAATTTTATGCTGAACAGCTTCAGGCTAAAAATACGTCCTGCGCAATAATGTAGCTAACTATATGATATATGGATATATGATATTATATTATATTACATGTGTTGATCAATCTTGCGCATTTGACTCAAGAGGGGGAGAAAGGATTTGGAAGTTCTCTTGGGTGCCTTGGATTCCAGCTCTAATTAATAGTGGTTCTTCTGGGAGCTCACAACCCGATGTGACTCATGATGCCTCATGATGACTGACATGACAGTCGCATGGCGAAGTACTTGACATGATCCGCCTCATTCTGCTTGACTGACTGACACACCACGCGACATAATGACTCATAAGCACATGACAGTTGAAGTACAAGCAGATCTGCAGCCCGCTCTTCACATGTCTACCAACGACCCGCCAGGTGCTGTATAGGAGTCTGACAAGGGACCCCATGAGGCGAAAAAGATGTCCATATTACGTTGCAATACGTTGATGTTCATATTCTGCAGATTGCCCCCATGACTTTGTTCTGCACGTAGCACACAGAGAAAACATGACACGACGGGCAAGTTTGCACGGCAAAGTTCTTGGGCGGGGTTAAGGGCAAACACACTGGTTGAGGACAAGCTCTCGTTGATATGATGGTTTGAAAACTATTGGGACGGGTCTGGGAAATGTTTGAAAAAATAGACAATGGATGACAATGGTATCAACATGCATTAATTGTGTACAACATCAAACTGAAACATTCTGAACGGCCTAAAGGCCTAAAGGCTTCTGAAAGCACATGCTTTAACTCGCCGCCTTTTCGGCTTTGAGTTCCCGAGCGGGAAGCAAGAAAGCATCCCGGTTGCAAATGCGTCAAGATAAGAATCACACTAGTCTCTGAGATGGCGGATTGGTTGATACAAATTTGGTTACCATGGTGTTTCAGTCCTATCAAATCTATTATTTGCATCATGGATATAAATATAATTGTTTTTCTACATCATTCTACATCTATATATGACATGCATCATATCTATTTACATCTAGTCTATCCAAGTCTATCCTTTGTTTAATGTTTTGTTTCTCATGTTTTTTCTCTCGCTCGGCGGCACTGTGGACTGAGGCAGAGGAGCCACGAGCTTCGGTTTAGGTTCCCCTGGAAAGTCCTACAACGTGGCTTGGCATGACGAGCTTCGGTTTGGATCAAAAGACTACAGACGTTTCTGCATGTCATGCACTCGTTGCGATCGTTGCGCACTGTCAGTGAACACCTTCGGATGGACTGAACATTGCAGAAGTTGCCTTCTCATGCGTTTTTTCTTGTGATGTATAGCTTCTCGACACTTTTTAAAGTTCTCAACTGATTCTCAACTTCTCAACAGTCAAGTTTCAACCCATGTGCAGGTTCTTTGTCAAGGCAATCCGTGGGATGACGCGCAATCGCCTCTTGCATCAACTTCATACTCCGTTTACATCGTTTACATGCTCTTATGAAAGACGAAGCTGGTTCCACACTTGTTTCATATACAGCAGTAGTCGCAGTAGCAGTTGCAGTAGCAGTTGCAGTAGCAGTTGCAGTGGCAGTAGCAGCACAAGTAGTCAGTAGTCCGTGGTAGTGGTGGTGGTGGTGGTGGTAGTACTAGTACTAGTACTAGTACTAGTAGTAGCAGTAGCAGTAGCAGTAGCAGTAGCAGTAGTAGTACTAGTACTAGTACTAGTACTAGTACTAGTACTAGTAGTAGCAGTAGCAGTAGCAGTAGCAGCAGCAGCAGCAGTAGTAGTAGTATTAGTAGTAGTAGCAGTAATAGTAGTAGCAGTAGTAGTAGCAGTAGTAGCAGTAGCAGTAGCAGTAGCAGTAGCAGCAGCAGCAGTAGCAGTAGCAGCAGCAGCAGCAGTAGTAGTAGTAGTACTAGTAGTAGTAGTAGTAGCAGTAGTAGTAGCAGTAGTAGCAGTAGTAGCAGTAGCAGTAGCAGCAGCAGCAGTAGCAGTAGCAGTAGCAGTAGCAGTAGCAGTAGTAGTAGTAGCAGTAGTAGCAGTAGCAGTAGTAGTAGCAGTAGTTGTTGTTGTTGTTGTACTAGTGGTACCAGTAGCACCGCACAAGGCGGTGGCGGAAGTTTCAGAATAGGAAACCTATAGGAGACGTTGGTTGTTGTGAATCACGGATGGCAGAGCGAATCCACTGATTGACCGAAAGGTGGTTGGAGTTGTGTTGCTGGAATGGTTGCAATGGTTGCAGTGGTCACCTCACCCACAACTGCTGGATGTAGTGTGATGTACTGCAACTGTAGTTGTTGTAGTTGTAGTTGTTGTTGTTGTAGTTGTAGCTGTAGTTGTTGTGTGGTTGTAGTCGTTGTGTAGTGTAGTTGTTGTAGTAGTAGTAGTAGTTGTTGTTGTTGTAGTA